GGCGGCCCAGAGCTCCGCGTCGGCGGGCAGCATGCGCAGGGCGCTGGTCATGGTCCGGCGCCAGCGCTTGGAGGCCTTGACGCCGGCGGTGTAGGCGAGGTACTCGCGCCAGAGGGCGGAGTGGCCGGGGTGCCGCGCGACGGCGCGCTCGTAGATGGCGAGCACGCGGCCCTGGCCGGCGTGCGAGGAGGACAGGTGGCGGACGCGCAGGCGCTGGCAGCGCTTGGAGCGCAGCGCCTCGAGGGACTGCTCCCACCGCGCGTAGGCGGACCAGTCGTGCGGGGTGTTGCCGGGGGCGAGGACCTTGTGCTCGTGCTGGTTTCGCTTCTGGACAATGGTGCGGATCTCGTCCTGTGAGGAAGGGCGGCCGGCCCGGTTAGACGGGGGAGGGTTGGAGGGGAGGGAAGACGGGCACGACGTACCTTGGAAAAGATTTCCCTCTCTTCCCACTCGCGTAGCTGCGGTACGGACCGCTCGAGATAGAATCGAGCCTTCTCAGCGACGCCTGCCATTTTGATCAGCCGTGTTTAAGGTTGCTCTGTGACGTAAAAGTTGAGAATCTGGTCGTGGATGAAATGTCGCTGGATTTTTTTTACGAGGCTGTCTGGAAATTTTAGCGGGGCAACCTTGAAGTCAAGGTAGTGTGGCTGCTAGCTCAGCCTTGGTGGCTAGTGGGCTGTGGCGACGACTGGCTGGTTAGATGTACAGACTACGCAGCATCACTTTCTATTCTTACATGTTCGAAAGTTGTGATAGGTTCAAACTAGCTTAAATTTACTTGGCTAATAAACGTATTTTAATCATTTAGTATTTTAGACATGTATTCGTATTTCGTTGTAAAACAGATGTCGCATACAGCGGATAATCCTCGGTCCACCTCGCCCACCACCACAATAGCCCGATCCTTGTGAATAAAAAGGCCACACTAACAACTTAGACAGCTCCTGGCCATCCAATCCTCATCCGAGTCCGTCCCCTTGTCCCCCACACCTATTTACGGCCCTGGACAGGGGCAAGGGAGGTCTCCAAAGCCAAAGCCAAAGCCAAAGCCAAAGCCAAGCTCCAAAAACGCGCCATCGCGAGGCGAAGCTGTTCCCGCCCGAGTCCGAGGTCTCCGTCGCCCTTGTCCTCCTTTTCCTCTCCGCCCGCCTCCATCGTCGCGTGCTTTCTTCAACTCTGCTTCCTCCCCCCCCCGCACTGTTCTGCCATCGGATGTCCCGGACTGCGCAGTAATCTGCGGATTTCACTCGTTTGTTTGTTTTGGCATCGTGTATCATCGCTTCGCATCTCAATGGCCCCAAAGTACAAGGACAAGGACGGCGGCGTCGTTCTGACCTTCAATGGCCAGTGGGTCAGCTGGTCGCATACCGTCGTCGCGTACAGTATGTTTGTTTGATTTGCTTCGAGGATGCGCTTCCATGCATGCCCATGGCTTTCCCGTCGCTGACTTGCTTTCTTTCTTCCAGCTGCCTTCATTAGCGCTCTCATCGTCGGCGTCTCGCTTCACTATCACAAAATTGTCGAAAATGAATTCTACCGTTACCCTGACGAGTGGTTCCCCTCCGTCTCCGCCACCATTGGCGACCGCTACCCTGAGCGTTCCTTTTTCATGATCTTCATCGCCATTACTTCGGGTGCGCACCTCTTCGAAGCTCCGCGCCGACTCAACGTCGCTAATCTCGCCCTCCAGGTCCTCGTTTCGCCCTGGTCGGCCTATGGTATCTCCTCACCCGTAAACCCGGCACCAAGCTGCCCGGCTTCGTCGCCACTATGGGTGTCTTGCGCACTCTGACCTGCGGCGGCTGGACCTACATTACCTCGACCGATGACCACGACTGGCACGACATTCTCATGATCTCCTATATTGTGGCCACGCTGCCTTGGACCACCGGCTGCATTGCTCTCAGCCCCAATAACCCCACGGCCATCAAGTACCGCAAGTACCTGGCCAGTGCCTTCTTCGGCACTCTGGTGCCTCTGATTTACTTCTTCATTCAGCACAAAGTCCATCGTGTTGCGGGAGGTGCGTATTCTCCGCACCTCAACCAGTCTCGGTACATCACTACTAATCCCTGTCGCAGCTTACACCATCTACGCCTTCTTCGAATGGGCTCTGATCCTCTTCGACGTCGGCTTTGACGCCGTCACCGCCCTCGATTTCAAAACGTTTGAGATTGTGGTCCGCGATGTCCAAGGCTCAAGCAAGGGGTATGTGCAATGGCTGCCAATCTAAGCGCGAGAATCCTGGCCAGCAACGCTATGGCCTGCTTGTCCTTGTGAGTCCTAGTTCTAAATTGTGCTCGCAGTGACAATCAATCTGTCCCATCTGCCGTTTTGGAAAAGGAGTAAGTTTGTCCGCGAGCTGCGCTGGCTCTCAGCTAATCATTCTTGATAGAAAGGAGCAGGCGACCGCTGGTGTTTTTGCCCTGCGCTTTACTTGGACCGAGGCTCTCGACACGGCTGCTGATATTTACCACGGCGTGAGTTCTCCACGACGTAGTAGCAACGAATTAGCCAACTAATTATGTCCCAGTTTGTCTTCTGGTCCATGCTCACAAGTCTCGGTCTCCTTGTTTGGTGTATGTGTCTCTGATTACATATCTGCACTACAGCACTGACTGACTACAATAGACTTTCCCCTCTGGCATATGGGCATTTCCGGCTACGAAGCCTTCGTCATGTCTACCATCTCCCCCTTCCTGCTATGCATCAGCCCCCTGCGATCGCTTGTCGTCAACAATCTCCGCATCGTCCATCTACTTTCTCTCTCGGGCGTTGGCGCTTACCTGGTTCTCGATCCCGTTTACCGCCTCTTTACCGTCGGCTTTGCCGTTGCCATGAGCTGCCTCGGCTGGGTTGGCACGCTGTCTTCCGAGTCGATCCATGAGGCCCGCTTCGAGTCCAAGGTTCTCGGCCTGCTAATTGGCCTAATTCTCTCCTCGACTGCCAAGTTTGCTTGGACGACCAACAACCCGATTTGGCCTATTATGCACGCTGCCAATGGTGGCTGGAACGGCACTGGTCTTGCGCTCGGGGTTTTGGCTGCGCTGCGCTTCACTCGTCGCGCCCCTCTGAGCAGCGGCTCGGCCCCCTACAAGATGCCTGGCTCAGTATTCCTTTCCGCCTGCGGTGTTGGTGGTCTTTTCTTCGCTCTGCACTCACTCCTTTCTGACACCAGCACCATGATCCTCTGGGTCTGGGAGGGCTTCCCCGTGCGTGGCCCTTACTTTTCCACCCATGGTTGGTTTACGCTCGCCGCCATGTCAGTTGGTGTTTTCATCGGAATTTCTCGCCCCAACCTGGCTGGCAGCTGGCTCACCTTTGGCGCCGGCTCTCTTGGCGCTCTTTTCCTGACACTCTACAGCCACTGGGCCGGCTACTATGGTGGTCTTGCCTTGACCGTCTACATCATGGCTGCTGCTGTGCCGCTTCTCTCCGCTGCTTCCAAGAAGAGCCCAGCCGCTACATTCGGTCTGGGTTTCCTTATCTACAACTTCATGGTTCTCTTCCACGTCTGGGTCGTCGCATATGCGTTCGTTCCTGGTGGTCCTCTGGTGCGCGAGCATACTGACTGGGTCATGCTGTCCATGATGCTTCTTGTCGGTGCGGGTGTTCTCAACTTCAACAGCTCCAAGCCCAAGCAAGCCGCTCCTCGCCGTTCCTCTCCATCGCAGCACAGAAAGTACAATATGGTGTCCACACTGGTCGTCAATATTCTCTTCATGTGCGCCGCCTTTATGCGATTCCCAACCAACGACTACAAGCCGTACCACGCCGAGGACCGCGTGCTCACTGCCGGTATCTGGACCATCCACTTCTCCCTCGACAACGACATGTGGTCTTCCGAGTATCGCATGCGCGATCTCATCAAGGAACTCGAGCTGGATGTCGTTGGTCTGCTCGAGTCCGATTTGCAGCGTATTATTATGGGCAATCGTGATACTACTCAATTCCTGGCTGAAGACTTGGGCATGTATGTGGACTACGGCCCTGGCCCGAACAAGCACACCTGGGGCGCTGCTTTGCTGTCCAAGTTCCCGATTGTCGAGTCGAAGCATCACCTGCTTCCCAGTCCTGTTGGCGAGCTTGCTCCCGCTATACATGCCACGCTTGACGTGTACGGTGAGCTTGTGGACGTCTTTGTTTTCCACTCCGGGCAGGAAGAGGATCCCGAAGACCGTCGCTTGCAGTCTGAGTACCTTGCCAAGCTCATGGGCTCGACGCCGCGTCCGGCCATCCTACTCAGCTATCTCGTCACCAACCCTCTGCAGGGCAACTACAACACGTACGTCAGCGAGACGTCTGGCATGCACGATGTCGACCCGACCGACTGGGACCGCTGGTGCGAATACATCCTGTTCAAGCGCCTCAAGCGTGTGGGTTATGCCCGCGTCAGCCGCAGCACGATTACGGATACCGAGCTGCAGGTGGCCAAGTTTGTCATTCCACAGTCCGAGTCGGAGATACGCCAGATTGAGGCCATCCCTGAGGATGAGCGTAACCGCCGGGCGGAGGAGAGCGCGGTGCCGGCTGGCTGGAGATTCCCGGCCATGTTCCGCGGCAACGGTGTGCGTGACCACCGGTACCACGTTTTCGATGAGCCTAGATACTACAACTAAAAAAGAGGTTAACCTGGAGTGGAATTTGCGTAATGTGTATAATTATGATGGAGGGAGGATTGGATGAGAAAATTGGTGTACACAGTGCTGGTTGGCACTATAATCTCCGGGATACAGGGAGGCAAATGTAAATCTATTATAATAATTATCAGAATCTGACTGCCTATTGGACCATAACTGGTTGTGGCCAAAAAAAAATTGTAATAGGTTAATAGCAAAGTGCAAGTACTGATAATTGTGAGATGTTCGGCCACAAGCTACTTTGATCTACCCGAGATACAACATAGCGAGTGATGAGCAATTAGCGAGGAAGAAAAATCCTTGACAGCCCAGACCACATCCGTACTAGCACTGGTTGACTCCCTTCAGGTAACGGAGGATTATTAAATGTGCTGGGTTATGGACGGGGTGAGATTTCGCTTTCGATATAGGGTAGAAGCTCATGGGGTTTGTGGCGGACGAGGCGACTGGAATGCCGATCTCTTCGATTCGTCCCAGGGCGGCACAAGCCTCATTTTCCCCGACCCGAGAACAAAGCCGGGAGCGGTGTCGGTACAAACCAACCCGCGTTCAATGGTACATACATACGTGCATGTGCATGAAGTGTTGTCGCAAGCCGCCTCGCCGCCGCCTCACAAGACCTTGTGTAGCCAGACTGCGGAAAGAGGAGCGGAATTGGTTCCAACGCAGAAGAAAAGAGATTTTTTTCCTTATGTAGCCGCGAATTTGGAGAAATTTTGGAGACGAAAGGATGGGGCTGGGTCATGTTTTGCGATGAGCGAACCTTGCTAGGAGGAGATGGGAAATGCCGACGCCGTCATTTGACCATGGAAGAGAGGTCGTATGCCGGCCCCGACCGCGGAGGGAAAGTTTTTGGGCTTTCCCCGCATGACGGGTCCGAAAAACAAATAACAAAAAAAGGGGGTTGAATTCCCCGATTTCTTGATCCGCATTCAAGCGGTGCGGTGGGTGGCTTTTGTAGTGTGCACATGTTGTGCTTGGATAAAACGTGCAGGTATGTACTTCGTATTGGTTGAAAACGGTCACGCGCGCGTGTGTGGCCAGCCAGCCACTAGCGTCACGGAGGATTAGAGATGACGACTTGGTGGTGTAAGCGGTTTCTCTGAGAGGATGAGAAGAAAATGCAGGGAAATAGATGCTTAAAATACTGTTTAACAATGCGCAAGGAGATGTGGCTATAGTACAGTTTCACTATACGAAGACGCACATGAGCAAGACAAGCAGGGCACCTGCAATCGTCGCATCCCCAAGATGAGACAAGATGTCTTGGCCGCATCTAGCCGCGGCCAATCGATAACGCGAGATGTGCCGTGTGCAGCCGGCGCAAGCCAGGCCTTAGCTCAGCCCACGTCGGTTCGTTTTGACAGAATCCATCAAGAAACAAAAAACTCCGGAGGCTAACGATGGATGACAGGGCCGGGGCGGTAATTGTAAGACATTGGATTGGAGGGATACGAACCTGCCTGCATGCAGAATTACCCCAAACGCTGATGAAGGGCTCCCCTCTCCTCCTCCCTCCCTCTTCCCCACTAACAACGCCGAGTCTTGAGACTCCAACTTTGGCCGCCGCCGCCGCCGCCGCCGCCCGCGCCCCCCCTCCACTTTGTCTTCCTCCGCCGCCCCCGGCCCTCCAAGTCGGTCACAAACGTTGTGCGGCCACGCTTTTGGGAAGGCTGGCTGGCAGATGTAACAGACTAAGTTGTAGTTGATGGATCTGGTTTGACTTTCTGCCACCCAGTTTCCTTTTAGTGTGCTCGTGCCCTCCTCTTCAGCTTCCCCAAACTCTTCCCTTCATCCTTCCCTACCTGATTCATTCCAAAATCGTAGTGAGCCTTCAATTGTAAAGACTGCTACATCATTCTCTCATCATGGAGATAAATCTCGCCCACGTTCAGATGTGGCTGGGCCTCCTTGTCGGCGGAGGTGCCTTCTATGTATGTCGCGACACACCTCACCTAACTCTACTCACCTTGTTACGGCAAGACATTAACTCGCCCGTTTGCACATAGGCCTTCGCCATCATCGTCTACCGAGTCTTCTTCCATCCTCTAGCCAAGTACCCCGGCCCCTTCCTCGCCAAGATTACCGATGCCTACCAGCTCTACCACGCCTACAGGGGTGATCGCCATCTTGAGTTTTGGCGCATGCATGAGAAATATGGTACGAACAGCTAAACTCCAAACCTCACCACCCATCCTTCTTCCAGCTTCCACTCTTGATCAAACATCACGTCACAAGTGATTAACAGCATCCCCCAGGCAAGGTCGTTCGCTTCGGCCCCAATAGCGTATCCTTCAACTCCAACACGGCCCTCAAGGAAATCTACGGCTTCCGCTCCAACGTCCGCAAGGCCGAGTTCTACGACGCCTTTGTCCACCCGGCCGCCAACACGCACAACACCCGCGACAAGGAAGTCCACGCCCGCAAGCGCCGCGTCCTCTCCCACGCCTTTGCCGAGGGCGCCATGAAGGAGATGCAGCGCTACATCCTCGGCAACGTCCGCACCTTTTGCGAGCAGATTGGCATGCGTGACGGCGGCAGCAGCGCTGTCACGACGACCGACGCCAAAAGCGGCTGGTCCGCCCCGCGCAACATGGCGGACTGGTGCAACTACCTGGCCATGGACATTCTCGGAGACCTGAGCTTCGGCAAGGCCTTTCACATGCTCGAGCGCCCGGACAACCGCTTCGCCCTGGAGCTGGTCGAGGCAGCCACCACCAGACATCTCATCGTACGTTTGGACTGAACCTGGCAACAACGAATGCTCTCGGCACCATTGCTAACCCTTCTCTCTCGCTCTCCCCCAGTGCGGCACCATGCCCATCGTCGACAAGCTCAAGATTGACCGCTTCCTCTTCCCCAAGCTCGCCGCCGGCCGCGCCCGCTACATGGCCTACAGCAAGGGCCAGCTCACCGAGCGCACCAAGCTCGGCGAGGAGACGGACCGCCGCGACTTCTTCTACTACCTGCTCAAGGCGCGCGACCCGGAGACGGGCCAGGGCTTCAGCACGCCCGAGCTGTGGGGCGAGTCCAACCTGCTCATCATCGCCGGCTCCGACACCACCTCGACCGCCATGGCGGCCACGCTCTTCTACCTGGTGCGCAGCCCGCACGCGCTCGCCAAGGTGACCGAGGAGATTCGCGGCAAGTTTTCCAACGTCGAGGAGATTGTGCACGGGCCCGCGCTCGGCGGCTGCACCTACCTGCGCGCGTGCGTCGACGAGGCGATGCGGCTGTCGCCGTCGGTCGGCGGCATCCTGCCGCGCGAGATCCTGGCCGGCGGCATGACCATCGACGGCCACACGCTGCCCGCGGGCACCGTGGTCGGCGTGCCGCACTACACGGTGCACCACAACGAGGCGTACTTCCCGGGCGCCTTCTCGTACGTTCCGGAGCGCTGGCTGGCGGGCAGCAAGAACAGCGCGCTGGGGCGGGAGACGGCGGCGGAGGACGTGGCGCTGGCGTCGTCGGCGTTTTGCCCGTTCAGCGTCGGCCCGCGCGGATGCATCGGCAAGGGCCTGGCGTACGTCGAGATGACGACGACGCTGGCGCGCACCATCTACACGTACGACATGCGCAAGGCGGTCGGCGTCGAGGACCCGAGTGAGGGCCGCGCGGGCAACGAATGGGGTCGTCACCGGCCGAGCGAGTTTCAGCTGGTCGACACGTTTACCAGTGCTAAGAAGGGTCCAATTGTCGAGTTCAAGAGGATGAATGACGAGTAGGGGGAGAGGTGAAGATGGGAGTAGATTTTTTTAATGTTGAAAAATCGAACCGCATGTGACCTGTTGGACGGGTCCAGTTTGAAGCTGCCTACTACTATGCATCTTGTTGAGATGTAAAAACATACAAATTGAATAAAAAAAACCATGAAAACCACTGAAATAATTAAATCATTGAAATAAATTATCCGTAGTTATTAAGGCTGCCGTCTCTTGACTTCGCACATCGATGTACCCAACTGTGCTGTCTAACACGCCGCCCCACTGTCCACCGCCCTACTGCGCATCTCTTAGCACTTCGCGTCGGCTTCATGAGCCAGTCTTTTTTTTTTCTACGCCCTGTAACTGATGCACCTGCTTGTGAATCAACTCCCAATCCTTCTGTGTATTGCGTTCCACAGCAGGATATTGTGCAGGGGACACAGGAACGCAAAAGTACCATTGAAATTCCCACGCGACAAATGCACGCCATTCGAAGCCGACTTTGGTGCGATCTCCCAATCATGCAGTGCTGAAGCAGCACAGCGAGAATCGACAACCCCTCTCCTCTCGCCACCCTTCCTTTCTCTTTCCTTCCGACCGAATGCGACACCTCGCACTCGTCTTTACCCAACCGAATTCGCGATGACGCTGTGCAAATTCTTTCAGCAGGGCACCTGCCGGTTTGGAAGTACGTTCGAACCTCCCCGCCACGGCTTCCCCTCCGGCCACCACATACATCCCGGTTCTCGAGACCCCCCCGGGCCTCGGGACACCGAGGGCAATAGACCATATCTTGTGACAAGCAGCGCGTTAATAATCTCGACCACAATACAGACTCTTGCAGATTCGAACATCCTACCGGCGGGCAAGCGTCCTCAAACCGATTCGGCGCTCTAGGCGGTGGCAGCAACGCCCAGTTCCAGCGCAGCTTCGGTACGACCCTATACCGATCCCTTTCCCCGCCCCGCCCCCCATGAAGAACCGCTCAGCTCACTCGTTATTCCTCCCCCTCTCTTAGATAAATACTCGATCAAGCTCGATGTGATAGAAACCGACCTGACAACCGAGACCCCGACATGGATCCTTTCTGCGTACGCTCCGGGCCGCGACGCCCCCGACCAGCTTTTTGGCGGCGCCATGCGCGAGCAAAGCTTTGAGGAGATGCGCCTGCATTACATGAAAGGAAAGGCAGAAGGCAACGAACAGCGAGCGGTACGGATTCTCCCCAGCGAGGCCTTAAAATGCCAAGATAGAGAGAGGGATGCTAACTTGTAGCCCCCCAGCTTGCCGAGGCCCAGGAGCTGTACCAGAAAGCACAGGCGCAGATGCAGGCGGTTGTGTCAAACGTCAGCGAAGCCGCCAAGTATGTCGTCGAGGGCGAGAACCGACATCCGAACCGCTTCGATATCTGCCAGCAGGGCACGCAAGGCGCACCTTTTGGCGAGTTCCTCGTCGGCAAGCGGCCCAAGTCGATAGCACCGGAGCAACCCGCGAACCCCTTTGCCTCCAATACTAGCACCCTTGTTGCGTCTGCCAACCCATTCGCTACGAATAGCACCGCGACCAACGCGTCGTCTCCATTTGGAGGCAGCGCCGCGCCCACGACGACGACGAGCGCGTTTGGACAGCCGTCCGCTCCGGGTCAAAAGCCGAATCCATTCGGGACGCCCGCCTTTGGACAAACGGCGCAACCAGCCCCAGGATTTGGGGGACAGCCAGCCACGCAACCGTCTGCGTTTGGGCAACCCGCGGCGCAGCCCTCCGCGTTTGGCCAACCAGCACAGCAAAAGCCAAACCCGTTCGGCCAAGCGGCGCCAACCCAGCCCTCAGCCTTTGGGCAACCCTCGACGCTGGGGGCGAAGCCCAGTCCTTTTGGCGCTCCTGCCTTTGGTCAAACTGCGCAGGCCGGTGGCGCCCAGACATCCGCGTTTGGCCAGCCCAGCCAACTCGGCCAAAAGCCAAATCCTTTTGGCGGCAACGCCAATGCTGGGCCGAGTCCCTTTGCAACAGCTGCAGCTAGCAACAACAACGCGCCGGCGAATCCCTTTGCAGGAAACAGCAACGCCGGCCCGAGCCCATTTGCCGCGACGTCAAACAACAATCAACAGCCAGCTGCGAATCCTTTCGGTGCTCCCTCGACAAACCAGCCTGTTCCAAACCCATTCGGGAGCCAGCCGCCGACGCAAAACCAGAATGCGAATCCCTTTGGGCAGCCGTCCGCCACACCCGCCGCCAATCCATTGGGTAGCAACGCTCCATCTTCGACGCCGGCTGGAAATCCTTTCGCGACTGGCGGTCAGCAAGCTGGTAGTGGTGGCAACGCAGCGCCGAACCCGTTCGCGGCAGCACAATCCAACACAAACGCAGCGCCGAACCTGTTCGCGGCAGCACAGTCAAACGCAAACGCGCCGAACCCCTTCGCCGCCGCCCCGGCCAACCAAGCCCAACCCGCGGCTGTGACGGCCGCGCAGGGTGGCAACCCGTACCCGCCTGGGAGCGCTAAGCAGCACCCCGCCGCTGAGAGCTACACTAGTAGGAATATGGACGGCACGCTGGCCGCGTTCAAAGGCAAGGCCGTCACTTACAACGACGGCAAGCCGGGTGTGCGCGCGTTCGACGGCACCTGGACTCGCATCTGGTTTCCCGACGGGCCTCCCGCGTACTATAAGGACACGGAGGCCGCCGCGTACGACCAGGCGTCCACGGCGCAGTGGAAGCAGTTTGAGCAGACGGGGAAGTTTGCGGACGGCGTGATGCCCTCGGTGCCCCCGCCGCGAGAGTGTACTGTATGGGACTTTTGATGGGATGGGAGAGAGAAAGAGTTGTGTGTACACATTTCTTCGGGCGTTTTTTTTGGCTTTGGTTCGATTTGGGTTGACATCACTGTTCTTTTTTGGGTATCTGGTTCAGTTGTAAGGACACGCACACACGCCTCTACAAGTAGCGGCGGTAGAGGCTGACAGAACATTTTAATTGGGAGCATTTACAATCATACATTTACATTTCACATGTCACATGTCACGTTCAAGGAATTGACGTTATTCTGTGGGAGAAAATGTAACTCTTTTCATTATTCATTTCCTCATCCGTTGCGAGCGCCGAAACGGCTGCGCCCTGTTCCAGACGCCAGTCGTCCGTCTCGACCATTCCCGGTGGTTGTCGCGGTGCGGCACCGCGCGCTTAGGCGGCGATGGTGACCTCGACCTCGACGCCGGCGTCGATGTTGACGATGATCTGCTTGACGACCTCGGTCGGGGCGTTGAGGTCGATGAGGCGCTTGTGGATGCGCATCTCGTAGCGGTCCCAGGTCTTGGAGCCCTCACCGCAGGGGGTCTTGCGGGTGGTGATCTTGAGCGTCTTGGTGGGCAGGCGGACAGGGCCCTTGGCGCGCAGGTCCTTGTTCTTGGCGCGGTCGATGATCTCGGTGCAGACCTTCTCGAGGACCTGGACCTTGCGCGAGGACAGGGTGATGCGGATCTTGTGGCTCTTCTGTGCGTGTTTGTTAGCATCTGGGCAAGAGAGTTCGCAGTGCAAGCAGCGCGCGAGCGAAGCGAGGACCAAAAAAACGTACGGGAGCCTCGCCGACGTCCTTGTCAGTCTTGTTGTAGGACATTTTGAATGATTTGGCGGGAGGAGAAGAATTGACTTCACGACTCGAACGTTGTTAGGGGCTGTTGTTTTGAAAACAGACGTTTCGGCAAAGTGATGAAGTTGAAGAAGAGGAAAAGAAGGGCTTCTGGATTGCGGCGCTTCGGTGGGTAGAAAAGTTTCGGTGGGGGAATTGTGTGAATTCGGTTGTGCGGTGCGCTAATACTATAATGGTTAGGGCGCTACTCTTGAGATGACATGGTTGGCTAATAAATGAGATCTAGTGGGGCGTAAAGGCATAATCAGTACGTACATCTCCAACCAACAACAGAGGCTCTTTTACCTCGTGTATTGGGCACAACGAGTAATCATTGATAGCTATTTGCAAGTTAACGTTGAGAAATATTACGTACTTTGTTTTCGGAAATTATTGTAGACTATGTCGTCGAGTCTATCATTCCGCGCCTCTGTTGCATTACCTGCGCAGTGTCGGTCAATGTGCTAGCATCGCTTTCTTAAAGATGGCCAAAAAGTATTGACTGCCATCTTCAAGCTGCTTCTATGAGCAGATTTGGTTGAAAAGCAAGATAAAAAAAAACAGTATTATGTTAATCTTCAGTCGGAATTGGAGGGGGGTGACAAACACATCTCTACACTTATCTGGACAGTGGGCATGTGCGCTGTGCACTCATGGTCTCTCACCAACAAGCATCACAAAGGCGATTAAAGGGCCATTTCTTAATTACCAAGCGAAAGAAATCTTCCAGATCATCATATCTATTGATGATGCACCCCTCTATCGTCGGCTTATACCAAGTTCGCGGATACTGCATGCAAGCACGGGCCACCCCACTAGCTGCTACACAGCAAGGCGCTGAGCTTCAAGCTTGACAGACCCTCTTTGGTATGAATCATCCGGTGATTCAACCACAGCCTCGCAAGAGGCAGCGCACAAATCTCAGCAGACCAGTCATGGAGACGCGACTTCAACCTTGATCAATTCATTGTTCCTTACGAAGTTCGCAGAAGCTTCCGCACGTCAGGGAGCAACGCAACGAATTTGGACGCTCTCGCTCAAAAGCCTACCAACCTACCCCTCCATCCCGCTAATATGGCCAAGTTGCCATTGCTGGCAGCTTACCCTCCGGCCGCATGGCGTCACAAGCTTTCGTCAACAGAATGGGAATCGTTACAGAATGCCTGGGCAACATTATTACAAGCCCATATCAGCTCCCCGGCCGCTGAATTGACCAGGAGTATCTCTGAAGAAGACTCATCGCTCACGCGCTTCCTAACCACTTTTGCGCGAGAAGCAGCCTCACAAGATGCATCTCATCCGCCATCACCAGCCCTGCTCAAAGCCGTCTTACAATTAACAGCCAAGTCCTTGACGGTAAAACTGGCTTCCGACTTGGAAACGTTTGACCATCTCGCCAACCTGGCCAAGATTTACCCCAAGAAGCTCGCGGCGCCGGTGCTCTCACAAGCGTTCACGTCACCGCACGCGGCTGCCATTGAGTCGTCGCTGACGACGCTGAAAAAGTCTCTCATTGTCGAGTTGGACGCTGGAATTCGCGGCGACCTTCGACTTGCTGAGGCGAGCCTAGTCCGGCTCAACCCGCTGCTGCACGCCTCCCCCGACGCGTGCGTGCTGTTCCTCGCCGGCGACGACTTCCTCGACGGCCTGGTCGCCGGCTACCGGGTTACGAACCCGCCGCTGCGCAAGGCCATCCTCGCAACGCTGTATCTGTGCCTTTCTGGCCTCGTCGAGACGCGGCCCGCCAAATGGTCTATGCTGAGCGACGCGCTGTTCGCGCTCGCCGCCGCGGCCGAGCAGCACAAGAAGGGACCGCTCAACGTGAACGACTCGTTGGTGCCGGAGCTGGTCACGGCGACGCCGCTGCTCAGGGTGCTTCTGACAAGGGCGGAGGCAGAAGGCGCGGCGACGCCCAACTTCAAGAAGCGCGTTGCGGCGCTGGAGGTGTTCAGGAAGGGCGCCATGGTGCGGCCGAAGAGGCTGATACGACGCAGGGTGGACAAGGGCAAGAGCAAGCAGACGAGTCACGATGTCGATGCCGAGGTGCATGTGCATCGCATGAGCCAGATTACGCAAGTGCAGGACTTGTTCCCAGACCTGGGAGCCGGATTCGTCGCCAAGTGCCTAGACGAGTATGACGAAGATGTCGAGCAGGTGGTTGCCAACATCCTCAGCGAGTCATTACCACCACACCTAGCTACCGCCGATCGTAGCGCGCAACTGTACGTTTTCCTTTGTTCAAATGCTTCAGGCTCCGCTACTTACGGAATTCTAGATCCTCATCTCACCAGCAACCACCGTCCGACATGGCACCGCACGCCACGCCACCACAGCTCCCAACGCGCCGCAACATCTACGACGACGACGAGCTGGACCGCCTCGCCATCGACACCGCCAAGCTGTCCTTTGGCAAGCGGCCCGAGCGGACCGCCGACCAGCTGCTGCGGGACCGCTCCTCCGCGCCCGGTAAGGCCGCCATCCTCTCCGCTCTCGCCGCCTTCGACTCGGACGACGACGAGCGCGACGACACGTACGATGCCGGCGACGTGGGTGGCACCGTCGACGCCTCGGGGGCGGCGGGCCAGGAGGCCGACGCCGCCCGCGACGCCAACGAGGAGGCGCTGTTCCGCGCGTTCCGGGCGGACGCCCGCGTCTTCGACCGCGACGCCACGACGCGCCGGTCCGCCGCGCGCGCGAAGCTCCGCGACGACACGGGAATGGCCGACGAGGCGCTCGAGGGCTGGGCGCTCATGCTCGCGCGCAACGCGGGCCAGCTGCGCCGCCTTGAGGCCAAGTACAGCGCCTTTAGCGGGCAGCAGCGCGAGCTTGCCCGCACGGCGTGGACGGCGGAGGAAGGCGAGGCTGGAGACGGTGCGGTGCCGAGCAGAGGCGGGCGTGGACGCGGCGGCGGCGGACGTGGTAGAGGTGGTGGAGGAGGAGGAGGAGGAGGAGGAGGGAGAGGGAGAGGTGGTGGAAACGTGGCGGGACCGACGGGGGACAAGGGCACGGACAATGCCCGAAAGAATAAAGAGGCAAATAAAGGCTCGCGAGCGAACCATAACCGCAAGGCCGGCCACGCCAAGAAGATGGCGCGCGGAGGCTTCGCTGGGTAAGAAGGAAGTGTGGGCATGGGAGGTTCTATTCCCTTCCTGGGGTCATGTACGTACTGCACACATATGTACACGGACGGTGTCGCTGCGAGGCTGAATACTGAGCATGCACGGAGCGAAAACCTGCATTCTGATAGAACGTCATATGGCATGAATGTCAAGGGCGAAATGTTTAAGAAATGAAGAGACTACTGTGTCTTGCGTATGCTCTATGGAAACGTGATGCCGATGGTGGCATGTTGCTAGTGAAGACGTGGAAACGTAAGAACCCGCAAATGTTGGATTGTCAGTCATATCTGCTGATAAGTGTAAAAACGACCTGGTAAAACGCCGTGTATCGGGGCCCTTTGCCCCCTCTCCTTCCCCAATATCATACCCTGAGGTACGCTGTATGATGGTTAGTACATGGGCCAGCTCTTTGCACCTCTGGGAGATCGGAGTTGAAACTTACTCGCATCAATCTGCTTGAGCTGCGGCAGCGCCAGCCGAACCTTGTTCCGGTACAGCGCCGGCGCGCGGAGCTGCAGGGGGTTTCCCTCAAAGTACACCGTCGTGAGGGCCTCCTTGTCCTTGAGCTCGCGCTCGACGTCGGCAAAGTCCATGATCAGGTTATAGCTGGCCCAGACCTCCTCGAGCCGCTTCAGCGGCCCGAGCCCCTTTAGGCTGTCGATCTTGTTGTGGGAGACGTCGACGGTGGTGAGGTTGACGTTGGCCTCGAGGCCCTCGAGGGAGTCGAGCATGTTGTGCGAGATGTAGAGCTCCTCGAGCTGCGGCACCTCGCGCAGCGGGCGCAGGTCGCTGATGCGGTTCGACTGGATGCTGAGGAGGCGCAGGCGCGGCAGCCCGCCGAGGTTCTTGAGCTCGGTGATCTTGTTCTTGGCGAGCCAGAGCTCCTCGATGCCTGTCAGCGTGTCGAGGTTCTTGATCTCGCGGATGCGGTTGGACCCGAGCTCGAGCGAGGTGACCTGGTCGAGGCCGTCGAGGTTCTCAATCTCTTTGATCTTGTTGGCGACGAAGTAGAGCGTCCGCAGGTTGGTGAGGTGGTTGACGTGCTTGATGTGCTTGATCTTGTTGAAGCTGAGGTCGAGGTTGGTCAGCTTGGTGAGGCGGTCGAGGCCGCGGATGTGCGATATCAGGTTGTCGTAGAGGTCGAGGTCCTCGAGGGTCTCGCCGAGTGCGTCGAGGCCCTCGATGTGCTGGATGTTGTTTTGCCGGAGACAGATTTGCACGACCTTCTGGAAGCGGTCGAGGCGCAGGCGCTCCATGGAGCCGATGCGCGAATGGGTATAATTGATTTGCTCCGTATCGGGATCCTCGTTGGCGAGTAAGTCTATAGAGAGTCTTGTCAGTGGCGAAGGCGGCGAGTGCGGGGGGACGCGACGTACCTTCGTCGGCGGCAATCTCCTCGCCGGGCAGCACGTTGTCGTCATCTGAATACTCAGGGTCCGAAACGGCCTCCGGGTTAGTCAGGATGGCCGACTTGGGTATGCGCAGCTTGCCGTCCCAGCCGTTGGCATTTGTCAGACCGGCGCTGCTGCTGCCTTCCGGTGCTGTGTCGGTATCGCGCGACTCGGCGTCCGCGGCGATGGTGACGTGGGCATGTTGCTGCTCTTCGCTTGTCGATCCGGGGGACATGATGTGTGCGCTTTTGCGGCGCTGAAGCGGGATTAGAATGCAGAGTTGAAGGAGGCAACTTTTGAGAAGCGCGAAAGCGGCTGACCTCGTTCTTGTATATCGATAATGAGATGGCGGGGCATTTCTTAGGCAGAGAGACGCTAGAGACAGAGCCGTGGTCACAATGACGGAGAGCTGAAGGGTTATGGTAAGGGGAAAATGCAAACTGACTAGAATCGAATAAACTCTGGGTAAGTTTACTAATGTTTTACATTTCTTGGACTTTTTTTTCTTAATCGGATTGCCTAGGTAGTTGAAGTGAGGCGCCTCAGAATCACACTAAATAAAATGGTATATACAACCACTGTAACACTGACAGTAGCCATGGTAATGTCCCTCTGATTTCTGTTATTCCAATTTCTGTTCTCCTTGAAAAATAAATGACGTTAAAAATTCTGAAAATTGAGATACCATGTATTAGGTTTTATGGCACCAAGATAATTAATAGAAAACCCGAGATCCTTCCACTCATGTAAAACTTTGTCTTGAACATGCTTTGGATAGCACCCGTTGAAGCTAGCAATCTTGAAGTCCCGTTCTCCCTTGTATTCGATAGGAAGAAGACAATCAGATATCATTTTTCCGCCGGTCCAGATTGGGCCAGTTCCGTGTCCTATCATCGGCACCAGAGGGAATGCAGTACAGTCCTCGTACAGGTACTCATCAAGCCCTGGCCGGCACCTTGTCGCGTACGCCCACATCACATTGTTGAAATCCAGGACGTCAATGTCATCGCCCACAACGAAGACGCGATGGATGAACCATCCGGGCTTCAGCTGGAAAATAATGTCCGAAAGTTGATCACACAACTCTTTCGATTCGCGTGGGCTTGATTGGAGTTTGGCATTGTCAATCTGCACAACTGCCCAAACTGTGTGGCTCTCAAAGGGACACCAAGCAGCCTTGACAGGCAGCCCTGCCTTCTGCGTCTGATCGAGAATCTCGGATGCAATTAGAGGCCCGAGAATAGCATGCTATTTTCACATTGTTAGTCATCAATGTTGCCAAAAGGGCTATTGTAGCGCCATGCCGACTTACCGTCTCATCCACAGCTTTTCCTGCTGCGCACACAGGCAAGATGGCATTATCGCGGTGGGTGATGCAATCGACGCGAAAGAGTGGCATGTCGGGTATTTTGTCGCCTGGGTAGAGGTAGCCGTGCATTTCGCCGTAAGGTCCTTCGACGTCTTTTTCGGTTGCTGACACAACACCTTCAAAGACAATTTCCGCCGTCGCAGGCACCAGGAGTCCATTCGTCTCACATTTGACTACATCAATGGGCTCCCCCATGACAGCTCCGATGTATTCGCCTTCCGACACATTTTCGGGCAGCGGCATTGAACTGGCCATGAGTGCTGCGGGCGGAGCGCCCAGCACCAACGCCCACGGCATGTCTTTGCCCAGAGCTTTCCACTGTTCAAAAATAGAGCCGTTGTGCTCGCCGCCTCCTGCAACGGCTAGACCAATGAGGTGCTTCGAGTCGTAAACATGAGCGCGTTGCAGAGACCAACTGGTCCATTTCCCATCCGGGCTCTGCACGACATGAAATCCGTACGTCTGGATGTATTTGCCACCATCGCCGTCGTGTGTCATGGGCGCTGGAATATTGTTCAGATCGATTTGATCCCCATGCAATTTGTTTTCCTTGCAAGGACCTGTTGGAACAACTGTAGGGGGGATCGGAGGTAGCGTCTTGGCAGATAACATTTTTGCCATGATGTCGTGGGCTCCAGCTGTCATAGGAAGGCCAAGATGGGCGGCAACGCGACCAAATTTGGAGTGCTCGGTTGTCCCCAAGCAACCCATGCCTCCCATGATGCGGAAGAATCCATCTTTTGCCCCAATTACATTATGAAAAAGCGGCGCCTTGGCTCTGATCTCGAGCGCGTGTCGAATAATAGCCGCAGCCTCCAAATTTGGGTCGACTGGGCGCTCAACATCGACCAACTCCCCCTTGTCGCGAAGATAGTCCACAAAGGCGCGGAAGTTCATAGCAGGGGAAGTATTCATGGTTGCAGAAGAGTATCGAAGAATTTAGTTGCAGAGGAGTATTGAAGAATTTGCAGTTCTGTTCGCAGATGAAGGCGACTAGAACTCATGGCATTGGGCTTCTTATATGGAAAATACCTATGCGAGTTGCGAGAGTTGCAAGGAGTTTGTTTGTTCACGATCCGAGAATTTTTCAAGAGATGACGCACAATTTGGAGAACAAGGCCAAATTTCAGCGACGTCAGATTCCCAATAACGATACATCTCCCGCGGCAGACTGCTCATTGAGCTTGACTTAGTTGCGCTTTCCCTTTCGTCTCGGACCGAAACCTAGCCCGGAACCTGGTGAGGGTCGGATCAGGTTCCGCGGCTCGAGGATGGGGGCTCCTCGGGTGTGAAGCAGGGCTCCTCGGATGTGAAGCAGGGCTCCTCGGATATCCCGGAGCGGAGGTCGCCGGCGCTCACCTTTGAACCCTTTCTCAACGTTTCCATCTCTACACCAATCGCAGCCGCGCTTCTCACATGTCTGAAAACCGCATGATGCTTCCGAGGGTCATATCCTTACCGCGCACGAAGCTTGGCGGATGACAACTCCAAAGTTCACCAGGCTTCACATACCACTGGGATGTACAGGAGCGGAGGCGTGTTGTAGAGAGCTTACCCTAGATTCAACTGACCAGTATATCTAGCCTCTCGATTTGCCCCTTCCTATGGCCGAAACTCAACCCTTATTGAACCCTCTTTAATTTCCACCGAACACTGTCTCATTTCCATTGAACCCTCTCTGGCTACCATGGCAGAAACCCCTACTAGGAAACGAATCATCCTGGCCATTACAGGCGCAACAGGGGCTGCCATCGGCATACGCATTCTCCAGCTCCTCCGTGGTCTAAATGTCGAAACGCACCTCATCATCAGCAAATGGGCCGCCGAGACCATCAAATGGGAAACCGATTACTCCATCGCAGCTCTGAAAACTCTTGCAGATCACTCATACAGCCCACATGACCTAGCAGCGCCTATCGCGAGTGGCTCGTATAAGACTGATGGAATGATTATCGCCCCTTGCTCTGTCAAGAGTCTAGCGGCCATCAATGCTGGGATTTGCAATGACCTCATCACAAGGGCGGCTGATGTCTGCCTCAAGGAGAGGAGGAGGCTTGTACTCAGCGTCAGGGAGACACCATTCAACGAGATCCACCTGAGGAATATGCTCGAGCTGTCTCGGGCAGGGGCTGTGATCGCGCCGCCCGTCGTTGGCTTCTACACTAAACCAGCGGGCATAGACGATATTTTGGATCAGATGTGTGGGAGGCTCCTGGATCTTTTTGACCTCGATAGCAAAAGCTTCGAGCGATGGACTGGAATGCATGACGGCGCTGCAGGAGTTTGATGCTGGCTTACATTGTCTCTATCTCTAATATACTATTATTAGTGTGCTTCTCCGGTTTAGATCTGACCCAGTAAAAGCTGAAGAGTGATGACCACGTTTCGACCGCCACTAAGTGACAGTAGGGGAAAGTAAAGGAGCAGGGAAGAGGCAGAATGATAGTGCAAGGTTCTGTTAAAACTTATCGCCTCCTTACAGTACAGAAGTAATATGTCTGACAATTAGAAACCGGTGTTAGGATCTAGCATTAGATTCGAGAAGAACCAGTTATTCCAAGCGACGGACGGATTTTCTGGGCTCAACCCATCCAGGAAATCAAAATCTAACGGTAAGCTGGTCTCGTTTCCCAATGCTTCAGGCTGCTCGATATCCTGAGCGTTTACCACGGGCGGAGCCGCGTCGAAACCAGTTGAGCCTGTACTGGGCGGCGCCTCACACATGCACCGGCTTTTTACCTTGTTATTGGCTCTTTGTAGGCTTCCTTTATAACGACGAGCAATCTTCGTATTAGAGTCAGAAAACTCGAGTACGCTGCAAGCAGTCTCAACAAGATTGTCAAGCTCAGCGGACGAAACATGCTCTGACAAGCCAGGAAACAAACGAGCAGCGATGATGACGGTGGCAGCTATATATGTATCTTGAGAGACCATCAATTTCAGGCAGGCGTCGTTGATTGAGTTGCACTTACATGTTATAATGTGCCAGCGAAAAGGAAGTGAGCCGTGCCCAGAGGAGCTGAGCTGCGATCGCCTTTCCATTTCACGGCGCATGGTTTCAATTATATCTCGAGCGGTGTATACGCAATTCAGCTGACACTGTTTCTCGATTGATGCGGTGATCGAACAGTCACCGTTTCGAGCCATAGCTGCATTCTGCGTCGCGATACCCGATCGACCTGGATCCAAAAACGGCCTGAGGAGAAGAAGTCGAACGCAAAGATAGCTGCTTCGGTCAGATTTGAAGCTGGCACTTGTGCAATGTTGAGACGGCCTACCGAGATTCCAATGCGTTGGCTTGTCGTGATATGGTATTTTCGTCCGAAATCTTGCGCAGGTTCGATCCAGGTAGCAGTTGCGAAGGTAGTTGTTGACGCCACGACAGGAGCTCAGACTCGATGCGGACGACTTCCGGCAGAAGAGTGATCAGCAAATTATTCGCAGTACTAGGCTTGGCCTGTACTGGGTTTTCTGGGCTGGCTTTGCAATTGACGAGATAGAACACCTCCAGAACATCGCCCAAAATATGGTGTAGTTGGTAGTATGCACTGTAGAAGCTACAATTGGTCAGGACCGATGCCAGTGCGGTAGATGTGGCGGAGTAATCGGCTGCTATTGCCACTCCTTGTGGTATTTTCAATGCACAGCCGAAAAGCATCGCTGTTTGTCTGTACTTGGTTAGTATTCAGGATATGAGAAAGCCTGTTGTTTTGGTGCCGCACTTATCCAGGATAACACAGCCCTGCCAAACTCTTCGTGACAGCTGACGTTCTCCCAAGTCTATCAATCCATTCGTCATGGCAGGCAAATGTAGGCCAATGAATTGAGCGATATGGATTGCTAGGTTGATGCTATGTAAACATCTCTGCGGCGTACTGTTGTTTTGCTGGTACAAAGCAGACAACAGCAACACTTGTATGTGTTCGAAGCTGTTCACTTCCATCAGGTTGCAGAGCATAAGCTGTTCGGCTCTCGAATAAAAGACGCCGGCCAATTTAGATGGCTGTTTGGATCCAGAGCCTTGAAACGAACCAATCTCACAGGCTAGAGCAAACATCAAGTTCAAGATGCAGTGAAACATTCTTGCATCGATCTCCATCTGCTTGTCATTAGCCCAGAGGGCCTCGTATGCTCGACTCATAGCAGCTTTGTCGAGCCAGGGGAAGATTGGATCGACATATTGCCAAAATGTCTCAAACAGCTCGTCGGCGGTGCGCTTGGTCGGGAGGACAAAATCTACTTCGGAGTATGTTACATCACCTGACAGCGAATGTCGTACTCTGGGCAGTGTTGTAGTACGTCTTGCCCAAGAACTTGTTTGAGGCTGCTGAAGCGAATGACCCCCTTCTAATGCATTCTCTATCTGCCGCATGAAGGCCGCTCCTGTAGAAGAGCCGACCAGCGTTTCGGTTGGCACAGAGACATTCTCGTGACGGGCGGAATTTTGTTGGGTGACTGCCTGCGCCTCCCGTTGAGTTGTCACAAAGGACCCAGACCGCGCAGATTGTGCTCTCTGTCGGACTTTGATGGAGTGTTCCTCTAGAGCCTGCTGTGCATCATTTTGAACACCTTGTTGGCTTTGGCGAGCCTTGAAAGATGTCGTCAGCATATTACTGTTCATGAATTGCTTTGACGGCGCACCTCGAGAGCTCTTGATTGTCCACTACTGAGAAGAACTCTAGGCTCATCCGCTTGAGACACTGGAAGTTCACCTGCTTTCGATTCAACTTGCCTATAATTGCAACTTTCAGCTAGCCCTCGCATAGAGCAAGCCAGGCAAGCTGTATCAATGATGAGCAAGATTCGTTTTCCAACAGTCTTGCACTTACTTGGACGTTCACCGTCACATTTGGTTTTTCTTTCCTTGCATGCATTACAAGCGACACCAACCCGGTGAATCTTGGAACGAGGATGTTGACGGGCCGGGCTATCTGTCCTACGCTTTTCAGCCATGTTAAGCCGGAAAATATATCGTCTCCGCTGGCATGGTACATGCGCGTTAGACATGGGAAGAAAGTTAGTTATTCCCTTGGCCAGAGGCTCCTGGGCATATCCGGAACGGATGAACGTTCCACCGAAGCACCGTACATAGGCACATCTCACATCGACTCATTCATATCTCATCACTATGTCCCTGTGCCTGATTCTATCATTAGTTATCTCTGACCTCTTTATTGCTGAAAGTTGACAGAATAAGTAACTAAAAGCTTCTCAGCCCAACAGCGGCAGTGTGTCGGGACAAGTACCATCCCCGGAGTTTCCTAAACGGGCCCTCCCAATAACTAGACAACGCCAAGTGGAGAACTACGTCAATTTGGCGACCAGAATTTGCAGCTATGTCAATCATTCGATGGCTTGAGTAGTGAATCGGTGGACAGTTGGAGTGCTGGAAAAGTCACTCAGTGGAGTGACGATAAGTGTGGACTGCACGATTGGTTGATTGGCTCGGTCGGACCACGTTGGCACGCTGTGAAGAGTTTGAATGGAGCAAGCTCAAGTCGATGGGGCCCGATGGCGGATGGCCAGGACAAGACTCCGATCAGCCGGCTTTGCTCTTTTGCGCCAAGACCCCGTGGTGGTATTGGAGGTCGAATCGACAAGAAATTTTTAAGACGACGGAGATATTAGCACTGCGCGTCTCGTGGCACACAGCCACCGATGCCGCTCATCGGTGCAGGGTAGTACATCTGTCTGGCCTGTCTATCGAGACGCGTACAACTTTTTGTTTGACTCTAAGCGCACTTAACTTAGCAATGAGCAAATATCAAACATAACAGTTAAACATTTCTCTAGTAACAACTGCTTCTACTGTTTGTACTTGCTGTTGTGCACTCGGTCAATGCGGCAGCGGCTTACCAGAATGACGGCACTGATTACATAAGGATGAGAAAGCTCCACTAAGAAATTCAACTGCGACAAGTCCACTCATATTTATCCCCTCACTTCGAAACATCCATCTCCGGCATTCGCTGTCTTCTTGTCTCCTACATTAACCACTCATTCCCGCGAAGAAAGCCCCTTTTACCGTGTCAATTCTTCGCAAATATTCACAAAAATGGCCTACACCGAATTAGATCAGCTCGCAATCAACACCATCCGTCTACTGGCGGTAAGCTACCTACCCCTCATCGTCATGATGCCCCGCGGCAGGACCCCGCCATCCTGGTATCGATGTCGGCGTCCGCCTTTGTCGCCATCGCCCTGGGCATCACAACTCTCAATTCGGCGCAAATACTAATAAAGCACTTCTCTTTCAGGTGGATGCCACCTTCAACAGCAACTCGGGCCATCCCGGTGCCCCCATGTAAGCTCGCTTCCAGTTCGTCGCGGGGTTGCTGCAGGAGCCTTGCTGCCCGAAGAAACAGCCTGCTAACGCATCATCACACAGGGGCATGGCTCCCGTTGCCCACGTCCTATTCAACAAGTTCATGCGCTTCAACCCGCAGAACCCTTCGTGGCTGAACCGCGATCGTTTTGTCCTCTCGTAAGTTTCGGATGTCTCGGCCCGACCTTAATAGGCTCTTTTTAACACCATCCAGTAACGGTCACGGCTGCATGCTTCAGTATGCTCTGCTTCACCTTTTCGGCTACAAGCTTACTATCCAGGACCTCAAGGACTTCCGTGTGAGTACTTCCCATAAAATAATTTTGAATCTTCATTTTCTCGTCCCTTCTGCCGTTTCCATGCTCCCCTCTCGTTTTCTACAACCCACTCCTGTCACAGCTCTCACCTTCCCGAGCTAACCGGTTTGCAGAAAGTCGACAGCATCACCCCTGGCCACCCCGAGGCTCACGATACCCCGGGCATTGAGGTCACCACTGGCCCCCTCGGCCAGGGTGTCTGCAATGCCGTCGGTCTCGCCATGGCTCAAGCCCACACAGCTGCCATCTTCAACAAGCCTGGCTTCGACCTCGTCAACAACTACACATACTGCTTCCTTGGCGATGGCTGCCTGATGGAGGGTGTCTCTGGTGAAGCCAGCTCCCTCGCTGGCCACCTCCAGCTTGGCAACCTCATCTGCATCTACGACGACAACCACATTTCTATTGATGGCGACATCAACTGTGCTTTCACTGAGGATGTTGCCAAGCGTTATGAGGCCTACGGGTGGCATGTCGTCACCGTAGGTGACGGTGACAGCGATCTCGCTGGCATCGAGGCTGCCATCAAGGAGTGCCAGGCTGTCAAGGACAAGCCTTCCATGATCAAGCTCCGCACTACCATCGGGTACGGCTCCCTCCAGCAGGGTACCCACGGTGTCCACGGCTCTCCGCTCAAGGCAGACGACATTGCTCAGGTCAAGAAGAAGTTTGGCTTCAACCCTGACGAGAGCTTCGCCGTTCCCCAGCAGGTCTACGATCTCTATGGCAAGCACTCCTCCGAGGGCGCGGCCGCCGAGTCCGAGTGGAACCAACTGCTTGCCAAGTACAAGGAGAGCTTCCCTGCCGAGCACGCTGATCTTGTCCGCCGCCAGTCCGGTGAGCTTCCTCAAGGCTGGGAGAAGTCTCTGCCCACTTACACCCCCTCCGACGCTGCTGTCGCTACCCGTAAGCTCTCCGAGACTGTTCTCACCAAGATTGAAGCTGCCGTTCCTGAGCTGTTCGGTGGTTCCGCCGATCTGACTGGCTCCAACCTCACCCGCTGGAAGAACGCTGTCGACTTCCAGCCCAAGGCCACTGGCCTCGGTGACTACTCTGGTCGCTACGTTCGCTATGGTGTTCGTGAGCACGCCATGGGCGCCATCCTCAACGGTCTCGCCGCCTACGGCACCATCCTCCCCTACTCCGGTACTTTCCTCAACTTCGTCTCCTATGCCGCTGGTGCCGTCCGCCTGTCGGCCCTGTCGCACTTCCGCACCATCTGGGTCGCCACCCACGACTCCATTGGTCTCGGTGAGGACGGCCCTACTCACCAGCCTATTGAGACCCTTGCCCACTTCCGTGCCCTGCCCAACTGCATGGTGTGGCGTCCTGCCGACGGCAACGAGACCTCCGCTGCCTACTACGTCGCCCTGACCTCCAAGCACACCCCCAGCATTGTCGCCCTCTCGCGCCAGAACCTTCCCCAGCTGGAGGGTGCCACCATCGAGAAGGCATCCAAGGGTGCCTATGTCCTGCAGGAGGTTGAGGGTGCTAACGTGACCCTTATCTCCACCGGTTCGGAGGTGTCCATCTGCGTCGACGCCGCCAAGGAGCTTGCTGAGAAGCACGGCCTCAAGGCCCGTATCGTGTCCATCCCTTGCTTCGAGGTCTTTGACGCGCAGTCCAAGGAGTACCGCCTCTCCGTTCTGCCCGACGGCATCCCCATCCTGTCGGTTGAGGTCATGAGCACCATGGGATGGGAGCGCTACTCTCACGAGCAGTTTGGCCTCAACCGCTTCGGTGCTTCGGGTGCCTACAAAGACGTGTACAAGAAGTTTGAGTTCACGCCCGAGGGTATTGCTAAGCGTGCCGTTGCTACTGTGAACTTCTGGAAGGATGTTCCCAACGTGCGCTCCCCTCTGAACCGCGCGTTCCAGCAGCTCATTTAAATATACCACTATAGAACGGGATGGATTATGTCTAATGTTAAATAAAAAAAAGGTCAAAACAATTTTCGGCTGGTCTGATGACTAGAATTATCTTACAACGGTTGCCTAGATACTTAGCTATTTATTATTACGAGAAAGAAATTGAACGATATTCAGATTTATTTAGTCGTGGGGTGACCCATGATGAATGATGCAGGACAGTTTTCTAGAATTGCACCTGGTCTCCTAAGTAAGAAGAATAAGATAGGCTCTATCTACTAGTCCTATAAGCCCACCGCGGTACCTGAACCGCCCGATGCCAGCTCCACTTCACGCCCCTTGGCGTTCATCGCCATTGTGTCAGATCACAATCCCCAGTTCCCACTGGATGCCCAGACTGATCCAGGTTATTTTTCCATGGGCTTCTCCTTGACCATCCCCTGCACCCCCCTCGCCAGCGCCTCACAACTCGAGATAAACCCCCATGACTTCTGGCAGTTAAAGTCCACCATCTGCCGCGCATACTCGGGGCTCGTCGTACCGCAACCATCTCTCAATAACACAGTGTCGAACCCTTTGCTCGACGCGTCCTGGATCGTCGCCAGTACGCACTGGTCCGTATTCACCCCGGCAAACAGCAGCGTCTTGAGGCCCTTCTTCTGTAGAAAGATCTCGAGCTCGTTGGAGTGCGCATCGCCCCAGAGGCCAGAGAGCCGTTCTTTGTGGAAGCGCATGTCTGGGACCGCGGCGCGCTGGCCGGCTTCAAAGGCCTCCTCGAGGGGGCCGTGGAGGCGCGTGTTCCACTGGTCGCGGAGGAGCTTCTTCCCCGCGTCGACGATGGAGCCGTCCGCGAGAGTGATGGGGCCGAGCTCGGATCCAATGCCGCCGTCCGACTTTCTCTCTGGAATTCGTATGGTAGGACCGGGCACCTGGTCGCCTTGAGGACCGTCGGCGCCAGCGGGAACCTCAAACCCGTCGTCATCATCGGCAATCTCCCACCCAAAGATGCGCCATACTGTCGGCGGCAGCGTCTTCATGCCTTCCTCCGAGATGCCCCACGTCAGCCAGACGACCTGTATCCCCGCCTCTCTCGCCGCGGGGATCCCCTGGTCGAGCAGCACCGTCTCCGCGTCGTGGCCTTCGCCGCGCTTGCGCCCCATGGCTGCGGAGAGGAAGAAGTTCTGCATGTCGATGATGACGAGGGCCGTCTTGGCGGGGGCGATTGTGATGGGGGAGTTGCTCGACGTGAGGGTGAGTCGCGGATAGACGAGCGGCGCGTCGGGCGTGGGCGGGTGCGTCATGTCGAAGCCGTGGCGGTTGCTGAACAACCAGAAGTTGGACGGGGGGCCGACAACTACGGAAGATGACGAGCGGGCCGCAAGAGCCGATGATGCGGCGAGAGAAACGGCGGTCATCTTGAGACGAGGTGGGGTTGGGACACGGTCAAGGTATGATAGCTCTTGCACAGCACATTGGCAGTCAATCAGTCAGTCAGTCAGTCAGTCGAGGGATGTTCCACAAAGTAGATGCTTCATATGCGCAGGAATGCGTATCTAAACGTACGTACCGATGACCGAATGGGGACCAGGAGTGACTGCATGAGCGCAGTCGAGCCCGTTTGTTGCGTGCGTAAACGCTGAGGGGTAAATTCTGAGGGAGTTTGTAACGGTGAACTGAGTATTCGTGCGCCGATGCAGATGGACGGTTGAACGGTTGGGCCTGGAGATGGCCGCACGAAAAGGATCTGGAGCTGGTAACTTAGTTAACCGGTACTACCTTACCTATCCATGTACTGTACATACCCAACAAGTGGTTTGTAAGGTACCTGCTGCATTAGTAGGCAGTTACCCTTATTCGTCAGGCGCGGGCGGTAAAAGGCGGCAAGCAGGTGAGGTGACACAGACTTGTGTTGCTGTCAGTCAGTCGATGGACTAAATAGTAAATAACACATGCATCTTTCGGCTCGAGGCAAGCTTAGTAACTAAAGTTAGAGGATACATGATTAATGATGGCTTTACTGACTTGCCAAGTTTGGTAGTTATCAGACTGATAAACAACTAGCCAGTCCCTCTAATACACCGACCAACTACTAAGGTGGTTAACTAGTTAGGTAGTTGGACAACGTTAGAGTTGCCGCTTTGGGCGCGCGTCTTCTCAAGATCCAGGAGTTCGACGCCCGCCAGCAGCCAGGCCGTGTTCGGGACCTGTGGTGTGATCGCCGGAACCCGCTACAGTGGTACGCTTTCTGGCCAGTCCTGATCATAGGTGGGATAACTATTATTATTGCAGTCCTCCAGCTTGTGGTCGCTTGTTTGGCTCTAGCGTATCAAACTCGGCAGACGAATGCTGGGGTTGAGGTAATGGCCAGCTCCATCGATGCGATAGCATATGAATGTCCAGAGTGTCTCTCAAATTCCTTCACTCTCAAGACTTTTTATTTTCTTTTCTTTTTTGTGCGTGTCACGCATACATACCACAGTGCCACAGCTGCCCTTTCCCCGGCAGGCTGGCATGCCTCCCTGCGATCTGCTACCTACATGATTGGCTGCAATAATTTGCGCCACGCCACCCTCGCACAGCGCCGAGCTGAAATATTCTTTAAACAAGCAAGCAAGGTGCATACAAGGTCTGCAGGAAATGGAGGGGGTGAAACATGGCTCCATACAACAGTCCATGGCCGCTGCCCTGTTCTGTCTATGTACCTTCGATCCCTCCGCCAACGCCTTGAATCGCTCCTCACATCATCTCAGGCCGCCCAAAGATAGTTGTTAGCGCCCATGTCTGAAGCAGCGAAAGAAATATCTTCCAATAGGTTTGGTAGTAGAATAAAAATTCCCTTTTATCAATACTAATACATGCTAGTGTTCGTAACTGCGCGCAGCACTTCCAGGCTGCAGTGGCTCGGTGCTATGAGAAGCAAGAGCCTGGTGATCTCCAGTACCTATGCATGGAGCGCACACACGATCATGTCCAGAAGGGCATCGAGGAGCTCGAGCGTACTGTGCCTCTGGAAGTCTCCAACTTCTTATTCATGATAACCGTGTCGTTAATTCCTTTGTCCGGCTGGAGGCCTTTCTCCATGCCCGCGGGCCTGAATACAAACACAAGAACCTTGTGGTCATTGCTGAGCCTCATGATACAGGTAAGTCACGCCAGCAATTTCATTAAACCGATTTATACTGAATATACAAGGCATGTGGCGAGGATGTTGTTGCAGTCTCCCATTTTTCTCTGGGCCGGCCTCAAGTCAGTACACAACCAGATCAACCTGTTGAATACCTATTGCAACAACACTCCGAACGCAATGCATCTCGAGGAGGCCGCCGTCGACATATTTGTCGAACTCATTAGCTTCCAGCGCCACTGCATAAAGTTTCTGCGAGATACCGTATCCTTTGGTATGTTAAAATTCAGCTGCAGCCCGATAGGTCTCGTGACAGCACAGTTGGCTGAACTGCCAAGGACAGGGAGGCGGAGACGGGATGGCAAGAATTCCACGTCGGCAAAGACAAGGTCAAGACTTCCATAGACGGTATTCTCGAAATGGTATGGAAACATGTACGATTCGCCAGCCACGTCGAAGAAATGCAACGGCTGCAAATGATCCTGTCTCTTGCTACGAACAGCCCTATCAGCCAAGCGAATATCCCGTTTTCCAACCTTCCGGTCACGCGGAATGCCCGTTTCTTTGACAGAGACAACATAATCGAAAAGATTGACGACCACTTTGCCCGCCAGTCCATGACCAAAGGTCCTCGCTCTCTTGCCTTGTACGGCCTTGGAGGGGTCGGAAAAACGCACGTCGCTCTCAAGTACGCCAGCGTAAAAACAGAAGAATTTCCCGCCATACTCTGGATCAAAGGCGAGACGGCAGAATCATTGGTACAGAGCTTCAGTGAAATAGCTGTTCGCCTCAAGCTGCACGGCGCAGGCATTTCCAAGCATGAAGAGAATCGCATCTTGGTTCTTGATTGGTTGCAGAAAACGAGTACGTTTCGGTCCTTCATCGCCTTCTCACCGACTTACCAGACCTATTAGCTTGTCGATGGCTGCTGGTGTACGACAATGCGGAAACATTTGAACTGCTGTTAAAATATTGGCCAGTCGCTAGCCAAGGCTCTGTCACAATCACTTCCCGGAACCACAGTTTTGCGTACGAACCTGCCGAGACCGGCATCGAGGTGCTCCCCTTTGACAGGCAGTCGGGGTTGGGCTTCATCCTGCACATGCTGTCCTTGGACATTGCCACCGGCATCAGCTCGCAAGATGTGCAGTCGTCCCTCCAGCTTTCGGACAAGTTGAGTGGTCACGCCTTCGCCATCTCGCAGATGACGGGACTGATCCACAGAAGATCATGGAGCATTGCCGAGTTCATCGCGATATATGACCGCAATACGAGACAAATACACGGTATGCCCGGCATCAACTCTCTTGACGCGGTGTGGCAGCTCTCTTTTCAGTCCTTAAGTCAAGGCTGCGCCAACATGCTGGGCATCATGTGCTACCTAACGCCAAATTCGATCCCCCAGACACTATTTAAGCCAGTCGATGTACAAGACTTGCCCCCTGAGCTAGGATTTTTGTCGTGATGAGCTTTCGTGAGACATCTTGTACGGCTTAACGTACCCTCCCCTAGTACTAATTCGATGGCTAGTCTTTCCGACCTTATTGACGAGCTGCTGACGCTCGCTCTCATCAAGCGAGAAAAGTCGACACGCATTCTTTCCCTCTTGTGCAACAGCAATTTCGCTACTTTTCATCTCCCACCGATAATCAACGTTTTTTCTACCATAAAACATGTCTTCTTTTCGAGGCATTCCCCCAGTCAGACGCGAAGAAGGGGCAGCTCCACGACCGGTGGACCGAATGTCAGCGGTATCTGCAGCACGTCCTCAGCCTCAAGAACCAGTACAAGGAGGCCGCGACGAGTAAACAGCCACTTATACCTAGTTTGAAGTTCTGCATGCTTCTCAAAAGCCTAGCATGGCAAGCATCGACTCGCTTTTCTAACTGGCTTTTGGCTACTAACTAACCCGCTGGCAGATTCCTTCTCGAATCGGCCTCCTACACGGAAGTCGAAGATTCCCTTCGAGTGGCCATATCTGCGTTTGATATGATCGCACCAGGGGAGGAGAACCAGTACTTGTATGCTGATCTGTATATACGTCGGCCCCTTCAGGCGGTATAAAGCAGGAAATCAGTGAGGTGGCTTATACTTGTGCCGTTGCTAGTTGGTGGCTTTAAATGTACCTTGCGGTAGAGGTGTATACTGTAGTATTGAGGACGTAGACGAGAATTTGCGGGATGTAAAACCATTGATCCTTAGCACAAACATGACATGAAAGCATTGCCTATCAAGTGCAGCAGAATTTGTTGCAGTGCGTGGAAAGGCAGGAACCTGGTCCTAATGATACGATGGATGCTCTCATAGTGTAAATCGGATGGACTGGTACGTAGTAGTTAGTAAACTAACTAGTTACGTGGAGAAGGGAGCAGGAGGAGCCATCTCGGTACATACTTATGGTGCATACCTTGTAGTTAAACTTACCCTATACCTTGGCCTACCCTACAGTACTTAGAAGGGTGGAGAACGCTTGCGCAGCGCCCCCCCGTGCCACCTGATTCAGTCACCAGAGAGAGAGCTCCAGCTGCCTCCTTCGGTACTCCAGGTCACTTTTGTCGCCTTTTCCATTCAACTACCATCCTAAAGAACCAACGCGACATCATTCCGCCAATGATGAATTGATGAGCTATTTGGTCTAGGATGGCGCCACGAGTGGTGGCTTGGCCCGCCATGCGCCGTTGCGCGGTAAGGAGGCAAAGGGCAATCTTTGCGCCCCGAACGCTGGAGCTAGCAGCGTGGCCGTGTGAGCTGCGTTTTCGTCGAAGTTTGCATATCGCACCCGCATTGATGCCGCCACTTCTATTTACAGGCCTCTTCATCGCCCTGTGGTGCTGGAAATGCACCATGCTCGTCGTGTTCCAGAACACCATCATCTACAACCCGTTTCTGCCGCCCGATGCTCGCCGCTTGGAAATAGCAGAGTATGCCAGCCAATGTCGTGGAGTGACCTGGAGACAGGAGATGATCAAGTCGCTAGACGGCACACCAATCGCACTGTGCGTTGGTAACGAAGCATCAGAGCCGCCATGCCCCTCTGTGACACCAGTGTACCTTTTGTATTTTCAAGGTACGAATCGAGCGGTGGGGGGCGAAGCACGAGTCGCTGACTTGGATGATAGGCAATGCATCATCTCTACCGCCTCGACTACCCGAGATATCGTCAATCCTCCGCCAAGTTCGAGACGGCGATAGCAGCGCAAGCTACACCGTGGTTGCTGTGAGCTATCGAGGCTACTGGAAGTCACACGACCGGCCGTCCGAGAAAGGCATCAACCTAGATGTAGAAGCAGCCTTGAGATGGGTTACACAAGCTCACAAAGATAGACACACGGACTCGCAGCGTGACCCCGTTGTGCTTCTCTGGCGCCAGAGTGTGGGTTGCGGCTTCGCCTCCAACCTCGCCGCGAACACCTCGGACAAATCAAATCTTCCGATACGTGCTATGATACTCGAGACGCCTTTCACCAACACGCGGGCTATGTTGCAGGCATTGTATCCGCAGAAATGGCTACCTTATCAATACTTGTGGCCGTTTCTTCGCAATCAGCTGGATACTTGGAATAATTTACAGACCGTGGCGCAACGGTCGAGCGGGCGCCCAATGCCTGTGTACATAGTCGAGGCTGGGAACGACGAGCTTGTGCCACATAATCACGGTCAACTGCTGGCCGGACGGTGCGAGGAACTCGGCTTGCCTGTGCAGCGCCAGACCGTGCGCAGGGCCCTTCACAACGACGTCTCGATACGACAAGCTGGCAAGCAGGCCATTGCGGACTACATACGGTGCGCCGTGGCGGCCGCTCAGGCAAAGTGACAAATCGACAGAGAGCCAATGGCAATGGCCAAAGACGAGTTGTGTGGCAACCTTCTTTTCTTGCTTGCATCCTCCGCCAGCTTTGCCGAAACGCAAGCAAACCAGGAGTCAGCGGCCCAGCCGGCCGGCCGGGCGTGTACATCCGCAAAAGGAAAAGCGACAACCATGCCATGGTTAATCTAAATACCATGGGTCCACCGGCTAGATACTGGTAGAAAAGCATAGACCATTGTGTGCGGGGAGGGAGAAACTCGAGCAAAGCAACACCGATGGCCAGGCACCGGTTGCTAACGACGTGTGAATGGGCTCGGTCGTGAAAGGTGTCGCCCGACACAGGCCTGGCGGATTTTGGCGCAAACAAAACCAATTGAGAGGCTCGGATAGTCGATTGGCCACATTTGGGTTTCTTTTTACTATTTTTCGTGCGGGAACCGAGGCAAAAGGCCCGACAGATTGGGGCGCTAATCACGAGTGACCTGCCAGGCGGAGGATGTCTGCCTGACGATGCTCTTGGGAATGCACGGCAGGGGAAGCCAGGCGAACGGCTCCACCCGAAACCATGGCGTGAATAAAAAAGCTGAGACCGGGGCGCTCCGTCTAGCAATGCGATCCATTGACCAGGGGTTTTGGTGGTTGATGTTGCGCCGCCGACCTGGTCGAAGCTTGTTGTTAGTCGGGTTTGAGGTGTGAATGTTAACGACCTATGTACCTATGTACATACAGTACATGGCATGAACCTAGGCAGCAGGACCACACGCAGAACAGCCAGCGCATCGAGGGAAGGGGTGGTTTGGCAGAAAATGTGCAGCATCATGGGATTCATCTCGCAGCTTTATGCTTATGTGCCTTTCTTCGTTGGCCGATTCTTTGTAAAGACCTGCCGTCACCCCGCGGGCCACCCAATGAGATGAGTGGTGTGCCTTGCCAGTATGCATGCATCCTGTCGCTAGCTGCATGCCTATCGGGGGTGGGCGAGAATTCAAGACCAGGCATCAACAGGAAGAAGATCTCTTGCTTTCCTTTTCATGCTTTGTTTCCTTGTTAATTTGATTCCCCAAATCAGCCACTTTTCTCTTTCCCAACCACCCCCTTTTTCTTTTTCAATTTCTTCTGGATACCTACAGAGATGACTCGACTGATACCACCCCCCCTGCCAGCTAATTCCCACCTCACTCCACCGGGTTGCCTTCCCGCGGCAGGCCATCCCAGTAAAGTGGCTGCACGTGAGGACGTGCCAATATCCCGTCGGAGCCAGACCACTCAACGCGTCTCCGGGCGCGCTGCTGAGTTGGTGCCATCACCATTCTATCCCCTCCCCTTCCCTGCCTGGTTTGCCTTGCCTTTTCCCTTGACTACAGGGATGTGTGTCGCTGTAGCGTTAGCACCACCTTCTTAGGCAGCCCACACACACCCGCACACTGCCTCATCTTGGGCGTCGTAGGATCATGTATAAATGCCTGGCCGCCTGCAGCTCTCGTTCCCGCTCGCTCCTCTCTCTTAATGTTTGGTAGCAAGCGTCCTCTGGTGTTTCTTAAACGGTAAGTCTATCGACGGCAAAGAAAAAGCACCGGCGGCGAAAAGAAGAATAAAAAACGACTCGGCAACATTTAGACCCAATCGTCCAACGACAAACATCACCGTGAATAAATCCTCGCTTGCTCAGGCGAAACTTTGTTCATCCCTCTTTCTACCTGTTACGAAATTTTCTGGCATTCAGAGACATAATTCGTCATCCTTCTTTTTAATCCCTTGGCCGTCTCCATCCCTCCACAAAATGTTCTCCTCCAGGCGCGCCGAGTCCACGACCAGGAGCTTCTCCAAGGGTCACAAGGTCTCCAAGTCGAGCACCTCCTTTCGTGAGAGCAGCGGTGTCTCCAAGAAGCGCCACGAGTCATCTTCCCGCCACCGTCGCCCGACCACGGCCTCGACGGTCGATACCTCCATGACCAAGTACGTCCGTCTCCTTGCCCCCCCCCCTTTCAACCCTGTGCTTCTCACTCACGCCCAACTCCCAGTGGCGTCACCTCCAGCGTCGTCACGCTCGTCGTCGGCGCCGAGCAGCGCCTCTTCGCCGCGCACGAAGACGTCCTCTGCGCCAGCCCCTTCTTCTCGCGGACGCTGCGCGGCGCCTACATGGACCCGTCCGCCAAGCGCATCGCGCTCCCCGACGAGGAGCCCGAGATCTTCAGCTCCGTGCTCGAGTACCTCTACAAGGGCGACTACTTCCCGCGGCTGATGCGCGGCAGCGGCAAGCGCCGCGACTCGTGGGAGATGGAGGCGCCGGCCGACGAGGCGGAGCGCGCGCGCCTGGAGAGCACCGTCTACCACCGCAGCTTCGACGGCGACCTGCTCAAGGACACGGTCATCTACTGCGCCGCGGAGCGCTACGGGCTCGCGGAGCTCAAGAAGATTGCCCTCCGCAAGCAGGGCCTCCGTAAGTCCGCCCCCGCTGCGAGCACAAGCACGCACCTGTCCCTCCTCGCCTGGTCCCCATTCCCGCTGACCTTGGCCGACAGAATCCGGCATCCAGTGCAGCACCATCTTGGCGTCGGCGCGCTACGCGTACGCCAACACGCCGGACACCGACTCCAAGCTCCGGGCGCACTACCTCGCGCTCATCATCCGCTCCCGCAACACGTTCAAGCGCAGCGGGACGATGCAGCTGGAGATGCACAACGGCGGCACGCCCCTCTTCTTTGACCTCTTCGTCGCCCTCTGCAACCACGTCGACGATATTGCGTCGGGACAGTAAGTGACCTCGACCCGAACAAGTCACAAGAACCATGTGCTCATGCTCTCATAGGAACACCCCCAAGTCCAACCGCTTCTTCTCTTAATTTTTGCTCTCCTCATCCACATCACTTAAACAGTCCCGGTTCTGATTGACTCAGAACCCGGTAGCGCTTGTGAACATTCATTTCATGGCGTCTCGGTGTTTTGCTTTCACGTGGCGCTCTTTTCGGATTCTTCCTCTCTTACTTTTGTTTTCCCTCTGTGAGGACTGTTCATCCTCTATTTTCTGCTTCGTTTCCTATGGCTTCCCATGTACAACTACGCCTCCCTGCCGATCCCTGCTGTTGGCGCACTACCTGGTTTTTACTCTCCCCCATTTTCCCATCCTGCCTTGAGATGCAGGATCAGATTGCAAACTGCAAATGTTTTACATAGTGAGAGACGCGAAGACGGAGCTTTTTTTTTATTCTCACTCACACGCAAGCGCGCGCGCACATACGAAAAGAAAAAAGACTGACGACCAAAAAAATTGGCAACCTTCTGACAACGGAGATGTATTTTTATGTTAAGAGACTTGCTTGCGGAAAGCAACCAGAAAGGAAAAGGGAAAAGAGTCTCGGCTTGGTGTTATTATTAGATCTCCTTTGTCTCTTTCTATTCCTCATCATTACAGTACGACTGCGCCGGAGAACGGCCAGCTCGGTACCATTCCTGTATCATATTCTTGTCACTCGTTGCAGAACCGATTAATTACCGCAATGAATATATCTTCCTTTACGCATTTATCTCATCATTCGGGAATTGTGCACAATTGTGACCAAGTGTGCATGCAGGAGATTGCATGGGAGCGGGGAGGAGGGGGCGTCCAAGATTCACACCCACTTGTGCAATGTTGGATGCCTGGCGCAGACACAGAACCGATGCCCCATCTACCGATGACTCCCTCCTCGGTCACTATATCAGTGACTCAATTGTCAAAGATTAAAAAGAAGGAACGTGATGGAATCTCGGCGAAGAAAGAGTGACCACTTGGCTGAACCAGGGCGAGGCGTAAACCTGGTGACGTACGAGCTTTTTCCAGTCTCGGGGCGAAATAAATACAGAAGTATGAGCTTTCATAACGAAGCGTAGATAAATTCGTACCCCCAGCCCCGAAAACTGCCTGCTCTGACGCGGACCGTGAAGCAACAACTAGGCGGCCTTGTAAAACGGCCACGCAGGTAAATCGGCCCGCCAATGCCGAGCTAAACGATAAACATTGAAACTGTAAAGTCTCCTCAGGCTGTTTTACTTTGATGACGCATATTCTTTTCCTCTCGTTAGCTTTCTCAGCCTATACCCCTGTTCCTGGGAAAGCCCCCTTCTTCGACAATACCACGATGCCGCGCTCACGCGCAATATAGCCTTTCATCAGGTCCTAGTAGGCAACATAATTAGCAGATGACTCATAGCAGGGGTACATGAGACGGGTGTCCAATGGTGTGCTGACGCTGTGACGTAGTACGTGTTGGCCTTGGGCGTCGTCAGGCGCCGTAGCCGCCTTATGACGTGGCTGCCCCTCCGTTGTACACGGCCATGTCTGCACAACGCGGCTATGGCCACATTCAGACGAAAGGAAGTCTCCGTGTGAAGTGATTACTCAATGATGTGACTCACTTTATATATCATATTTGCCAATAAGCACTCGACCTCGTCGGTATCTATGCTGTCGCCACCGCTGCCCATACTAATGGCAGCCTGGAACTCTGCGACAGGAACTCGCGTGCGACGGACCGGTGTCGTTTCGCCCTCTTTCGGCTCATCAAAGCCCCCCGCAATAAATACTTTGCGAAGCAAATTGCGCAGCGCGATGTCGCGGCCACGTTCGAGGGTGAGGTATATACGGCGTTTGACGAACTGATCTTCTCCATGCTGGAGGGCAATATCAAAGTTGCGCAAGTCGCCGCTCCGAATGCATTTGGCGAGGGGTAGAAACAGCTCTTGCAGGCGGGGGTATGGCTCCAGCAGCTGCTTGGTAGGAAGAACATGGCTGGTGAGCAGCCGACAAGGAATGAGATATGTGAGAATGCGCCTGCCAACGGTCAGTCGGTGCTTGCCATGTGTGATGTGGTAGGCTTACTCGGAGTTTGGTTTGGCATCTTTTTGACAAAGGTTCCAAGCTTCGACAAGGTATTTCTCAGCCTGTCTATCGTTAGCCCGGTCTCAGCGGCAATGTAGACATACACACCTCTGTATAATTCTCTTCGAGGAAGAAGAGAACGCCTTCGTAGTATTTGAATGTGACTCTCTGGGACTTGGGAAATGACTCGAGCGGCGGCATGTCTCCCTTCTGGTTATACACCGCCAGGGTCTTGAGGATTGTTCTTGACAACGAGGCAGAGTTGAGCTTGAAATATGTTTTGAACAGCAAGTTGATGATGTAGTATATCCCCCACTTTCTTGATTCTTCCAATGGAGCCCTAGAGAGATGTTAGAATACTGAAAACTAGCTGCGTATAATGTTTCGCACCTATCATTGAGACAAAGGGTGAATATTCTCTTCAAATGCTGCTCACAGTCGCGCAGTTGAGCCTGTTTATCTGCTTCGGGGTCAAAGTCGTCCTGCATAAGGGCGGCGGACCCCGTCGGCATTACTTCAGACTGCTTGCTGCGTTCTGCATCCGACTTGATGGCAAAGAGTCGGAGGTACTTGCCGACCATGTACAGGGTCGGGATGGTCCATGCCTCAAAGCCAAAATTATTGTATCCGCGAATGAGCATCGACGTCACCTCCTTCCATGCCTCGTATACCTTGGTCCATGTTGACTAAAATAAAAACTGATTAACATGGAATTCTTGGCTGAAAGCGGCTTGTTTGCTTACTCTTCCCTCCTCGCCGGCGGCAATCTCACCGACAGCTTTCCAGTAAGCGGCGTAGACCTCGACCCAGCCGTTGACTTCGTCATGATCGAGCTTCACCTTTCGCGCCGTCTTGATTTTGATGAAATGCTTCAGCTCGCCCTTGCTGCCAAGAGCGTTTGTGCTTTGCGATATTTGTCGAAGTCTGTTGGGCTGCCCGGGCGGCGGAACTGGTGACAGTGTTTGAGCTAGAATGTAGCCATGCTTGAGAGAGTGAGCCTCCGCAAACTCCTCAAACAGCTCATTCATGGCTGCGGCGCGTTATGCTGTAGACGAAGGGGTTGCGTCGAATTTCGAGTCATAAGATGATTTTCAATTGAACCTCCTTCAAATAAGGAACCGGTACACGCCAAGACGCGGCGGCGAATGCTAGTGAGATGCCGCCTTGTCGTCTGTTTGGAGGGGTGGTGGATCCCAGCTTGTCGCAGGCAGGATGGAAGTCGGGCGGCGGCGACCAACTCGGTACGTACCCTTGACAGCCCAAAGCCCAAACGGAAACGCAACCCCAAAATTTTCTGGGTCTCGTCGTTTTTTCCCAACCACTGCACGTGATCTGGAATTTTGGTGGTGCCTTTATGCTTTGTGGGGCCATCCTCAAACTCGTGGCCAATCGCCAGCCGCGACAAAGCCCTGCAGGCAGTGAGAGCCAGCCAGCCCTCCCCACTTTCCGCACACAAAAATTATCACTACAAGGCCTCCCGACTTTGAACATCTTCAAATCTCAGCCAAAGTCGGAAGGTAACCACCGTCAATGTAAGCAAGCCCACGAATAACCCACGACTTGCCATAGTATTTGCTAACAGCCATTGCAGATGGGTAAGCACTTGGTTCCGCTGCGGGTTGTTTGGTTTTGCGAATTGCGCGATTGTCCGAGGCCGGAGATTTTTGTCGACTTTGCGATGCAAACCCTCGAATTGAAACATTGGACGATGAACGCCTTGGTCGAAGAGGGGATACGGATTTCAAGCGAATGAATTACTGTCGAACTCGTTTCCTTCGAACGACATGGAAATAGGAATTATATTCCCCTACTACACGGTCGAAGTTTCGACATGCGACTCGACAACACCACATTCCCGACACACAATGCCTTCTCCTCCGCCGACTACACCGCGCAAATCTCAAACCAAACCGCTCGCCAACCGAAACTGCTCTCATACTAACAGTCATTTCACCAGGTCGTCTTCAGGAATTCGAGGTCATCGGCCGCCATCTGCCCACCGAGGCCAACCCTACCCCGGCCATGTACCGCATGACCATCTTCGCCCCCAACACGACCGTCGCCAAGTCCCGTTTCTGGTACTTCCTGCGCGGTCTGCGCAAGGTCAAGAAGGCCACCGGCGAGATCGTCTCCGTCAAGGCCATCGCCGAGAAGCACCCCCAGAAGGTCAAGAACTTCGGCATCTGGATCCGCTACGACTCGCGCTCCGGCACCCACAACATGTACAAGGAGTACCGCGAGATGAGCCGCACCGATGCCGTCGAGGCTCTGTACTCCGACATGGCCGCCCGCCACCGCGCCCGCTTCAGGTCCATCCACGTACGTCTATTCTGCTGACATTTTACGACGGCCTTCGCATAGCGTCCGAGGAATCGCAATGCTAACATGCCGTTTCACAGATCCTCCGCGTCGTCGAGATCGAAAAGGCCGACGATGTCAAGCGCCCCTACATCAAGCAGCTTCTCACCAAGGATCTCAGCTTCCCCCTCCCCCACCGCGTCACCAAGGCTGCCAGCAGCAAGGTCTTCAGCGCGAACCGACCTTCCACTTTCGCTTAGAGTGTTTTTGGCTTGGATTGGGGTTTGGCAGGGTTTTGCAGGTGTTTACTACGGTTAAAAAAATATCAACTGCATTTGCTCTAGATAAGGGCATCGACATGAACCAAAAATTTCTAAAAACATGTTACAATGAACGTTCCCATGCTTGTGACGCTTGTTCGAGTGAGGCATGACGAATATGCGTTGGGGAGCTGCGACAATCAATTGGTCTCCGGCTAGCAAACCCGTCGAGTTCAATTCTGTTACGTTTCGGTTTTTGAACTTCGCCATTCGCAGCCTAGACGGGATCATACTCGCTATTTTGGCAGCCGCAGTGGGGCAGGTGCCATCAACGGGATGTTCACCCGATGAAGACCGCCGTGAGTCATTTGGTTTCTTAATGCCTCCTCGTAGTTTTTACAGCTTTTCCCATGACACCGTAGTGCCGACTTGGACGTTACATCGGAGCAGCTTTTAATCAGCGAGAAGACATTCTGCTACAACAAAACCATAAGAGGCTACCCACGACACAAGCCTCTCTATCCGGACCAACATGGCAGACAACATGGACCAGACGCTCATTGACCTGGTCAAGGTGCAGACGACCCGGCCGGCGCGGTACCTCCCCGTACCCGCGCGGCCACCGCACCACACGGCGCGGCTCACGCTCCGGTCCTTCACCGCCAACGACCTCGCCGCCTACCACGAGCTGCGGCTGCAGCCCGAGGTCATGGTCTTCACCTCGCAGGGCCGTCCCGACGCCTCGCCCGACGAGACGCGCACCAAGCTCGACAAGCTGCTCTCGCCCCTCGGTGACGACATCTACGTGCTCGCCGTGGTAGAGCGCTCGACCGGCACGCTCGTCGGCACCGTCGGCTCGCACATCCGCGCCGACCTGCTCGGCTGGCCCGCGCTGGGCTATATGCTGCGCCGCGAGGCCTGGGGCCGCGGCTACGCAAGCGAGGCGGTCTCCGGCTTCCTCGAGGTGTACTGGTCGCTGCCGCGCGAGCCGGCGGAGCTGGCGGTGGACTCGAGCACGCTGCCCTCTTCTGCGGCGGCGAGCGCGGGGGAGGGGGTGGTGACGGTGCCGGAGCACATTGCGGCGATCACGCTCGACTCCAACGCGCCGAGCCAGAACGTGCTGCGCAAGTTGGGCTTCAAGCTGGTCAAGAAGTGGATCGACACGGAGAACGCGCCGCTGCTGCCGTTGTGTTTTGCATACTCGCTAGAGAAACCGCAGTAGATTTGGTAGTTGACGAGGATGAGCTAGATGGAGATGATTTGTCTAGGGGACCTTTTTTTAGCTCATGGTCGGCCACCTTGTCTTTGCCGAAGGCCGAGATTTTCATGCGCCCAAAACGGATCTCCTTAACAGGTGCTTTACAGTGGGTGTGTTTTGCCTGAGCTGCGGAGTGGCGTGACGTCTACAGTACGAAAACAGGTTCAGTCTCGCAAAATATACTTTTCTGTATCATATTTCATCCTCCACAAAATTATCCCATCGAATCGCATCAATTGAACCTCATCACGTACATAGAAACTCGCCTATTGTCGTCGCATCGAAGCTACGTCCGTCCAGCTCTTCCCGTGAAGCTCCTTACCCTGTAGCTCTCCCCATCGCAACCTCCCCGCGTTTCGGCTACCTCATCACCTCAAGATGCATCTCGCCGGACCATCGCTCCTCGCCGTCGCCACCGGCATTGTAGGCTCTGCCTGGGCCTCTGGTAAGTTCACCTCTGCTGCCAACTCGCCTTCCCGTCTTCGTACCATCTCTGACCGAACTCTCCCTAGGCGCCATTGCCTCGGCTACCCTCATGGGCGTCTCCGCCGCGCTCGACGTGCCCGAGACGACGGCCCGTTCGTGGCGGGAGCTCTACCGCCGCGGCGCGCACCTGATGCCGCGCGTTGCCGGCGGCGTAGTCCTGGCCTACGGCTACGCCGCCTTCGACGCGCGCCGCGCCGGCGGCGTCTGGGGCGGGTACGTGGCGGCGGCCGGCTTCGCCGCGGCCATCGTGCCCTTTACGCTCGTCGTCATGCGATACACCAACGCCTGCCTGCACAAGATTGCTGAGGGCCGCGACGAGGCTGCCTCGTGGAACCTGCGCGAGCTCCTGCGGCGCTGGAACTTGCTCAACCTCACCCGCAGCTGCCTCTGCCTGATCTCCAGCGTGCTCGGCATGGTCACAATGGTGCAGAACATTGGCTGAGGGAAGTCTCTGTTTATTGTATCATATCCTTCGGAACCAACCATGAGCAACTCTTTACTGGGTAAATGTTTGAGAAAAAGGCATCTATAGCAAATCTCTTCTCGGTCCCCTGCTTCCATCCCGATAGGGACGCTTTTAATGCATCCAATTTTAAACACATTTGAGTAATATGTTCACTGGCTGTTCATTTTTCTAAGAGGGATGCCGCATGCTGCTTCTTGTCGTGCTTCTTCTTGGCCGTCGCCTTCTTTTGCTCAAGAGCTTCAAACTCTTCAATAAGATTCTGGCAGGCCGCCAGGTTCTTCTTTGGCTCCCAAGTATTGTGCTTAGTCGACCAGTTTTTCCACTTCACCTCGTACCAGTGGATGTAGGTGTCCGCCTCAATGCGAGCGCCGACGATTCGTTCCGCTTCCCATTCATCGCTGCCGCCGTCTTCCTCCAAACCCTGCCCCGGGGTCAATCCAGGGCTCTCAATATCGCGCTCCTTCTGCATATTCTTGCGTCCCCTGCGTTTCTTTGTTGCTGGCGGGGGCGTGTCTTCGGTGTCTGAACCAAAAACCTCATTTCGCTTACGCTTCAAACCAGATTTTTTGTTGTCCGAGGGCGGAGTAGTCTTTGGCGTCCGAGTTTCCCTGGGGCTTTGCTTTTCGACCTCTGTTGCTAACTTATCTCGTAAACCTCTCTTTCGGGTCGGTGGTCGCGTCGGTTGGATTTCGCTGCTGCGCTGCTTCGCGGAAGTAGCCGCCTTCGTAGGATCGCCTTCTCCCTCTTGCGGTTGCCTGTCGAGAAGGTCAGAACTGCAGTCGTGTTAGATAAATATCGCCTCGTGAGTGAATCAAACCACTGAACGCACCGTGAGCCATCGGGATCGGCATCTTCGTCATAGTGTTCTGGAAAGGGAAGTTCTGGAAAGGGAAGGCAAACGACTGTTGGAGGCATGTTGGCGTCTTCGAGAGAGGATGCAATTCGGACCTTGATCTGACTGGAAGTCTAAATTGAAAGAAATCAAAAGAGGGCGACTATTCTTTTGTGCCGCGAAAACGGAGATGTAAGGCTAGCAACGTAGAAGGCAGGCACGCTGATGACGGGAAAAATGGCCAAGTGAGCGACCGACTGCGCGCAAACAACCACGCAGGCAGGTTTCGTCAAACGAACGAATGGGGTTCTCTAAATACTCAATAAATGATAAACTATGCGGCACTTTAAACGTACCCGATGCAACATGAAGCCGTACTTCGTATGCCAATTCTCGGTAATGTTATCATTCCAGCTACCGCACGTTACGCATCATTCGTTTATCATGGTATTACGCAGTAGCCTTAGTCAGCTTCTTCTACTTCATCGTCTTTGAGCTCACGGAGTTTACCTTCCCGTACAGCCTGCTCTACAGGATTCTGCACGCTGAGGACACCGTTCTTCTTAAGCCTGCACAAGAACGTTAGTTTTGTCGAACCGTATCAGCTACCAAAGTCGGTGACATCGCCAAACATACCTCTCAAACAGGACAAAGAGGCGCTCGGCTTCTCGTTCCTTTTCCTCTTCCGTCATTGGTGGTAGATCGTCCGGCTCCTCCCTGTCAATAAACTGACCCGTTATGGGGTTCACCGGCCGCGGGCTTCCAGTTTCGTCTGCAGCATCGAAAGTTGCTTTTGCAGATGCAGGAACAGGGACATTATTTCGGAAGAGGTATCCCGAAGCATAGCCATACCCGACATTTTCCACAAACTGGGAGGCATCGCTTTCTGACATGAGAAAGAAAAGGTGAGAAATGACAGGACCGAGATGGGGAGCCATGGGGTCTATCGAAATTTTCAAGAGCCGGGATGATAGTGACGAGCCTTTGCCCAGCACGTTTTCACGATCCTCTGACGTCGGTATGATACTCTCACGTAGCTTCTTCTGGACAAGCTCCGGCGCAAGGTTGTATACCTCTAGCAGGAATTTGACAACCGGTGTAACATTGGCGTCAAGTTCAGAGCCAGAATACTCATTTATGGCCCTGTCAAGTATTTCGATCAACTTGGAGCCCAGGTTGGCCTCCTCTCCGCTGGGAAACATGGCAGACTTGGACGATTCAGCCGTCATGTCCAGGTTGAGAAGCGAATTGACCAGCGGACCGAAAGGCGGATCTAGAACCTTCGAATTCGGTAGTTTGCGGGCGCGCAGCAGCGAAATGATATGCGGCACCGAAGGCGTAAACGCCGAAATTTCTTCCGGGCAGAAGTGAGTGACGTTGTGTAGAAGTTTGAGCGTCTCGGGCAGAGCCATTTCCTCCATGGACCCAACAGCTGTACGGCTATCTGCTGATTTTGACATTGCATGCCGGCCAATATTGGAGTTGATGCTACAAGCAAGGCCGTACTCTTTGATCAGGGGAGAGAGCTTGATCTTTTCTTCGCTGTATGTCGAGAGGAAGAGGATACGTGAGAGGAGAAACTCGTCATCCCAGCTCTCGGTATCGAGTCTTTTGCATGCTTTCGTCGCATATCCGCTATTTACAAACATCTTCCTCGTTTCAGGTTTGAGCACCATGGAGTTCGCAAGAACTCTGAGCGCGCCGCGTGAGGTTTCACTCGATGCCTTGTCATTAAAGGCAAAGGCGAGAAGCATAGATACTCCCTGCTGACATGTTAGCTACGCCTGTTAATTAGGAGCGCAAGACGGTCTAACCTCTTTCTTGAATATAGGATCTGCGTTACGAGGATCTCGGCCATAGATTTTCAGTTCCTGCAGCGCATTGTCCCGTTCTGTAACTTGTTAGATGCAATGGCAGAAATTGTGGTCTCGCCAGGCTCACCTTCAGGGGCCATGGATAGGCTGCCCATGTCCTTAGTTAGCTTGTCAACCAGCTTGGTGACTGCCTCGAGTTTTGCTATAGTCGAGTTGTTAGGTGGGCGTGGTACTGCTTGCAAAAAAGGGGAGCTTGCCTGGGCCAGTAGCGGCACCAAGAGTTTGTGGCGACATGATGCTGCAACTCTATGGAATGAAGTGGCAATTTCGGTGACGCAGATGAGAAAATAGATCCGGCAGGGCGGTATATATATTTCCAGCGAGAGGGATTGTCGGCGCGGAGCGCACAGGGCTGAGGTGCGAGTCGTACCAGTTCAGAGTACGTAGGCGACTCGCAGGGATGTAGGCGCGTATGTAGGAATGCTGTGGGTAGAAGATTGTCCTCTGAGGATGAGACACATGCCGGTGATTCAACGAGGCTAAAGATGTAGCATGGGAGATGCTGCCTCCAAGTTTGCGGAAGCCACGAGAGATTTGCGAGGATCGAATGTTTGGTCCAAACCCCACCTCGCGATTGCGATTGCGGTGGAGGGGTCGCTTTTGGCTGTGAGGATCGACCGTCGAGTACAACCTGCCCTAAGAGATTGACGGAAAGTTGTTTGGCGGGTTCTTGAGGTTCCTCTGGAAGTTAGGACGGCGATTGAGTTTTTTTCTGATACTGCCAGCGCCTGGTTTGCTCTACAGTTTACCGTTGCGCCGGGTGAGTCGGAGTATGCCAAGCTAACTAAGTTAGTAGGTAGAACCTTGTAACTCCGTGCTGGTACCACAGCTCATGATCCGAAGTGTATATTCTAGGGAAAAGTGAGATAAATACTATATTGGTATTATGATCGCTTCATATATTCAACAAGTGAGAGTAAGAAGCTGAACCTTCAACCGTTCTGACAATCTTCCTCCCTCCTGATGTCGGGCTGTCTCAGCCACAGGTAATGGTGGCGCAGGCGGTTTCTTGTAGCAGTCAGTGCCTGCCCACTGTACCACTGTGCCCAGTCCCACTGACTTGCCTGACTTCCCCAGCGCCCCAGCAGTCCCACTAACCAGCCACCGGCCCGCCTGATTCGCCACGCGCCGCGCCAGGCCAGCCAGACCCAGTTGCCAGCCAACCAGCTAAACCCTGTCCGCCACACGCGTCTGACGTGAACCGTAGTCCGTGACCGCGTTTAATGGATTTGCTACTCTCCGCCGAGGGAGAAATTCCATCCAGTTCCCCATCTCGCAGACACAGCCCGGCTTGACAAGGTGCTGGATATAATTAACCTCTACCGACATCTTCTTACTGATTCGAAGTGTCTATTTATTTCATTTCTTTTTATACCTCTACCCTCGCTCCTTCAGCGGCCTTGTCCCACGCCGCCAGATGACCGCCGTCCCCTGTGTCACCTTTGGCCCTTTCGCTGTCTAGATCGCCCACGCTGCCTGGCAGCCATGGCATCTTTAGTAGACACGCCCGCGGCAACTCTCTTCACGTCGCTACCGGCTCGCCCTCCTACGCCACCCCGAGAAACCAATCACGCTCGTGACGCGGCAACCGGACCTTCGACTAGACCTCAGCCCTGCGATCATCGCCTCAACCTTCACACGCCTCCCAATGCCGGCTCTGCGGCGTCGGCCGCTGCACAATCCAACACTGGCTCTACGCGAACAAGGAAAAGAGTCGAATGGTCTTCCCATACGCAGTACAAGGAGCCTGCCGACTACAGCGACGCTTCCCGGCCACCCAAACCATCCCCGACCGCTTCTGCAACTCCTTCCTCCGCATCGAGACCGATCAAGGGCATTCTCAAGCCATCCTCCTCATCTAGCCCGCTTATTACATCCCTGAACGGGGACGGCAACGGAGACGCGTCGCAAGGAAACATGATCGACATGCTGGACTCGACAATCAAGCAGCTCGCTGGCTCCGACCGCGACTCTAAGCTCGATGCATACATGGTACTAGCCCGTGTTCTCAAGGCATCCAACAACCTGCCCGATCGTGTTGCTCTTCAGGAAAAGATGAGCCTGTTCATGCAGTTTATCCAGCGCGACATTACTGTCAAGAATGGCAACGCAACACCCGATACTTCTCTAATCAACCACGCTCTCACCCTTGTCGCTACCTTCCTACATTTTCCCGCCATTGCCTCGACATTAACCTCAGACTTTGGCATCTTCATTATTGACCACGCCATTCGTTCATTCGAAGATGCCTCGAAACTGAAAAAGGACGTCGTACGCCATCTGATGCAGGTGGTAGCTTTGCAAACCTTCCCGCCCAAGGTCATGACTTCTGATCGTGTTGGACGCTTAGTCGCCTCTCTACACATGATCGAAACCCATGTTACCGGCAAGAGCATCATAATGAGCAGAATTCAGATCTACAGACGTCTCATAAAACAAGCGCCAAAGCACATGACTATATACTCTGACTGGCTGCAGGACATGTTCACAGACATGCTAAGCAGCATCAAAGAGATTAGATCACAGGCAATTGGCCTTGGCAACGAAGCTGGCTTCAGCTTGCGATCCGAAAAGCCATTGACGCGGAGAGCGACCGAAATTATGCAAGCGACCAGCGAAGGCGAGGCGTACATGTCCTTCTACATCTCGCGGCTAAACGAGATGATCAAAGACAGGCAGACGTCATCTGCTGTTCCGCAAATATGGAGCGTTGTCATTTTATTTCTCAAATGCCCCCTTGAGCGATGGCAGTATTACGCACCATGGTTGACCCTTGTTCAGTTGGCATTCAACATGACTGATAGCTTAACAAAACAAGAAGCCAACTACGCGTGGAACAGATACGTATATCTATCTCTGACCGAGAACAAGCTTTCTCCCAAAGTGCTAGCGACACTTTGCCAGCCTTTAATGAGTCAGCTTCGACGAAAATCATCGCCAAAGCAGTTGGAAGAAGCCTCGAAGCTGAAGCGCACTGTTCTTGGTGGCGTCTGCAGCCTTTACTATTACACGTTTGCACCAGGAAATCAAACATACTCCGCCGATACAGTATGGGACATTACTGTGCAGCCCATCATGAGCTTGCTCCTCAGTCTCGACGACAGTCCTGAGATTCCTGGTGACTGCGTGATGCAAGCCTCGCATATACTTGTCGGCTTACTAGATGTTGCAACACCCCGGGTCTGGAGACATGATCGAATAATGGACCTCCCTCCTGTCAAAGCCGACGAATTGCCGCCCATTGATTCGAAATGGGTCCGAAAGAATTGTGAGAAAGTTCTGCAACCTGTGAGCGCGATCCTCGAAAAGAAGTTCCTCGACTTGGCCAACAAAGAGAGCTTGGCATATCGACTTTGGCACGTACTTGTTGGCTCCATCGCCTCGGCCTCAGCCAAGGATATCAAGGTATCGGAGGACACCGCCAAGTTCATTGCCTGCACATTCAGCTTCATCGCGAAAGTCTGGTCCACTGGTGTGACTTCGGCTGATGAGACAAATACCGCGAAATTCTTTACAGCCATGGGAAACTTCATTGCGGTTCTCGTACAGGGTCTAAGAGTGCTACCTTTTATGGAAAAGAAGCTGTCAATGACGTCGAACAAGTTCGAACCCATCTTGACACCCTCTCGCCACAACGATCAACCAGAAAGCACGCAAGGAGTTTCCCGTATCCCCGTTTTGCATCTTTTGCACATGTTTGCCTCACTACCACCCGGCGCGAAGGATGATGAAGCCTTTAGCACATTCTTCTCGGCGGTTTCTGAGCCATTCTTCAAAGATCGACCCCGCAAAAATCGTCTCGAGCTCGCTAGAGAACTGCTGCACCAGCTTCCTCGAAACTCTACGACCCCATTCGCACCTTGGCTACTGGCCTCGCAGAGTCTGAGCCTACTTCTCGGTGACTCGTCCGACATTCCCGCTCCCACCAGCTCTAGCAGTGAGCAGCTTCTCGGCCCCGTTTATCGAGAATTTGTTTCTCTCTTGGACAGAGGACTCATGCTGCATCCTAACTTGCCATTATTGCAATGGTCATCAGTATTTACCAAAGTTTGCGAACATGCTAGATGTCAAGCTGGCGATGCCGGGCTTGCGTTGGCAGTCGTCGAACCATTGGCAAAAGCCCTCGCGGACTCTGTTCTTCCGAACGCAAATGCGATTCAACTGCAACAACTCACGATGGCTATCCAAGCCTCGTCGGCTCTTTTCGAAGTAGCCTATATACCACGAGACGCACACGCTGTGGAGGCTGCTCGTCGGAGACTGTGGGGGACCGCTCTAACAACGGCGAAGGGTAACTCGGCTGATCCGTATGGCCATCTCTACAAGCTAGGGAACAGCTGCCTTAGCTCTCTTTACTCAGGAAACAAAGATACTGTGCGGAATGAGGATATCATTCTGTTTCTCCAGTCCGTTGCCGGATTTCTGGGCCGGTCAGGTGCCCATGGGCTCAAGCTATTAAACAAGTTACAGTCTGGCATCTGCGTTTGGATTCTGGATGAGGACTTGCGCCTTGCTGGCGAAGGTAGCGAATCTGTCTGCAAAGCCGTTGAAACCCTCTGGGATCAATCTTGCGCCATTCTTACTAGGAATGGTTCCTTAAGTAAGGCGCAATTTGACGATGCTGAGGTACTCTTCACAACAGCTTTCAAAAGCAAACAAAAATGCATCGTCAAGAAGGCCGCCGATACCTGGAACATTGTCGTTAAGGATGAGGAAAGCGTTGATTGCTCCGAGAGCCTCAAGTCTGTTGTGTCTTCGCTGCGCTTAAAACTGGATATCGTGCTGCCCGGTTCTGAAGCTGACGGGTTCGGCGCTCAATCTGGTCGTGGTAGAGATGACATTAGTTTTGTTGCTCTCTCCTCGATGTCGTCTCATCAAGATGGACAGCAAGAGCCGAATAGCACAGCAGAATCTGCGACACCGTCTCTGCAAGGCCGAGCTTCTACAAAGCGCAATGCTGAACTCCCACCCGAGCATGCCCGCAGCAAGCGATCAAAGCCGTCGGCCACGCCAAAGCGCCTGCGACACGACAACTCTCAAATCACATTTGCCCCCATTGTATCATCACCTGTGGTGGAGGAATCGCAGCATCTTACTGAAAGACAGAAGGAGGTTCGTGAACGCCAGCGCGGGGAACACGACATCTATTCCGAACAGCGGAAGCCCTCTACCAGCGCCTCAGGCGGTGAGAAGGAAGCCAGTACGGCTAAAGCTTCGGCAAGATCGAAGCAAAAGGGCACTCCGCAAAGGGAGGCGAAGTATGGCAAGCATATCACCTCCACACCCACACCAAGACGTGGCCAGGTCCTTCAACTGGACGACTTGAACGATCCGCCATCCTCGCCGCCACTGCCCCGGCCATGCCCTCTACTTTCAGAGCTGAAGCCTCGATCAAGGGCGGGAAATGCGCTGGAAAACTGGGAGTTCTCATCGCCACCTGGATCTCCAGTCATTAACCAAACTGGGAGCACGGAGGCTGAGAACGCTGAACCAACTGCACTGTCCGAGCTACAACAACCAGCTGCTGGCATGGTTACTAGAAGTCGCCACCGCAGAAGTCATGGACCGGATGAGCCAGTCAAGATAATTCCATCCAGCCTTGACATGGAGAAGGTCAATGACGATGCTCAGCCTCAGGCCAAAGAGCGCAAGAAATCCATACCTCGGAAAACAAGGTCACGGACTTCAATAGATCCGGCTGCACAGCCCCCGAGAGAACCGGCTGTTGAGGCTTTGGAGGTGGAGCAAGCTCAGAAGGAAGCAAAAGTCGTGGAAGCGGCCAGCTCGAAAGGGGCTGCTGAGGTTGGTAAAACATCCCGAAGACGCAAATCGTTGCGCGGTAAGGCTGCAGCAGCAGAACAACCCAGGGATAGTGAATTGCCAATCTCTATTCCTAGCTCAGCACCTGAGGACACCGGTGTCGCACCTTCTTCCTCTGTTCTGCCTTTTACCCCTGCCGGTAAGGTGGAAATTGGCAAGGCTGGCGGGTCAGAAAAAGGTAAACGAAAGCGATCTGGGCTTTCCAGCGTCGGCAACACGCCTAAAAAGCGTTGTTCTCAAGAGCGAGAGCCCGAACCCGTGACCGAGTCAACGCATGGGGCGACAGTCCGAGAGCGGGACGTGCCGACTGCTGAAGATGACTCGGAAGAGTCCCAATCTCTTCCGGAGCTTAAACGCACGGAGGACACTATAGCAAAGGATGCTAAGAGCCCTGGGCTACAGAATCAGCGTGCTGAGAAACGAAATCGCTCCCGACGCAAAGGCAAACAGAAGCGCAACAGCACCGTGGCCAGACGCCATAAGGAAAACGTGGACACGAATGACAGCACTGTGGGCGGACGCCGTAAGGAAGGCGCAGACACGGATGAAGAAGTCATGTCGCAGCTCGTCACCGAGGCCAGGGCTGCGACTGCGAGCGAGGCCAAGGCGGAAGCTGACGAGGTGGAGGCCGCGTTGCCACAGGAGGTCCCGTCGGGGAACCCTGGCGAGGTGGATGAGCCGGCCCCGGCAGAAGCGCCCAAACCGTCCTTCATGGACACTCTCCGCCAGGGCCTCGACCAGCTCCGCAGCACGACGCTATCCCGTGACGAGGTATACAAGATGGAGGAGATGCTTATGGACATGAAGCGCGAGATATACGAGGCTGAATTCCGCGGAAGGAATAGGCAGTGACGCGAACCGACTCGAAAGCAACGAGCGGCCCAAACTCAAGAAAACCAACAACACGAATATATATACACAAGGGCGGAAACGTTTCCCACACTGTACTGTACATTTTATGCATCATTGGCGTTAAGTTTTGGTGGTAGGGTTTGATGTTTTTTTTTCTTAGCTCCCTCAGGCGAAGGCAACTAAGCGCACGAGACGGAATGGAAATCAAATGCGTGTTTACTCTGCATTTACTTTGTTGTTCTTACACAATTACTACCTCAGCTGGGTAACTGCTTTCAAGGATACCGGAAAGATGTGTGGGTTTGGAGGGCTTTCATTTTTTAAGCCATGTTGGTTCTTTTTCTCTTGCGGCGTTTTTGTTTGCTCTGTTGAGCTGACGGACGGGACTAGTAGAAAAAAAAAGAGTAGGGAATATGTGTATATACCTTGGCACACACAAACACAATATAAAGTGTCATGAAATCTTATTACGAGACTACGGCAAAGTAGACTTGGTGAAGATGTCCTGGTAACTCAACTAGCCTGACCAGCTGTGCGCCCGCAGTTCCCTGCGAGTAATAAACCAGGACTATTTTCGACCGGTAGGCAGTAGGTCAAGGGCAGCCGTTGACTTGATTATGCACATCGTGGGGTAGGGTAGGTAGTACGACGGGCGCTCGATATCGATGTCTCATCCCCCAGATTAAGGTTTCACTGCATCCATGGACTGGCCTCGACAACAGGCTGACTTGACGAGGGTCAATATGCCTGCCCAAGCGGCAATGCGCCAAGATCCAATATTGGGAGCGGCCGCCCGGACTGATTTCCATGCTTGACGGGCACTGCATGTGTGTCTGTCCTTGTCTGCCTGCATGTGCCTTTTTGGCTCCTCGAGAGAGTGAAACCTGCAGAAAAGTCCAGACTTTTCAGTTTCAGCCCCGTTGCTAGCTGGCACGCATTCTTTTTACGTTGAGGCTGCGCCGTCGCCGGTTTGAAAACTTTCCTCTCTTTTATTTTCTCCGTCGAGGGCGCTGATCAGGGGACAAAACTTGTTCTTCCGTGTAATATCTAGAGCGTTTCTGGAAATAAGCAAGACGTGTGGCTTGATTCAGCGCGGACTTGATTTCGGATTACCGCTTTCGGCTAAGCCGAGACCCAGTTGCGCCCGGCTGGAGAACACTCCTCCTTGGTCAGCCGTCGGGTTTTCCACAGCCGAAAGTTGGGGGAAATGAAGGGGAGGCTAGACAAAGTTTTTGGCATTAATCTGGAATAGAGAAAACGCAGAAAAGGCAGACGCCAGGTGGCTTCTCGTTCAGAGTATGTGTGTCTCTCCTACTTGGGCGGGCGGGTTACAGTGCATGTTCGCCTCGCACGTTGGACCCGATTTTGGCCGTACCCCGCGCGGGTGTGTGTGCGTCGTAATAAATAGAGTATTGTTGCTTTCTGTCACTTGCTGTAACTAGTTATGCTCTGACTGGCTTTACTTCTAGGCGGTGAGCTCAGCCGTATCCGTCAGTAGAGGTGTCGGAGACGGATACGGATAAAAGGGCCTGACTTACAGGGATGGGGATAACTCTCTGTTCTATCCGCCATTTCTAGCCGTTATGTTTCGCAACAATTTTTACCTCTTTCGCTTTTTTACCATGTCTTGGTTATGGGGCTGTCAGCTGGGGATTTGTTTCCAGGTTCGCGAAAAGGAGCGAAAAGAATGTTGCAACCGGAATGATGTCCGGTTTGGTTGGTCGACGACCACGAGCAACCAGGCTATTCGCCAAGAGGCTACTCGCATTCGGTTACCCACAATGAAAATGGGTTCAGTTGGGGTTGGATCCGCTGATTGACGTCAGAGTCATCAAATGAAACCTCACCACGAGGCCGAAGAGTCAAAGAAGAAACCATTGGCTGGTGATTGGAATAGGAGCAATTGATGAGAGCAGTATTAAAACAGCCGCCGCGGTGGTTGGTTTATGACAAGCCGCCACGGCAATCCCGGTTTCCGTGTGCTGCCTCGTCTGTCAACATGGCTTGCCCAGACTCTGATGCGTGGAGACATCTGGCATTAGTTGTAGCCAAGGAAGGAAGATAGATCGATCTCTGGGCATACCGATGATTGCAACTTGGCAATACCTGCCTAACAAGAAGGAAATCAGCACAATGGCAACAAACGAGTGTAGAAACCCGTTGTGATCAACTGAACCAAGCGTTTGCAGTCTCTGAAATGAGACGGGGGATTGTCATGGTACTCGAGGTAGCGTCCCCGGTGGTTCTTTCAGTGGTTCTTTCAGTGGTTCTTTCAGTGGTTCTTTCAGTGGCTCTTTCGGTGGTTCCTGCTAGCGCCACTTAGTGACGGCATCAGCTATAATATCAGCATCGGCATAAGGCATCAGGCATCGTGTATCGTGTTGGATTTATTTTCCCGTGCTATGTACCTAGGGTACGTAGGTGCCTACAATGTGGATGTTCAGCCTGTACGAATTAGGACAGCATCAATAAGGAATGTTCCTGTCCATCATCACAAGGACCATCATGATGATTATGGCAGACTTTCTCGACAGCAACGCCGTTTGCCACCAACAGAGTAGGTGTACATGTAGAAGGAGAATGCGGTGTCCATTTTAATGACCACATAAATGCTCCTTCCTGCCTTGTCCATTGTTTCTTTTCGCGGTTCAAATACGGATCCTGGTAGGCGAAAATTCGGCTACCAAAGAAAAAATTGTCAGAACAATGACGTCGTGTGAAGCGAAGTCTCCACAACCCAACCCCAGCAGGCTGTTGTTAATTTTTGTACGGAGCAGTTCTTATTAGTCCAACATGCCCTTTTATGTACCACCAGGTCATTCACCCAATGCACGATCCAGTCAATTGTCTTGTCTAGAGTAGCAAGGCCAAAAATAAAAGAATGATACTGAGTACGGAGACTCCCCGAGTCTGTCCCTCCCAACAGGCATGTAAAGCGATTGTCCTGGTATGGCTGTGAGAGACATGATGTTTACTTCCGCATTGAGGATCCCGAGAGTGGCTTGTTCTAACTTGCAGTTAGTGCCGTTCGGTCACGATTCAACGAACGCCACGGGGAAGCGAAGCCGATGTAGGCACGCGAGAGAGATGGAAAATTCAATTGACGATGCCGACGATGCCTCCAACTTCAATACCCGACCTGAGTTCACCTCTCAGCCCGCGGGCGTCACAAATCCACCAGCTTCCACACGCACCACCCCTCACATCACATCTGCATATGGCGCATACAATCACAAATCCGAGACAAACATCTCGTTCATCCTCCGCCAAAACTAGCGGCTTTTCCACTCCACATCACACATTGACATCCATCCATCACAATTCCCGTCTTCGGCGCGACTACCTGCTAACGCTTAATGGTGTGGGGGTTCTGTGGGACACGACGGATGATGGATGGATTGTTTGCATGGAGGTATGAATCAACGGCCTTGGGATTCGGAAACAGTGTCCGCCCTGGCCCTGCCTACTTTACTGCAATGTAACTTTATAAAGGCCCTTCCCCCCCGGGGGTTGACTGACCGATATTCCTTCTCCGCCGTTTGTCTACCGACCTCGGGTCACATTACACCTTCATCCTCTTTGAACTAGCCACCCTGAAGGTGCACCTCGCAAACATGACGCGAAAGACATACATGGGCATGAGTGGCAGTAACCTCAACTGGGCCATTAGCACCATTGCAGGATGCGACTTTCTGCTCTTTGGTTACGGTAAGCCTGCCTCCCCTTCGCGGCACCAGTCGCCCTCAGTCACGTACTGTAGCTAACATGGCCTCAGACCAGGGTGTCATGGGCGGTATCCTCACACTACCTATCTTCCTCGACCAGTTCCCTCAGATCAATGATCTTGCCGACGCTCGCAACATGGCCCAGCTGCCGGGCACCCGCTCCCAGCGCAGTCTCAACCAGGGCATCGCCATCGCCTCCTACAACCTTGGTTGCTTCCTCGGCGCCGTCATCACCATCTTCATCGGTAACCCCCTCGGCCGCCGCCGCATGATCTTCCTCGGCACCGCCATCATGACCGTCGGCGCCGCCCTCCAGGCATCCGCCTTCACCATCGAGCACTTCATCATCGGTCGCATCATCACCGGCATCGGCAACGGAGGCAACACCTCCACCGTCCCCATGTGGCAGTCTGAGACGTGCTCCTCGCACAAGCGTGGCAAGCTCGTCATGATTGAGGGCGCCCTTATCACCTTTGGCATCATGGTCTCGTACTGGATCGATCTCGGCCTGTCCTTTACCGACTCCTCCGTCTCCTGGCGCTTTCCCCTCGCCTTTCAGCTCGTATTTTGTATCTTCATCCTGGCCTTTGTTCTCGGTCTGCCCGAATCCCCGCGCTGGTTAATCCTCAAAGGCCAGGAGGATGAGGCACGCGCCGTCATAGCTGCCATTGCCGACAAGGAAATAGAAGACCCCTTTGTCGCCAACGAGTTCCGCGCCATCAAGGACACCGCCGTGAAGAGCGCTGGCGGCTACGGTGAAGTCTTCCACATGGACGAGAACCGCACCCTGCACCGCACCATCCTCGGCTACGTCAACCAAATGTTCCAGCAAATCTCGGGCATCAACCTCATCACCTACTACGCCGCCAAGATTTACGCCGACCTCGGCATGAGCCCCTTCCTCGCGCGCCTGCTCGCCGCCCTCAACGGCACCGAGTATTTCCTTGCGTCCTGGCCTGCCGTTTTCTTAGTTGAGCGCGTCGGCCGCCGCAAGCTGATGCTCTTTGGCGCCGTCGGCCAGGCCTGCACCATGGCCATCCTAGCCGGCGTCAACTCGCACAAGACGGATGCGAGCCGCATCGCCGGCGTCGTCTTCCTCTTTGTATTCAACAGCTTCTTCGCCGTCGGTTGGCTCGGCATGACCTGGCTGTACCCGGCCGAAATTACCCCCCTCCGCACGCGAGCCCCCGCCAACGCGCTGTCGACCTCGGCCAACTGGATCTTCAACTTCATGGTCGTCATGATCACCCCCGTCTCCTTCACTAACATTGACTACCATACCTACACCATCTTTGCTGTCATCAACGCCATCATGGTGCCCTCGGTCTACTTCTTCTTCCCCGAGACGGCCTACCGATCCCTCGAGGAGATGGATAGCATCTTCCGCAAGGTCACGGGGCTGCGCGGTGCGCTCGACGTCGTCAAGGTGGCACGCGAGATGCCCCACCGCTATGGCAAGAATGGAGAGCTGCTCATTGCGTTTGATGAGTCAACGGAGAAGGTGCAGGCCGAACACGCCAGCGGCAGTGTCAGCGATGGGAGCGGCAACAACAACAACACCATGTTTACCAAGACGGATGAGGAGACATCGCGTCCTCGGGAAAAGTAAATTGCAATCTGGCTCCATGACACTCTGCTTGCATAGTACATTTGGTTTCCTTGGAGAAAATCTTTTCCTACTCAAGATATGATAGATATACCCTGTTTCTTCTCATATAGTTTTACGCAACCCAGGCTTGTTAGCGGGACTGGGGAAACTGCACTTTGAAAGGGCAGTTGCTATTTATGACTTTGATCCAATGTTAATACGTGGATTGTTTAATTGCCGCTCCGTGCGATACTCTCGTTGCCTCGGTGCCTGCGTATGATGTATGAGGAAATCCCGAGTACTATTCATCGCCGTCCTATGATGTAAAAATGCTTGGACTCAAACCATGCCATTAATGGGCGAGGCATGTTTTGTTGGGAAAGTAATTGCTAAGCATCATGCAAACCCCACGCTGACGAACGGTAGCTAATCATGATTGCACGTCCAACGTCCAATAGCAGTGAAACTGTCAACCAGCTATTAGAGCTACAGCCGTTATTCGGGCAAGATGACTTGCCATGATCAATTTCGAAATGTCTTTAAAAATTATAGTGTTTCCCCATTAATCGCCGTGTTAATTGAGCTGCCGCTTTTCGCATGCACCTCCCTCAAACAAGCTCTCCAGTTTACCCCTCACCCCACCACGCCCAGCGGTTATCATAGCTCCGCGCTCTGCTCCATTTCTTGACGCAACGGCGTCATTTACAACTCATCGCAGTTGCTGCACAGCTCGAGACTTGTGCAACATAGAGCTCTTCATTACCATCTACATCTCTGAAACAAAATCACAATAACGCATCCGTCGACCTACAATAATAGACGCCGCAACCTCTCTTCAACGCAAACGTAACTCTGCGATTCCGCGACCCCGCCGCTCGAAACAACAAGATACCAAAAAAAGCTGCCGCACGCAGCCTGCCGAACACAAACCCCTCTCTCCCGACGATCACCCCATATTCCCTTTGCTCCTTTGCTCTATTCTCCTTGAAAGGCAAACGGGCAACCCTTACAACAAGACTAAAGAAAGAACCCAATACATATAAAAAGTACCATCTACAATCATCATGGTTGACAGGCCAAACAAGCCCTCGGCGCTCGCCACCACCCCAGGCCTCCCGCCACAGGCCCAAGTCACCATCTCGCACGGCAACGCCCGCGTCACCGCCGCGCTGCCGACCGGCGAGTCCGTCGTCGTGCTCCTGCACGGCGCCACCGTGATCAGCTGGAAGGACGCTTCCGGCGACGAGAAGCTATGGCTGAGCGAGGCCGCCCACCTCGACGGCAGCAAGGCCGTACGCGGCGGCATCCCTCTTGTATTTCCCGTGCGTCGCCACCCCCCTCACCCCCCAACAATACCTTAGAAAGGTCTAACCGTATGATGTAGGTCTTTGGCGCGGGAAGCAACGGCGAGAAGACAAAGGACCTCCCGCAGCACGGCTTCGCCCGCAACGCGCGCTGGGAGTTCCTCGGCAAGTCGACGAGCGAGGGTGACAGCGCCAACGTCGTCAAGCTCGACTTTGGCCTCTCTTCGGAGTCGCTGGCGGACGAGTACCAAAAGGCGTGGCCGTACCGCTTCGGCCTGCTGTACAGCGTCACGCTCACCCGCGAGAGCCTGACCACCACCATCGTCATCACCAACGACGGCGACGAGCCCTTTGAGTTCCAGACGCTCCTGCACACCTACTTCCGCGTCAAGGTAAAGCCAACCCATCAACGATTAGTTCCCCCCTCCCCCCCCGGGTCCCCGGCTCGCTAACAAAACAAAGGACATCTCGCAAGTCTCCATCGACGGCTTCGACGGCGCCCCGTACATTGACCAGCTGGCCAACCGCGCCGCCAAGACGCACGCCGGCGCCATCACGTTTGACGGCGAGCTCGACAGCATATACACGCCGGCGGGCGGGCCGAAGCAGGAGGTAACGCTGTCCGAGGGCGGGCGCAGGCGCGTGCGGCTGGTCCGGGACAACCTCGAGGACGTGGTCGTGTGGAACCCGCACGTGGCCAAGGCCGCGGGCATGGCCGACTTTGCGCCCAAGGACGGCTGGCGGAACATGGTGTGCATCGAGGCGGGCAGCGTCCGGGGCTGGCAGCGGCTCGACAAGGGCGACGCGTTTGAGGGCGCACAGACGATTCATCTATAGGGGTGAAAGAGAGGGGTGGTGTGTAAAGCGAAGCGGTGGTGGTGAGATGCGTGGCGACACGAGGGCATTGTGCATCGTTGACTGGGGTGAGTGAGAGTTGTATACAGAAATCACGTTTTATGGTCCCGGCTATCCACCTCTCATTTCATGATGCGTATTCATTGATATCAATACCTCTGTCTCGTACCCTTCGTAGCATGTGAGACCAGTCATTCAGCTCCGCCATGTCAACCTTTCTTCCTCCGAGAAAATCAAAGTCGATGACCTTTTCCTGCTTTTCATCCATCTCTTGCTCAGCCCAGTCTCGGCTCTATTATATACAAACGACCTGTAGAAACAAGAACAAATGAATCGACTCTTTTTTCAATATTTTCCCCTTGCTTTCTTTTTCTCGCCTCATGCCTTCTTGGCCTCCTTGGAGAAGTGGTCCGCGATCAAGAACGCCAGCTCGAGCGCCTGCTTCTCGTTCAGGCGCGGGTCGCAAAACGACGTGTAATTCGTCGACAGGTCGTCCTCGTCGAGCCCCTCGCTCCCACCCAGGCACTCCGTCACCGCGTCGCCCGTCAGCTCCAGGTGCACGCCACCCAGCACGCTGCCCTGCTCGCGGTGGATGCGCAGCGACTCCTGCAGCTCGCGGTAGATGTCGTTGAAGCGGCGCGTCTTGATGCCCGTGCCCGTCGACAGCGTGTTGCCGTGCATCGGGTCGCACTGCCAAACCACGCAGCCCTTGTACTCGGAACCCTCCACGGCGCGCACGTGCAGCGGCAGCAGCTCCGCCACCCGCGCTGCGCCGTACCGCGTGATCAGCGTCACCTTGCCGGGCTCGCGCCGCGGGTTGAGCGCGCGTAGTAGCGAGAGCAGGTCCGCCGCGGGCGTGCTCGGCCCCACCTTGACGCCGACCGGGTTGGCGACGCCCCGGAAGAACTCGACGTGCGCGTGGTCGAGCTGCCGCGTGCGGTCTCCGATCCACAGGAAGTGCGCCGACGTGTCGTAGTAGTCGTGCGTCTTGGGGGCGCTGGCGGCGCTGGGATCTGCGACGCTGCCGAGGCGTGGCGAGCGCGTCAGCGGCGTGGCGATGCGGCTGTTGCCGGGCGAGTGCGACACGGGCTTGGGCAGGTGCCGGGTGAGGGCCTCCTCGTACTCGAGGAGCAGGCCCTCGTGGGAGGTGAAGATGTCGACCGTCTCCAGCTCGTCGGGGCGCGCGTTGATGACGTGCAGGAAGCGTAGAGTCTGCTGGATGCTCCGGGCGATTTCGGAGTACTTTTCCTTGAGGACGGGGTCGCGGACATGGCCCAGGCCCCAGTCGAAGGGGTGGCGGAGATCGGCGATGCCGGAGGCGATTGCGGAGCGGATGAAGTTGAGGGTGGCCGCGGAGTGGTGATACGCCCTATGCGTTGTTCAAAGGTTAGAATGGGTCAGCGCCTGCTGGGGGGGTTTCAGGGCGGCGCTCACTTTAGAAGACGATTAGGGTCAATCTCGCGCTCATCCTCGTGGTAGCCGTTGAGGATGTCGCCGCGGAAGCTCGGGATCTCACGGCCGTTGACGATTTCGGTCGGGCTGGAGCGCGGCTTGGCGTACTGGCCGGCCATGCGGCCGATGCGAACGACGCGCTTGTTGGTGCCCCAGATGAGGACGACGCTCATCTGCAGCAGCAGCTTGATCTTGGACTCGATGGCCTCCTGCTGGCAGTAGTCGAAGAGCTCGGCGCAGTCGCCGCCCTGGAGCAGGAAGGCCTTGCCCTCGGCCACGTCGCGCAGGTGCGCCCGCAGCGCGTCAATCTCGGACGGGTGCACGAGAGGCGGCATGCGGCCGAGCTCCGCGACGGACCGCCGCAGCTTGACCTCATCCGGGTAGGCGGGCGACTGCTTAATGGGCTTGGCGCGCCAGGAATCGGGCTTCCAGGCGGCGGCGGCGGCGGCGGCATCGAGGGGCAGCGTTGTCGATGCGGGGATGTGGGTTGGTGGTGCAGAAGCCATGATGGGCGGGCGGCAGGACGATGATATCGGGAAAGAGAGTAGACGCTGGCGAGAAGTGGAAAAAACACCGGAGCAAGTCTGGCTGCCCTGGCTTTATGTTAAGGGATTGGAAGGCTTGATGCTGGACAGTGACTCAGTCGGCTCAAGACCGGAGGTGCGACCTAATCGAAATGGTCGGCGGAAGCTGGGAATAACCGTAGCTTGGACGATGTGCCGGTCCGTGGTCTTCAAAACGTCAAAGAGATTCAGGCGTGAATTGACTGCAGCTGCGCCACGCCACACGAGGAAACAAAGATCTCACCGCGGCAATGAGATGAAACACTAGATTTGGTTTGAATGACTCTCTCACTGACGAACGAGTGATCTGCCCGAGTCCGCACTGAAGCCCTGCACTTTTTTTTCTGTCGTCACAGCCCCGCCACGGGCCAATCAGAGAAGTGAGCGTTAGATGAAAATACAGTGTGAATTGGGATGCTCACAGTACACAAGAAACTGTATGAAGCTGGAGCTCGCACCCACCACCACCAGTTGGCTACAGCATTGATATGCAGCGCATTATTAGAATCATGAGTTCAATGTTTTTCTTTACTAGCATAGGTACTGCATCCTCGTAAAGCGACTCTCTATAGAAACAACATGTCCTAATAGCGATTTTTGCTTCAAGAACGTAGTGCATTTGTCCAGCAAAATCGAAGTGCCGTAGTAAACGCGGTTTCGGGCCGGCGATCGTCACCCCACCACGGACCTCTCTTTCCACTCCAAAAATTCCACCCGCGACAAACAATCTTCCTCCCACCACCCAAGCTTTTACCAAACCACACCGCGAACGCCTCCACCCCCCCTCCTCCCCTGACAAATCGCCCAGCCATGGCCGACGAGCAACCGCCCCTGCCCGCCAACGCCGAGGACCGCAAGGCCGCTAGCGCCCTCGCCAACCTCGACGACGCCGCCCAGGAGGACGCCTCCTCCTCCTCCGCCCCCGTCGACATGGCCGCCATCAACAAGGCCACCAAGGGCAATTCCGCCGCCGCGGCCAAGGACGCCGCGTACAAGAATGTCAAGGTGGACGCGGCCGACGTCGCGCTGCTCGTCGAGGAGCTGGAGCTGCCGCGGGCGCGCGCGACGGAGCTGCTGAAGCGCCACGAGGGCGACGCCGTCCGTGCGATGCGCGCGTACGTGACCGCTGCGTAAAGGCAGCGAGGAGAGAAAGGAAAAGAGTTTGCGGTGGCATATTGAACGGCATGAATCATGACAATTACGAACGAATCCGGGAGGAGGAAGAAAGGGCAAGCCAACATCTACCGATCAAGGCTAGATGAACAACAAGGGCTCAACTATCCAATGGCAACAAAAATGCAATGTTCCGCCCAGAGACTCGCTTAGACAGCTGCCTCCATCACCAGCATCACGGATAGAACATCATAATAACCAAGCAAATATATTATTCCCAACGCCAACCACCCCAATCTCAGATGCAGACGAAAAATATGTACTCATGCCTCCTCTCCTCCCATTATAGTAACAATCAATCTGAGTCCCCTCCTTCCTCCCATACAACCCAGATCCAAAAAAAAAAAAAAAAACCAACGCCCGAGAACACGGACTCGAAGAATCCCCTCTCCTCTTTACTTTGGGGTATCTTTGATATAAAAAACTCAACGAGTCGCTGAAATGCTGGCAACTCCCCCGCCACCGTCCCTCTCCTGAGTCTTCGACATCCTTCTTGTTGCTGTAGTTGCTGCTCTCTCTAGTACCAAGACTTGGACAGCGGACTGCCAATCTTGGGCGCAAACTGCAGACTCTTGCGGCGAGCCGCCATCAGGCGTATGAGCACCTTCTCATCCTTGTGCGTGCTCAGAACGCCCGCGCCCAGCTGGTCGTACGCACCGCTTGGCTTGGCCGGTGGACATGTCCTCATCAGCATTTCCTCCCGCGAGAGCGACATGCCACTTTCATCGCCACCCCGCGACGGCGTCTCCGGCTCCTCGGTCGCATATCGTGAAATCGTTTCCGGCGTCGGCGTCTTCGGGACCGGGGTGAGGATGAACTCGGACCACTCAATGTCGTCATCGCCCTCGCCACCGTGCGCCTGCTGCTCAGGTGGCGTCTGCATCCAGATGCCGCTCTGTCGACGATTGTAGCCCTGCTTCGCTGCCGGCGTGCTGCTGACCAGGGTGCCGTTGTTATTGGCCAAGGCCTTGGGCTCCATGCTCTTCCTGCGACGCGCGCCGCCGCGCGGTACAAACGCCGTGTCGATCAGGTACGGGCCCTCGTCCAGCCACGCATTCTCCTTCTCACAATCGAGCACCCAGCTGACACCGACGCACTGCACCATGCCGACGGACTTGCGCACCTTTTCCATCGTTCTCTTGCCGCCATCCTTGAAGACGACGTGCGTGATGCCGATCTTGTTGGACGAGGCTTCGACGTTGTGGGAGGCGCCATTGCCGTCCGGGTTCCAGCTCCACGTCTTGACGCACTTGGCACCCATCTGCGTCAAGAGGTCCACAAAGATGAGACTCGCATCCGCGCCCTCGCTGGTGTGTACGTCGACAAAGACTACGGCACCGCGGAGTAGGGCGGAGGCGGTATCGCGTCGGGGCGTGCGAGCCGGCGTGCCCATGTTCGACCACATGTCGCACTTGCTGGTGGGGGTGGCAGACTCGTGGTCCATGTCGAACACGCCGGAGCTAGACTTTGGCTTCTCAGGAGAGTAGGATATGACGGTCGCGCTCTTCGGCAAGCTCCCGGTTCCGTTGTTGGGGATACGCGAGGCGCTAAAGCGGCGCGCTTTTGTCGGGCTGGACTCGTCAGCCGGCTTCAGCGGCACCTTGGTCGTCGTGGAGCAGGTTCTCAGGACCGGCTGGACCGGCGTTGTCGGCGGCCACATGCGCGGGACATGAAGGGCAGGGTCCACGGGAAGCTCGTTCTCGTCACCATACTCCTGGCTCGCCTCGGACAAGGAGTCGGAGAACGACCTGGCCGCGCTTCGTTCGGCGCAGGGACTCTCATGCAACTGAGACATGTCCTCGGCCTCCTGCGCGAGGGCAAGGTCTTCACAGGTAACTTGAATATCCTCGTCGAATGACGGCTCGGATAGTTCGTTATCTGCCAGGATCTCGCCGACGTCCTCTTGGTCCTTGTCCTCCTCCTCCGCTCGTGTCTGCATCTGCTCCTCAAAGAAGCTCGTCTGCGAGGGCGAGGCGTCGGTGACCGGCACAATCGTCGATGCACGGCGGAGGCCAGAGGTCGGTTGAGCAGTCTCGGCGGCACGAGCGGGAGCTTCCGAGGACCAAGCGCCGAGCGTCTGGGCCAGACTTGTGAGACCCATGGTCGAACGTCGGTTCTTGTTGAAGCTGGGCGTGAACGTGGACGAGTCGGCATCCACATCTCCCTCGTCATCCGAATCCGACATTGCCGTCATGTCGTGGCAAGGGTCCGCGTCCTTGTCTCGCAGCTGAAAGTTGGGGCCCTGTAGCGGCGTCTGCGCCGGCAAAGCAGTGGAGGCGGTCTGCGGCATCTCAGCAATCTCGAGAGTGCTATCCGAGGAGCTGGACATTCGGGTTGGTGTCATGTCGGATGTCGGGGGAGCCGCACTGCCAGCCTTCTCGTAAAAGGAATACGAGTGCACCAGATCCACCGATTCGTCCTCCTCGAGCCCATCATCGACGTCGTAGTCGTCCTCATCGCGCGGCACAACGTCAGACAGCCGGCCATTGAAGCGGGAGCCCAGCGAGGGACCCTCCAGCATCTCAGTGGCCAACTCGTCCGAGAAGTCATCATCGTGCTCGTCCTCAAAAGTAAGCCTCGCTGAAGGGCGACGAGAGTCGACGCGCACTGACGTGGAGGAGGAGGAGGAGGAGGTTGCAGCGGGGGCGACCGTTGCGATGGGCTTCATCGCCGGCGTCTCGCAAATCGCAGCCACGGCTGGCCTCTCAGGCACGGGCTTCAGGCCCAACATTGGCGCCCGCTTGGCGGGTGACTGGAACAAGGAGGCCTTGAACAGGGCGTCCTGGCTGCCAGTCGAGGGGAAGCTGATCGCGGGCCTGCTGCCCTTGATCGGCGAGGGGGGCCGCTTCGCTGGTGTTTGGAGCAGAGTGCTACTTTTGGACAGTGTTCCCGTCTTGGTGGCATTGTCCTGGGAGAATGGGTTCGATCTGGTGGGCGAGCCCGGGAACGGGATGGCTCCCATCTTCTTCGCTGGCGACTTCAGGGTGTCTCTGTTGGGCGACGTTGGTGGGCGACGGGGAGGTGAGCCGAACGGGATCGTCATCGTGGCCCCCTCCGGCGCGCCCAAGATAGCAGCATTGACCGTCACCGTGGAGTCCTGGTCCCTGTCGGGCACGGCCGGCTCCACGCTCTTCTTAATCGGCGTCAGGCTGATGACTTGCTCCGCAGCCTTGCTCTTACGGGAGCTCCCGTTGCTAGCCAAGTCGTCCCCGTCCTTGCGCAGAACTGGAATCTGCGTCACCTTCTTCGGACTGAGCGGCGTCTTCTCCGCCACCGAAGCCGCGACGGTGCCACGCTTCCTCCCACTAGCTGCAGGCGTAGGGGGTCGGCGCGCCGCGGCGGCGTGCAAGAGGCCGCCGGCGTTGGCGGCATCCGCGCCCGCCGGTCCTAGGTTCTCCTTGCCCGGCTCGTCAAACTTGACGCTCTTCTTTTGCTTCTTGGCGGTAGTGGCAGTCGGCGCTGTCTTGCTCGCGGTGCTGCCCGCGCGCGTTCGCGTGCCCGCGGCAGCCGACCTCCTCGTGGTAGTGGTAGTAGTAGTAGTAGTAGTAGCTGGGGGCTGATCCGTCAACGTGGGCGTGTTCCTCCGCGGGCGGCCGCGCGCCGGCCTGGACGGCGCCGGCTCCTCCGCGACGATCCGGGCTGAGCGTGTAGAGCGCGTCGTCGCACGCACCGGCTCCGCGCGCAGCGCTGTCGCGGGGCCGTCGACGGCGCGACTAGGCCTGCCGCGAAGGCGGCGGGCGCGGACCTCACCCTCGTTCTCCTCCCCGTTGTTGCCGTTGTCGTCATCATGCTCGTCGGCGCGCGTCTTCCTCTTCGTCGCCGTCGGGGCGTCGTTGGTGGCCGCGGCGGCGGCGGCCGCTTTCGCCCTGGCTGCTGCGGTGACGATCCTGGTCGTCCTTACGGTCGACGTGCTGGCCGCGGCCCGAGCTCGCGTGATTCGCTTTGGTGGTGAATCCATGTGTTGTTGACGAGAAAAAACCAAACGGGCACAAAAACAGGAAAACAAAAAGTCTGAGACGCGTGCAATTGGGTTGTATGTAGCAATCAGAAACAACAGAAAAGATGAAAAGCAACGCAGAAAAATCCAAGAAGCTGATTTGATGGTTTTATTACGAGGACATACTGCTCGCGGTGCGTGATTCATCAAGGAAGCATGCAGCTTTGGCCCATGGCAGCCTTGGCCCTTTGTTGTGGCCCCGATTTGGTGTGTTTAGCTTCCGTTGCTCGGCAACGTGGCTGGCTCCACCCTTCCTGTCATCACCAATTATTCACGGGATCACCACCGACTTGGCGGCCTGCAATTGCTCCTGCTTGACAGGTAGACTTTTTAGTTGCTTGATAATTATTTTCATAATCCCACTTCTTATGGCTCAGTTCGTTTCTACGTCAGTTCGTTACCCCCTTTTGCCGAGGCCTTCATCTCAGCCTTCGCCTCAGACCCCTGTTCATACTATCGACGTGCTATAGATGTTCATCGTGATGGATTCGCTCTATAATTCTCCTTGATGTACACTACTCTCAGCCCCATCATGTCTGTGACATGCATTCTGGTTCTGCAAAATCTCCATCCCGATCCATCCCCATCGACGCCATCAACGCCACGTAAAACCGCACTTGGTGTAATACGTATACAATGCTTCCGCATTTGAAACAAAACAGTCGCTAATACCATGCAACTCACCATGAATCATGCACTCACCAACCAACTCGACCCCCCAAAAAAAAAGTTTGCATCGTACAAACCAGTTTGCTCGCCAGATTTCACCAACCAGCCCAGATGCGCGAGAATTTCATCGCGCTTTCCCAAATGTGGTATAAAGACGTAACTGTACATAATAGGGCCGTGTAACTAACCCAAAACACAAGCAAATTGCAAGGAAAAGTTTCCAGGGAGGCTTGGCATCCTTTGCCATCGTCGTTGCCGATGCGTGGGTGTCCGCACCTTTATCTGAATGGAGGGGCCCTGAACGGGCCATCCACGCGGATCTCTCGAGCCGTCTCCGGAATCAGACGTAGCCATTCGTTCCAACTCTCCACATCGACATTCTCATCCGCCAGTCGCACGTTGAGGCTGATTTGCGGCATGCTATCGAATGAGAAGCTACTTCGGTGTGTGCCGTGTTGGTGCAGTGGACTCAGGAAGACGGACGGCAATCTCGAATTGCCGCTCACCATCATGTGAAACGGCGTCGGAAAGCTGACGACGTTTTCATCCTCCGGCTGGCGGTCCTGGACAAGCTTTGGATACGCGCTTAGCAAGATGGCGTGCAGCTCCGTCACCGACAGAGGTTTCGCGCGGCCGGCGCGTATCCTTAGCTGCTCGGCCAGTGCTTTTGTAAACGTGCATCGGCCAAGGGAGGCTGCGTGCTCCTCTGAGATGGACGCCCCTAGAATTTCCATGACACCCTGCTTGCGAAGTATTCGGGAACACGGGTAAAAAGCGGCATCCATGATGACCAAGACATCCGAGGATGCCTGTTCCAACGGCTGCTGCAGTGTGCTCCATCTCACCATCGTTGCCCGTTCCAGAATCCGAGAGCTATTTCCGTAAGAACGTGATTCTCGAAAGCATGCATCCCTGGGACTTACCTAGCAAGACACATTTCTCTACTTTCGTCCAGAAACGTGTGGCCGGCGTAATACACAATCTTGAGCACATCGCGCCTGTCATCCTCATCTGCAAATCTGTCTAGTGTTCTCGACAGCCACCTCCAAGTATCTTTGGCAAGTCCATGTTCCGTAGAAGGTATTGTCTGTATTTGAAAGGCAAACTGATACTGCTTCTCAAACACGTCCGCGAGCTCGCGGATCGCGGCATGCACACTTGCTGCGTCGTCGTCGTCTTGCCACACCAGCAACAGTGCGCGCACATCGAAATAACGACCGCGATTCGTTGCCGACAGTATCCTATTCGCTGTAGTCTGGAGATCGTTCCGAAATGATTCGATGCCGGGAAGTGAAAGAGACTTCTCGAGTCTAGGGCCCGACGGCAAAGGCCTTCGTATCCGCGGGTCGCTCAGAGACAGCCGACCCCCATGATGGTGAGACGTCGACGGTCCAGCGTCAATATCCATGTCTTGTGAATCTGCTGCAAACATCGCCCGCGGCTCTCTCATAGTTGCTACTGGGCTTGTTGGCTCCCCGATTGGTATGGATGCTGGCGTGACATCAGGCATTGTCGGGCTATGGGATTGATTGAACTTGTGGACGACATCCTCCCACGTCATATCATGATGGCTCGGATGGCACTAACTCCGAGACGTAAAGTCAGCATAAGGATTCAATTTTCTATACAGTCAAGGTCCCAGTAGCTCGGTCATCCCGCGAGCCATATTCCCTTCTGGAGTTACTTACCGCAACTCTCCGGCGGCGGCAATCCTGACAGGCACCAAGCTTCCTGATCAATGCAGCCCGCTCTCTGGATTGTTGAGAAAGAGGCCCAGTACGTCTCCTGCTGGCGCGCCGGTTGTTAGAGACGTCGGATCCGTCTTTGATAGAGAAAATGGACTGATGCAGGCTGGGGGAGGTGTCGGCACTGTACGATGTTGTGTTGGTTTCGGGAGAAGCCAAGGTGGCCGCGGTGGCCGCGGTAGCCTGCGTCGAGACCGAGGAAGCGGTGTCATTGTGCAGTGGAGTGGCGGACGTGGCATAATGCAAAAGCTGTACGGAGCTTGTTGACGGTGTCGAAGGTCGATGATGATGATGATAACGAGGAGTTGCCTCGTCGTGGTGCGAGAGCATTGCAGGATGTGATGTAGGCGATATGGAAGCCCCGGAGTCCATGGCAGCATGCGCTTGAGAATGTGCCTCGGTTGTGCGAGGTTCTCTGGGATTCATCTCTGATTGCATCACATCGGAAGGTCCGCACGAAGATTCAGATATACCGTGAAGGGATTTCATGGTGTCGAGTAGCAACAACGGGTCGCGCGGCGTCAGCGGCCCATGGTTGGTAGACTGATGAGCTGTTCGAAAATGTCCGAAGTTTTCAGAAGTAGAGCTCAATAATTTGAACGAGCCGCTCTGTGCTCTAATCATGAAGTAGTCCCAAGCAACCAGAGCGTCGCTTGCGATGATCAAGTGGTGACGAGCGACAGCCGCCAGATGGTTGGTCGGGTCGATGCGCGAGCGTTGGTTGCGACCAGGGTAGACTTGTCGCTATCGGAAACGCGCACGGGAGTTGAATCTAGTGCCTTGACAATGAACGACAGTGATACAGGCTGGGATGGCTCTTCGGAATAGCTTGTTCCCGTTGAAAGAGGGAGGCGCACGCCGCCGAGGTAAAATGGTAATTCTCAGAACCCCCGCCAGCAACCCACCAAATGGTAACCAAATGTCAACTTACTTAGCAGCAACGGTGGCAATAATGACAGGCCACGGGCGATGGGGCAGGACGGGGCGAAAGGAGAGGGCGGTGGTTTTCAAGTGATCGGATCTATGGAGCAATATCCCGAGGACGGGCTGGCCAGTTATAGACGAAGACCAGCACAGACGAGGACCATGTCCCTCGCCAAAGGTGATTTGCTATGGCCGTGACCGGGTATGCACGGGGCGTTATCTGGCAGCCGGACCAAGATGAATCTCAGCCCCCAGCGGACGGGTTCGAGGGGCAAACAAAACAAGAGAGATGAAGGAGCCGGTATGGGCTAGGGAGGCAGGAAGGCGAGGAGGAGCGCGAGGACAAAAATATGTCGTCCACCGAGAGCATTACTTCTTTGGGCAACCTGTCTAGTGGAGTGGCTGCCGACCTTGTTTGAGAAGAAGCTCCCCGGGTAAAGAAGTGAGAGAGAGAGAGGAGGCCGTATGGGGCGAGAAGTTTATGAAGAGCAGAGTAGTAGAAACCAACCAGGTAGGGAGCCGAGGAGCGATATCCGGGAGAGTAGGAAGCACGCACAACGCAGACAGACACGCACACACGCACATGCACACAACGTACAAATGCTAGTGTTTGTGTGCGACAATGGTTGGCGTCGGCGTGTGTCGTCGAATTGTTTGCATTGGCAAAGCTTCGTTTTGACCTGGATACGCGAGCCTTGTTACAACGAAGCCACAAGGAAACGTCTTGTCAGGTCAGCAACAACGATGGCCGAGCTAACCATGGAACTAATAGCTAGCTAACTAGGACCAAGACAGGGCGCTTGGTAAGGCCGGACGGGAAGTCGCAAATGGCGGCACAAGGGCAGACATACCTCGGAAGGTCATGGCATACTGGTAGGCTGGTAGGTTGGATTACACCTGAAATGGAGAGCTCCAGTTCCAGCGGTCTGGCTGTACCAGTAATACGCCATGTAGGCAACCCCCCCCCCCCCCCCCCCCCCCTGGGTGTGCGAATTGGTGCAGAAACAGATGGTGTACAGAAACTCCATACACACTTGGTATGGGTGTATGGGTTGATGGCTGCAAGATAAGTTCCACCACTTCAACCAGCGAACGTTATTAGCTTGGGTTCCTGCAATCAAAACCAAGGAACTGTTACTCGTCGAACCGCCCAACTGGCTTCGGAGGCCAGGCGTATTCTCTAATGCTTGTATCGGCGTACGTCGGCGGTCTTAATGGCCAAGTCAGAGCTGTACAACGTTCGGGATGGTCAGTGAGTTGACTGAGTAAGTGACTGAGTGAATGAATGGGTTGCCCAGCTTTGCCCCTCGTGATTCAGCTTCCCTGCTGGCCAGTAACCGACAAGGTTTCGCGCCCTGCTCTCTAGGGAAACGGGGTTTGGTCGGGAATCTAGGCTAATAACGGGCTGCGACTTGGGGTCGGTTGGGGATGATGCACGCGGCGGACCGTGGCTGCGTGGGTTGGGCTTCGGCTGGCTGGCTCTCGCAGGGAAGCGAAGGTGTTTTAACCAGGCACAAGAGACAGGACAGGGCTCTATGTTTGTTAGCGGGCGCTCCCTCTTCCTCCTCTCTCTCCGCTTGCTTGCAGGGGCCTTTGGCGGCTGAAATGGAGGTTCCTTCTCGACCACCGTGTTATTGTCCCGTCTGCCCACTTACAAGAAGGTTCTACTGATACTGGTAGAAGCGGGATTCGAGGTGAAGCCCGTACTCGCCCTGTATCCTGTTATCAATACGGGTACGTCAGCAGGTCATTCGATGTGCTGGCCAGCCAGTCAATCAGTCAGCGGCGCGGAGTGGACTGTGACTGTAACCGGCCGGCCGGGCTCCGAGCTCTCCCAGTGACAGGACTGTGAGTTTCTGAGCTTCTATCAGACCCTCACTGCCGGCGGCAGGATGGATTCTTGCCCCATGTGAGTGTGGCTCAAGCACGAGGAGGAGGGCGTATCTTGAGTTGGGCTGCTCGAGCCACCCCTCTCCCCTCTCCCCTCTGGTGATACATGCAGCCTTTTGCACATACGTTCTGTGCTCCGTCCAGTCGTGCCAGTATGTGGTATTGACAAGTGTTTTGGAAACGGGCGCTGCTCACTCCGGGATGAAAGTGGCAGCTCAAGGCAGTTTGCAGGGCCGTGGTCGCTGATGCCGAGACAGCACAAGCGTCCTTGTACTGAAGTGTTTCGGGGAACTAATCGCCCGCTCATGGGCGACTGCCACTCGCCGTCACCAAGCTATGCATGTATGTCGAGGCGGATTCTGCATTCTAGCGCTGCCCAGCTCCCATGCTAGCTCGTGCTTCTGGCGTGGTCTGCGCTGTTTTGGAAGACGCCAGGGGAAGCTTGGAAGCCAGCTAGGTAAGACTAGTGTGTGGCGCCATGCAGAAGGAACCTGGGGTGCCCAGTGGGCAGTGAGGGGGCGAGCAGTTGTTACTACGGATGGTTGACTGTGACGATGCGCGGTGCAGCGATGCCTGCATGATGGCTGCTGCTAGTCATTTCGGCGCTTGCTTTGTTGCAGACTCGGCCAGGTGCGCCGTCGTAGATCCTGAGTATCGTGGCAGCCCCATCGGCGCAGGGTGATGTCCGTATGTATGTAGGTATGTATGTACCATACGTATGCAGGCGGCGGGCTCCTTGGAACGGGGAATAAATAGAACGTCCATGCATGAATCCCCTGTATCCGTAGATGTTGTTGCATCGGCTGCACTGGTCTGGGAATCGTTGCGTGGGGCGCGTATCGTAGGTATTGTATGAATGGAAAGTGCGCTGCTTCCTGCAGCATGTACATATCCGTATGTAGGGACATGCAATTTGACAAAGTAAAAAACACCATGGTGCTCTGTTGGTGGGAGCTTCATCTAGGTCATCCTGCTGGTGTTGTTGCGCTTCTTTACCCGAGGCTGCAGCCCGTTTGCACCTGGTCTGGGCTTTTTTTTTGGAAGGCACTCCCTTCCTAATTTGACATGATGTGTTTCACATTCTTGCATCTCCAGCCCCGTCTTCATCACCAACAGGTTACAACAGCCCGGACTTTGCGAAATTTGTTCAATGTGCACACACTGGGTACTGACGGAGTGGGCAGATGGCCGACTTTACCCATCATCCGGCCACCTTCCACCTACCTAACAACCTACACTTGGGCAGCCAGCGAGACAGACCATAGCGAAGCGTCAGCGTCGAGTATCTCGTGCACACGTCCAACTCACGAATCAATGCCTATCGACATGCGTACTGAGGAAGAGCCGGTCGCAGACTCGGAACAAAAGTTATTGTGGTGCAACAGTGGCGTACGAAACCGCTGGTCACCTTCAGCCTACCATCGTCATCCTTGTCGGCAACAACCTTGCCGCGTTTGACCAACTTTTTCCCGCTGGTGAGTTACGCCGGTATCGCTGCCAATGAGGAGATTATTCTACCCAAATTAAAAATTGAACCAATCAGCTCTATGAGGAAAGCCTTGTCATTTGGCCATGGCCACGCCGCTCACAATATCAGTCCGCCGCCACACAAATGGCTTGGGCCTAAGGCCTAACCTCTTCCCCGATTCGCCAGCCCCTGGACCGAGATTCGCCATGCTATTTACAATCAAATCAAGTGCGGGTGTCTTTGATCCACAGGACTTGGACTTTCCTCCTATTTATGGCATAGAATGCTAGGATTCCTTCAATTGCTGGACAGCTATCCATACTCCGCCTGCATTGCGGGATTGGTTGCAGCCCCAGGTGAGGGTCACCACCACCACCAACAAGCTTTTGCAGTTTCTAACTCGACGGACGGACTCCATAATACATTGGATACTGATATATATCAGCAAACTACGGAGAGTAACTAATACACATGGTGCTGAGTTATCGCCACAGGCAAGTAAATGTTCCGTACCCCTGGCTAGTTAGCTAATCATTCCCGAGGCGCATTCATTATCCGGTATCAGGACCAGAGTTTATTTACTGGTAGGGCCTTTTCCTCGATGACACACCCCTTGTACACCCCGGCATCTGTAACCAAGTGTGCCTTGTGAGAAGCTACCACCTACCAGTGCTAACCGATGGGCAACACGGCAGCAAAGATGCAGATGAATTGGCCCGAGGCTATGCCCGGTGTCCTGTCACAGCTCGGCTTAATAATGAATCCCCCCCTTGAGCCTGACCCTGCAACAACGACTGTCACCGGCCTCGCCACGGGAATCTAAAATCTAGTTCATCTCGCCTCGCCGAGACTCTAGTTGTCCTATTTTCGTCACCTTGAACGTGGACGCACCGACCCCATGTTCCTTGCCCCCCCTCCGTTGAAATTCCGAATTACGGAACAAGTCATTTGCAGGATGCTCGGCCGAGATTATCTCCCCGGCGGCCCGTTTCAACAATCTGTTCGCGCATCGCAGGGATGATTTGAACCAAGCAAGATACTGGTGACTAGAGGCAAAGCATTTGCTACGAAAAAAGCCGCCCATTTTGACGCATTGAGAGTTTCATTCCCCAAGAAAAGAGGGGGAGATTGGATTTCGCCTGTGAGAGCCCGAAATCTGGGTTGATTCGCCTACAAAGTAACCCAAACCGCGCGTTTCGTCTGACCCAGGGCCGGGTGCGGTAGACTCGCGTGCTCTTGAAATGTCTTGTCAACGGCATACATGCGGCAGTGTGTTCGGCTGATGGTTGCAGCCTAACGCCTCTGTCTCCGGATTGACTGAAATTGCTTCTGCCCAAGTCGACGTGCATGAGATGATGTGGCAGCTAACCGCTCATTGTTGGATCGAGGCGGCGGGCGTCTTTTGTCATACGTTGTCGTATACCTGATTCGGTTTGACTGCCGAGCCACGAAGTAGCTGGCCTGTAGGCTGTATGCTATGTAGCTGGAAGCAGGCTGTCCTGATGCCAGCCAGCGCCGCCCAACTCGTTCATCCCAGTTTGTTTCTTGGCTTTTTTCCTTTTTTCCGGCCGGCCGGCGAACTCGGCTTCATAAAGAAAATCAAAAGCCCACAGGCCCAACCCTGATTTATTAACTTTACTTATTAGGCACTAACAGGGCGCCCAATATTGTCTGTCCCTTGCGCCCAGAGCTAATAAATGAACAACTGAATATTTACGGAGGGCTGGCTAAGCACACAGATTATTCTCTGACGCCGCCCGATTTCGTCAAACTGAGTGCATTCACCAGCATTGGGGGGGAGGGCTGCAGGGCCCGACCCTCCAGTTGCCAGGAGATAACTACCACCAATAGGTAGGGACCACCCCGTACAGCGATTGGTGTGCTAATTACGGAACATTATCCTAATGCAGTATGCGACCTGACATCCTTCTTCTAGCTTCCTTTGGCGGGGGATCAAGGTCATCATCGTTGTACCCACGTGGCGCTCCCGAACCCGTCGTCGTCCCACTAGCACCGCTACTACAGTCGTCAGTGGAAGACAAAGAAGACGAAGAAGCCTGTCATAGAATTATAGCAGTGGGCTCTAGACACCACCACACACGCAACAGAAGCCTCTTCTTTTTGTTCCATGGCCCTTCGGCCAAGCACGGAAATGGGCTGCCCCTTCCTTCTTCCTGCACCCCTGCACCCCATTGCCTTTCAGCTTGGCAATCACTATGATAACTACGGATACAACTATGTAACATCCTGGCAGAGGTTGCCCGTCGTGAAGCCACCGCCGCCTTGACAATTTTCAGCTGGATTCGCCGATGGTTACTACCAGTGCGGTCGCGCTCGCATCTGTCCTCTCTCTTCAGCAAGCTCTTGGTCTTCGTCCTGGCCCTGAAGCGGGCACGCAGCCGGGGTTCGCATAACAATATCCTCGCGACAGAAAAAACTCTAAAAAGCTATTAAGGACTTGCGTGGCTCAGGACCCTGAGGACCCAAAAAACCTCAACCGAAAAAAAAAACGCACAGAGCTCTTCTGTCGTTGCTTCAGGAGAGCCGGTTTCTGATTAGGCCGAACTCAAGTTACTTCCAAATACACTTTGACCAGCTTTTCGCGTCTCGCTACTTTTTTTTTTCTTTTTGTCCATTTTCAACTTTTGCTACCTTGTGGCTAGTATGATCCTCGAACCCCACGCAGTCTAACCGTGTTTTACTGGAGCTGCCGCTGTGCTTACACCCAACTCGTCACGTCTATCATCGATCAGCCTCGCCCATTCCATCAGCAGTCGAGAAAAGTACAGCTCCTGGTCACGTTCCCGGAGTGCTTCCTTGGCCCACGACTTGCCCTGCTGCGCGATACCCCTCGAGTCCATGACGCCGCTGTCCCGGCGGTCCTCGAGCACGGTAAAGTACGACAGTGTCGTGTGCAGCGCCTGATAGCGCACGTCCAGCGGCGCAAAGTGCACCCACGGTCTGAGCCGCGACGTGTACCACGTCTTGAAGATGGTAGAGATGACGGGCATCGTCTCGGTCCGCAGCGCCCGCAACGTCCCCGCACTAGGACCGTTATCCTCATCCAGGAGCAGCACAATCTTGGTCCTGTCGCTCGCCCTTGGCAGGTGGAACTCACCGCCAAAGAGCTGCTTCACGGCATCGCAATTGTGCCCGGCGCATGCCGTATAGTCTGAGATGCCCACGTCGAGCGGCAGTTTGCTATTCACTGCTGCCGTTGACCGCTTGGCGTACAGCCACCGTCGCACCTCGTCAACCATAATCGGCTTGATCAGCGTCGTTTTGTCTGTTGCGCGCGGTAGGGTCAGCTGGCCCAGCAGGCGCAGTTTGTGGTGGCCGCGTAGATATTCTGGCGTAATAGGATTCTGACCGATGGAGCCAGCCCAGGATACGTTGTCTGATCGGTCCAAAAACGGCTCATCTAGCGCGTCACCTACCTCCCCCGCCTCAGCTGGAGCTGCCTCTTCAGGCCATAGTGGCAACAATATGTCTGCAAAGTGCGCCGCCTTGTAGAGGCTGAAGAGGGGTAGCAGCTTCTGTACTGGTCTTACGTCAGGTGCCGTCATGTAGAACCCGTGGAGGTTCTTGAGATCGGGCTGTGAGCAGAGAGAGTCTAGCGACTTTTCCCAATCTGACATGAGCTGCACGCTCGAGTGGCCCCGCGCGCATCCTCTGCAGAACCCGGCCGTATTCCAGTAGGGATTCGCGCGAGAGGCGGAATTCGGCGGGCAGGCTTGTCGCAGCATGGCGCGAAATTCGGCTGCCGAGATGGCATTCTGACTTCCCGGTCCCTCGTTTTCGGTTCCCCTCTCTTCGACCACATGGGTCTCGTGGGCCAGTGCTGACATCTCGGCTTGGCGGGCAGATCTCCCCGCGATGACATCAGCAGCAGCGGCGACGGCGGCGGCGGCGGCGGCATCGTCTGACGCGCGGCTGTATGACCGCCGAGCCTCCCACCTTGGCAAGATTCGAGGCGACTTGGCCAGGTTGATGGGGAGAGTCATGTCAGGGAGGTGGGACGAGAAGTTGTTGGCCATGTGCACAAGTCGCGTGAGCATGACGTCTGCGCCTGCACCACCAGCATCATTGCGACCGATGGAGGCCTCGCCGTTTTTGATGACAATTGTTGCGACGCCGGGAAGCTGAGCGGCCTCCTCTACGGCCGCGCGCACCTGCGCTGGACTCAGGTGCCAAAAGGGCTCCAGGTCCTCGTCAATCTGTGGGAAGTTGTCTCTAATTTTGGCGCGTCGCAGTTGCGCATACCACTCCTTGTACTGCGGAGGCGCCTTGCGACCGCCGTGTCGGTCCTCGTAGATTCTGATGGCAGTGCTGGAAGTGCTGCTGGTAGAGCCCTTGACTAGCCAGTGTCTGTAGCTAATCTCGCTGTCGTACATAATCTGGTTGATGGGGTGCTGTCCGTCATACACCGGCACGGTGGCCAAAAGGGCGTGCAGAGTGGTCACCAAGGCGATCAGGAAGACGACCCAGTTGAACAGCCCGCGGGGAAGATGCACAACGTTTCTAAGATGCTGCGCGTAGGTGAAGCATATCGTAGTGCCTGTTGCTACGAACAGCGGGAGCAGCACGGGAGCTCTGTCAAGATAATCCCATTCACCGTATCGACCTGCGTTCACGATTACTTGCCAAAGACCCGCGATGGAGGTCAAGATACCGACTGGTCCGGTAAGATTTGTGTCGCATATCCACAGAGAAGCTGAAATAATCAAGACTGACAGTGCCAGGCTGTCAATCATGATGTTGAAGTTATATGTGAGGGCGACCTCGCCGCTGGTGTCTTGAACGAACCCCCTAAAGGATCGAAGTGTATCGAACACGAGGATGGAAAAGGCGCCGAGTGCAAGGACCTTGGAAGCGGTCTTCAGGTGATCTTTCGCCTGCTTTCCCCAAGTCAATTGCTGCCAGGATAGTATGGCAATAGTAATGTCGAGTAGTAGCATTCCCATATGAGAATAAGACACCAAAGAAGGACTGTCTATCGATGGTATACACATGTACGGCGACGGAGCGAATTGATTCGCAGCGGCACTGGCTGCTACGGCAAACAGAAATGAGATGATCAAGTGGTTCACATGGCGCATCTTGTCGCTTTCGATCCACGAGACCCAATCATGGAACTCGCTGTGCCATGGGTTATCGGCATCCCCATACTTGACGCTCTGGAGCTTGTCCCGAGACGAGGTGTATTGGTAGACGACAAGTGCCGGCCAGAGCCAGAACTATTCATTGGGTCGGTTAGCTAGACTTGACTCAACACGAACGACGACAACTGCTCTCACCTCAAACCCAAAAGAGCGGCAATGCTGCTGCGTCCGAACAAAGAGGAAAAGCTCGACGCGGATCGCGAGAGAGCCGGCTAGTACCATGACGCCCCATCTTCCGGGGCGACTCGGGCGCGGCTCTTCCAGGCCATTCCGGGAGCTGGCGGCGGCATTGGCGTCGTCGTCGCCGTCGAGAAGGGACACTGATTTGCGCCGCCGTTGACGGGCGCTGAACAGGGCTGCTATCGAAGGCCTTGTCGTTATGAGGTGCGCGATGAGATAGCAGCAGCCAGACGACAGAACCAGGAGCAGAATGGCTGATAGATGTGGTCGACCTTTGTAGCATGTTTAGCATGAGTGCGCTTCACCACTTGCGTGTGAGAGGCATCTTACTGGGCAGCGAGTGGGTATCCCAAGCGCGGGAGAAGTACCACAGAGATATGACGGTGCTGTTGGAAGACTTGTGAGCTGTTGTGAATGAGAGAGTTGGTTGATTGGCATTTCTTGCCTCAGAGGCGCAATGTGCACCAGGGAAAATGCATCCATGGTGGACTCGGCGCGGAGGCTTCAAAAGGGTCGCTATTGGTGTGGGAAGATGGTCATGATGCGTTAAGTTCCATCCTTAGCAAGCAAGAAAATGAATAAAAGTGCCAATCTAAAGTCAAGTTGCGCCAAGATTCAATCTTTGATGGCAACTTGTCTCGAGTTTGCGATGTCAGTCAGTTCAGGGGTTAGGTAATCATTTTGCCCAGTAAAAAAAAATGAAGGGGCACTTGCGTCACTGCAGGCGCGTCCAAGCACGCTACCATAATTAACGTTTGTACCAGTGAGAGCTCCTGAAGCTCCTCCAAGTTGGAGACAAATCAGATCTCCATCTCCCAACGCAAACAACGAGAACTCGCAAACCCCCCTCGCCGTACTGCCCCATTCGAAACAGAAATCTGCGCTACCCTCCCCATGGCCGGCATTGCGGACGCCGGCATCGTGCAGCGGGCCGCCATCCCCGCCGTGTGCCTGCTGATCGGCTTCCTGGGCTACTTCTCGCAGTACGTCCTGCACGACGACTTTCTCGAGCCGGGCCCGCCATCACGCACCGAGACCCTCGTCTTCAACGCGCTCCTCCTCGCTCTGTGGTGGACCTACGCGCGCACCTGCACCGTCGACCCCGGCCGCTACACCTTCCCCGAATCGCCGCCCCCCGCCGTCGTCGTCGAGGAGGTAAAGGGCCGGTGGTGCAGCAAGTGCTCCGCGCCGAAGCCGCCGCGCGCGCACCACTGCCGGCACTGCCGCCGCTGCGTGCCCCGGATGGACCACCACTGCCCCTGGACGGGCAACTGCGTGTCCATGACGACGTTTCCGCACTTTTTGCGCTTCCTGGCCTATGCGAACCTGGCGCTCGGGGTGCTCGCGAGGCTGCTGCTGGCGCGCATCGCGCGCCTGTGGGCGGACCGCTTCCTGCCGGCGTACCTGGGGCCGAGCGTCGGCGCGTTGGTTTCGCTCGCGCTGCTGACGCTGGTCGGCGCCGCCACGTGGCTCGCGCTGTTCGTTATGCTCGTTACCACCGTCCGCGGCTGGGTCCTCAACCAGACCATGATCGAGGTGTGGGAGCAGGACCGGCACGAGACGCTGGCCGCGCGCGGGGCCCGCAGCGGCGGTAACGATTGGTGGGACATTGTCGGGCCCGACGGCGAGCCCATCCGGTTCGAAAAGGTCGAGTTCCCGTACGATGTCGGCTTCTTCGCCAACATGGCGCAAGCAATGGGCACCCCGCTCTTCGTGCTCTGGCTGCTCCCGTTCGCCGGGAACCCGCGCGTCTCGCCGCCCGGCGAGGGTACCGTCGGGTGGACCTGGCCGGAGAACGGCTTCAACCGAAAGGAGGGCATGTGGCCGCCGCCGGACCCGGACAAGATCCGCCGCGCCGCTCGGCAGCAGAAGCACACCGGTGCCGGCGGCGCGACTACGCGGCGCGACTACGAGCGCGAGCTGCGCGAGCTCGAACTTGACCCCGAGGCGCGAAAGAGTGCCTTCAAGGAGAGGCAGGAGCGGGACCTCCGGCGCCGGCGCAAGGCGCTCCTTGCCGAGCTCGAGGAGGAAGAGGAGGAGCATGGCGGCGAGGATGACCTGAACTCGTACCCGGACGACGAGAGCGACGGGTGGTCTGAAGAAGACGCCGAGAAGCTCGCGGACTTTGGTGTCGACGAGGACGAGGTCGACTACGACTACACGACTAGGCACGACAACGACGAGGACGAAGACGTACCGCTCGGTGAGCTGCTGCGGCGGAGACGAGCGCAAAAAGCCAGCGACGACGAGTAGTGTATATAACGACTCACCTGCTCGTGTGTGAGAAAACGAAAAGAACCTTGTACAAACAGTCAGGCGTGATCAGGGAATTATAGAAAAGAATGGGCGGGTGTTGGGAGTATTAATTGAGCATTTACATGGTTCGGGCCAACAAAGTGTTGGTAAAAACGAGATGGTCATCCCTTGCATTAGTTCTTCATAGACGGCATCTTCAAATCGCTTATGAATGATCCAAGGCTGCTACAGCGTTGGAATTCGAGTCTCATTTTCTGGACCCTTTTTTGCACTGCTGCCTTTGTCCAATTCATAAAATCGAGAACACGTGCCACGGCAATGGCCGCCTCTTGCTTTGTCTATCAATTTCTTGCTTTTCATCTCTCCTCCACCAATCTACACAAACAGGCGCACACACACATAAAAAAGATTTCTCTCTAATCACTTACATACGCACAAAGAAAGGCAGCCCCTGTATCCATTCAAAAAGGCATTATAGGTCATCAGGACATGCGAAAAAAAAAAAGACGAAAAAGATGTATAGCCTCCTCTGGAATGTACGCAATATATGCTGCTCTTCTTCTTCACCAATCGTCGTCTTGCTCACGCTTCTGCATCGCATTCTTCCTCGCCAGAAGGGCGTCCGCCAGACTGCCGCCGAGGCTGGGCGTGGGCGTGTTGCTACGGCTCGTGTCAGAACCGCCAGCACCGTTGAGGCTCATGCCCGAGTCGCGCTGGGACAAATCTAGTTTCCGTGCGGCGGCCGGGCGCTTCGCCGGCGGCGCGGGTGGTGCCGGCTTTGCCCTGACCGGAGGCGGAGGCGGGGCCGACGCCTGCTCTTCGACGTACGCGGCGGGAACCCAGGCCTGGCCACTCGAGTTCTTTCCTAACCACCATCCTATAAAGTTGTTAGCTTTGTCATATCGCAAGAGTGAGTGAGCGAATAGGTCGTACCGTTGTTTTCCTTTTGGACAATCTCAATCAGCTCTCCAGCAGTAACCGTGAGCTCATTGTCCCTGCTGCCGGCGAAGTCGTAGAGAACCTTGGCCATGATCTTGGGCTTCGCCGGCGGAGCAGCAGGCGGAGGTGGAGGCGGTGCTCTTCCAGCTCCGGAGTTGTTTCTCGTGTGATTAGGGAGAACCTGCTGCAGAGCTGGTTGGGCTGCGGGCTGTCGAGCAACGGGCCTTGGCACGACGGCGGCAGCCGGAGTAGAAGCAGCAGAGATGACGGAGGGCGGCTGAGGAACGGAGCGCCTGCCAGCTGACGGGAGAGGCTGAGCTTTTCTGTTGGCCTGCAGTCTCGAGGGGCGCCCATTGGGGCCACCAGGTCGGATAAGCTTGCCACGAGTGATTGGTCGAGGAGGTACTGGCTTGCCCTTCGGTGTAGGCCGAGAGGTAGAGTTGGGGGGTTCTCCACGTGTGGTATGGATCGCACCACTCTTGTAAAAGTCGGCGCGCTGCTGAGAGTCCTTTAGTACCTGAACCTGTTGCATCTTATTGGGTTTCTTGGCGTATTCGATCGTGTCTCCGATCTTGAGGTTGAATCCACCAGGCATAACGCGTTGCATTTGGGTGAACAGCTCAGTCTTGAGGATGCAGTTCATCAAAGGGTCGGGCTCCTGGGGTGAGCCGATACCCAGCGAGAACCAGTCGTCATTGGCTGTCGAGGCTCCGATAAACCTGATTGCGCCAAGAGGAATGCCCTTTTCTACCAGAATTTGTGGTTGCCCACCAACAAGCGCCTGGGCGACAACGTAAAATTTGCTGTTAGTGACGATGACGAGTCGCGGGCTGGGTTTGCTGGAGCGACCAAATTTGGCTTCCAGAATCTCAGCACGGCAGGAGAACACAGCCCGTTCATTTGTGCCCAGGTTAGCAGCTTGCCTGACCTGAGCTCCAAACCCGACTGAAGCATTTACGCCAAGATAGTCTCCCAAGAAGCGGCGCGAGCCGAGAATACTCATCCTGCGACGCTCCTTGCGACCCTGGAGAACCCGGTGACCTCGGTCACGCAGCTGCAAGTACTCGGCACCCGTCCTCTTCTTGCGCCATACCCGCTGAATACGAGTGGCACTCTCAGCACGGTATGCTAGATATGCCCTCCACATCCTCTGGATGCGAGTGGCCATGTTGTGCCAATATCTGTCTCTCATATGCTCCAGAGCAAACAGCGTCTCGGGCGCCTTGATGAAGGCCTTGGTAACACCCATTTGCCATTCTTCCTTGGGAATGCTCGTGTCCTTGAGAATCTGCTTAACAGCGTCTTCGTACGATCCTTGCCAAGTGTACTCGCCGGCATAGGATGTGGCTGGAGACAGCAAGAAGAACCGATCGACAAACTTGTCAAAGGATTGACGGTAGGCGAAACCAGCCCGACGAATTCGAACGTTTTCCTGTAGACCAAGATATTTGATTTGATGAAGGACGTTGGGACTATTGTATTCGGTAGCCGACTTGTTCTCATTTGGTTTGATCGTCCGAATGTATGACGGCTGGCACTTCATCAATGTGTCTACCAGTGCGTTGGCCGAGGAGCGGATTCGGTCTCCAGAAGAAGGAGGCTGCTTGCGGTTGTCCTGATCAACTTGTTGGGGGAATAGAGAATGAATGAATTTGTTACCACTTTTTTGGAACAGGTTCAGTAGACCCTTGAGTAGCTGATCCTTGTTCTTATCCGTAATGCCGTCGACGGTATAGGCGACATCACCAGCGTAGTGCTTGATAATGAAGTTGCCTTGTCGAGGCGTCAAATGAGCGTGAGACATGCCGTTGATGCTCGTCATGAAGGTGCGATCGCAGGCAGCGGGATCGGCATGTGCGGTCTTGGTGGCATCCTTCATCGCGGAGAAGATTCCCGGTGGGCGGACCTGCTCAATCAAGTCGCAGACGACCTTGTTGTCAAAGTATTGAATGGGGGTCCACTGAATCTTCTCACGAGCGTATTCTTCTTGCTCGGTCTTCAACGTAAGCTGAATAAAGATTTGCTGGAGTTTCTCGTTAACATAGTTGATGCAGAGCTGCTCGAAGCTGTTCTTCTCGAAGATCTCGAAACCATAAATATCTAGAATTCCGACAGCGTTGGCAGCTACTTGTTGGGATTTGAGTGACTTGTTGATGCGGGCAACAATCCAGTCGAAAAGGTTGTTGTAGAGGGCCATAGCCAACGCGTCACGAGTGGCAGTCGCTTGCGCAGGGTTCGCAGGCGACTCAATGACTTCGCCATTGCGAGGGGTAAGAATACGGATTGTGATACCCTTGATCAGCTGTTCCGGGGTGGTCTCCAACAGGTAGGCAGCGAAGTCGACAACAGAGCTGTCGCGCACTTCTGCGTAGCCGCTCTGGTCTTCCTGGAACTGAATGTTGCCGACCCACAGAATCGTTGCCAGCACGCGAAAGACCTCATCCTGCTCTGCTTGTGATAGGCCAATAACCTTCATAGCGTTGAGAGTGTCTTGGAATTCGGCTAGATCGTCGATGCCGTCGACCTCGAGGCATTTTGAGCGGCTGGTGTATACATAGGTCTCGGGTTTTTGGATGCCGTAGAGCTCTTGGTACTGACGAGAGGCGCCCTTGGTGAACTGATAGAAGATGTGAAAATTTCGTTCGTTGGTAATCTGGCCGACGACACGGGACTTTTCGAGCAGGTAGTTGGTGATGTCGGCGCCAACGGGCTCGCCGTTGGAGTTGAAATAGATTTGGAGGTACTTGCCGAAGCGCGATGAGTTGTTGTTTCGCAGCGTCTTGGCGTTGCCAAACGACTCCAGCAAGGGGTTGGTAGCCAGCACCATGTCCTTGATTTTTTGAATGTCGCCCGACTGGCCTCCAGAGACGTTGGCAATGTATTGCATGATACGCTTGGCAGCCTCCGTCTTTCCCGCACCCGACTCTCCGGAGATGATGACGCACTGGTTCTCGTGATAGGCCTTCATGTTGTAGTATGCGGACTCGGCAATGGCGAAGACGTGGGGGGGCATCTCCAAGCGGTTCTTGCCGCGGTAGCTGTCGAGGACCTGGTCGGTATAGATTCCCAGGTCGCGGAAGGGGTTCACCGAGACCAGGACATGGCCTATGTATGTGTAAATTTCGGCGCCCTCGAATCGCTTCTTGAGGTTATCGTTGATAGCTTCATTAGACACTTTGCTAAGGAGGGTCAGGTCGGAGACACCAATCTCCTTCTTCTTGCCGGTATCAAAGGTGGCCTTCTTCGGTTTGGCGCCGCCACCGCCCGAGGCCGCCTGCTGAGCATTGCGGGCGGACTTGTCCTTGGGACGCCGTGAGATACCCTATAGTACAGCATCTGGGTTAGAAGAAGCTGAAGAGCGTGGGGAGCACATGCGCTGGCGGGCGAGGCGCGGGGATCCTACCATTCTGGGCGAGGGTGATAGTGAGGGGCGAAGGGGGAGGAGGGAGGCGTGTCGGGGTCGGTGCTGCTAGACGGCAATCATGCAACAATGGTGGGTTATGAGCGCATTCAACGACAGAAAGAGACGAAGCACGCAGAAGGTGAAGAATAAGAGAATCGGGTAGGATGCTCAAGATGGAAATGCAGGTTTGCTGGTGGGATTTGGAAGATACGGGCGTAAATCGGGTGCCTGGCCTGGCGAGACGAGACCAGACCCGACTTGGCTGGGTCAGTGACGAAAGACTGGCGCACCGCCGCAGGCGCCGACCTTTTCCCGCCACAGGGCACCGCCTCAATGCCACGCAAGTGGCGCAGTGTAATGCACAGCTTACGCAAGAGACAACTGGGCCAGCCCGACGTCATGAGCGACTGAAATTTTTGTTTACTTGTTTCAGTTTCTGCGCAACCAGAATCTCTGGATAATTAGAAGCCCATTTCTTCGATGATCAGTGAGTCCCATCAGCCACTATTAAGGCTGTGGCTGGGTAGAAGTGGCTGGAGCTGCTCAACCGAACTTATAAAGTCCCATCCTCACGCAAAACAAGCGGTCACTAGACTTTTCTAAATTTAACTTCGCGAGGCCGGCGGTTGATGTACGAAGTTCCGCTGGCGTTATTTGCAAAGTACCTGTTATAACTCACCTACTCAGTTTGCGTATGCTCCGCTAGTCGCATTAACTCATATAGGAATGCCGGCGACGCGCAGACATACACATCTGCTGACAGCATATATTGTACAACAGTGACATACCACTGTTTCTAAATTGCTCTTTATTATGCCGAATATCAACCCTTTCCCACCAACGATCTGCTCCTCCAAAGCCACAGCGCTATTCATTGTCACAGGTCGCTGGCGGTTTCGTTGCGGGGTAGCCCATCGTCCATTCTCATGCTGGAAGTGGGGTAACTGATTGTTAGTCGCCGAGCTGGAGTGGACGAGAGGTACCTCTGGTACCTGTGAGGCTCTCCGCCGAGTTACCTGCAGCAACCCTTGGCATCGTTTGTACCTTCTGTCTGGCATCCGCTGCACTTGATCAAATGGGGTCGCCTGCAGATGCAGCTCGTTGCCGGGCTGTCCAAAGCATTAAATACCATCAATGCCCCCGCGTCTTGTGCTGCCCATCTTGCTTCACCACTGCTGTATCCAATCTTCCGGTTTTTTTCAACGCTGTCCAACCTATCCGCCTTGATTTGCATCCTTGCAACACCTTGATACTGAGGTCCAGACACCTGGTACGGCTCGCTGTACTCTGGTGCTCCAAGTTGGAAGCGTCGAGTTAGACTACTGTAGCTCTCACCTCGATCCGGCGACCGCCCACTGTTGCGCGCAAGCTTGTGACTACAAAAGCGGACTTATTACAGCTTTCGTCACTACCGTTTGCCACTCAGATTTACAACCTTTTTGGCATTTCCTCAACTTCAAAAATGGCCGACAAGGAGCAGAACCAGAGCGCGGCCCAGCCTGTCGATGATGCGCCTATCTCGCCCATTGAACGAAAGAACTCGCTCGAGAACCATCTCCAGCACCGTCCCGATCGTGCCGCACTCGTCGACAGTACGTCGGCCCGCTTTCTAGCCAATCCTCAGTTGCTTGCCTCGTTTTCTCCTGTTCACTGCATCATCTTGTGTCACTGCGAAGAAAGCAAACAAACTAACCCGTCACTTGTCACTTTCCAGAAAACATCCTGCCGGCATCCAGCGCCGCGCCGGGCCTCCTCTCACAGCAGAAGGAAGTAAGTATAACATGACAGGACGAGTGGCTACAGCTCGTGGCGTGTATTTCCTGTCCGCATCATCGATGCACGCCGCCAGACGTTGTGTGCCCTACTATGCTGGCGTGTGGCGTTGCGGATGGAAGCTATGTCGTGGCAACGACCTGGGCGGGACAGCAAACAAGTTTACGAAGTGGTTACTGACGCCTCTTTGTAACACAGCTCCAGAAGCACATGCTTGAAGACAAGCTCAACGACAAGATTTCGCATCGCCCTGACCCGGAGACTTTAGTCAAGGATGGCGTCCTGCACGAGGACCCTCGCTCGGCGGAGGAGCGATACGAGGAGGCAATCGAGGACGAATATGCGAAGCGCGAGGGCGGTGCTTAGAGGATTGGTAACTTTCGGGAAATTCTCAGGCCCAGGTTGCTAGTTAAAGTTTGTGTGATGCTGCCATACGAGGCGGAGAGGTGTGGTTTCGGAATGAGACAGTCCACTTACACGCAATGGACGAAGAATAACAAATTGAAATAATAATGATAATGATATTAAACGAACAAATAACTTAACATGTGAGAGCGGCGAAAAAGGTAATTCTCCGAGTTGCACTGTTTGAGTCAATGCGCGCATATGTCATGCAGCCCTGCGTCTGCAGCAGCAACCGCATGCGACCACCGACAGTTCTATCCGTTGCTGACAATTGAGACAGACGGGAGCGCACGTTGCACGAACCGGTTGGCTGCGGCAGAAACCCTTTCTTTTATTTTCTTTTGGCCACTGCATTGTGTGAGAAAACCACACCATTTGAAGCCACCACGGTCCGCTTCCCATTCGTGTAGTCTTGCCTCATGGTGTAGAGACAAATTCCTGCCTCAGGGAGCAACAAGAGGGGTTCGTTGAGTGAGCCTGAAACGGTTCGAGGAACCTAACTCGATCTGTGAGATTTATTGTTTTTCTGTCTTATGCGCGCTGGCGAACGAATCGGAGCACTGGCAGCCCATCCTTGGACGGTGATGAGGGTGTGCACATGGCCGCTGACGCGGGAACGTTTGGGGGGTAACACACGAGTCACAAGGTTTGTGTTTCTTTCCGATTTGATGACAGGTCGCATATGCAGATTGAATCGGGGTCGTGCAACGCTGCTATAGGCTTTGCGGTAGTATGTCAAGGTGCATAGCGATTGGTTTGCCGACTGGTCTATTGCGTTGAACTAGGGCACAAGCTTGCATTCAGTCGCGCTCTCTGATGTATGGTACTGTATTCTTCCGTGTTTCGTAGTCTATACCACTGTATCCCCAGACTTTTGTAAAATAGCCAAAAAAAAATACAAGAAGCTATGTCGCCCCGTGACGCCACAAATGATGTAAAGATGTGTCAAGGTAGAGGTGTGTAAACTCGGCTGGCGTGACTCAAAGTCATTCAGTCGCTCCATTGAAAGGTGTAAAGTCCTTCGGCGTGTAGAAGGAGCAATCTCTTTCATCAGGCTTTGGTTGCATATTTTGATCGGTATTCGGGCGAGGGAGCCATCGCGCCATGATCGCTACCCAGGAGGTAACTATTGGTGATGGCCACACCCCCATTTGTGCTGGTATCTGGGCAATTAGTTAGCCCAATGATTCAAGTCAATGCGTAATTCTAGAGGTAGTTACTAGAGTTTGTAGAGCGGGTGCTGGCCGCGGAGTCTGGACGGGTAGCACCGTAGACGTAAGAAGGAGCAGGTGAGTCAGACATCTTTCTGTTGTAGGATTGGGTCGAACAAGTATATTGTTTAAGATGAACTGGAATAGAAGCAAGGATAATGGTAATGGAGCTTGAGAATGAGTTGAAGAGTGATGAGGATGATTGGAAAGCTTCATGATTTATGAGAGACGAGGAGGTATATAAGTAGCAAAGGAACTCTAAGAAGTGAAGGGGAGGGACAGGGATTAAGGGCCGGAGAAAGTAGTAAAAGGTATGACGAAAATGTGTAACCAAGAAGACACTGCCATAATGCTATGAGAGAATAGCTCGGGACTCAAACCCTGGAGGAAGAGCCCAGAATCCAGGCACCCCTCGGACCAAGACTGAATGGAGGGCCCAATGAGAACGATGGGATGTCCAAAAGCATCCAGAAATGCCTAACTGTGCCCCGTCTAGTGTATCAGGCCACACGATCACAAATTCGGTGACTAAGGCAATCAATGGGAGTAGCTACGAGATTCTACTGAGAGGAAGATGGGGGGGGGGGGGGGTCAACAAAGAAAGAGGAAATAAAATAAAATGAAATATTAATAAATAAATTCAACAATAGCAAGGAAAACAAAATCGATACCAAAATGCACCGTATCACAACACAAATGTCTGGGTGGGAAACGGGGCGCAATCGTGGTTAGTGGTGATTGTTGCCTTCCCAGGTGTCAAGATGACTCACGGTACCGGGGCAGAACCGCCCAAGGATGTTTCCGGGAGAGCACGAATTAACACAATGAGGCTGGGTTAAGTAGGCTTTCAACGAATGGGACGAGAAATTTGGGCCAAAAGTACACTTTTCCTATGAAATTGAAGGAGTGGAAAAACCACCTGGTAAAAGAGTCGAGCTCCAACGTGAATTGGGCGGGTAAGACATGACGACTTAGCATGGGAACAGGGGGGGTCCTCTCATCACAAGGTCGCTTGCCGCCTAAAAGTAGTGGGCCAGTGACGCCCCATGTCCCTTCTGCAAGGCTACGATGTTTGCCCAGGGGCGTCTCCGGTCGAAAGTTGATTAACACTAGTAGGAAAGGAGGATAGAGAGAGTGTTCGGGCGAAATCGTCGATACGAAAGCGTGGGGGCGTGGCCGAGAGAGAGAGAGAGAGGCACAGGTTAGTAACAGGCACAATTGTGAGAGGGGGAAGAGAAAAGGCAACAATGGCAGAATGGAGGAGAAGAGCGGAAAGACAACGAGGTCTGGAAAGACAAACGATAATTCCGGACCGACTCATTGTAGGACGAAAGACGGGAAGGAAGCTTTGACTTGGTCCTTCGCAGGTGACAGTTTCAACGGCTTTTGCATCGGGTACTGGACGCCATGCCGTTTTCTTAACTATGCTGCAACCAAGTTCGTCACTTTGCATGCTGAACAAGGGTCCCCTCGTAGCATGTGCCTTTGCACCAATTCGTCCGTACCTACATGCTTTGTTATGTCAGTGTATGCCTACCGAAGCGAACTTGGCGGTGTGGGCTTGATGCAAGCCAGCGGGCATCAATCAGGACGGAGGCCTTTTTTGTTATTTTTTTTCCTTATTTCATCATTTGTTTTGCACAGCCAGTGGCCGTTCCAGTATGCACGTCTTTCTTTAACACTTGTCAAAATTGTGGCTCATGCAATGCAGAAAAGAAACCCAGACCCAGGCGAGGAGGGAGGGGCGTGTGAGGCTGCAAGCTGCGCGAAAGCAGGCTGACCCTGGTCTGGCTCCATCACTGCGCCTGCCGCCTGTGACCTCCTGTACATACATATGTATGCTGTAGGCTTGGCGGCCCAGACAAGGTACGCCATGCCTGCCACTCACTGACCACTTACAGTACAGCATGCCCACACTTTTTCGACATCCTTTGTCCAACATGACCACGACTTGTCTCGTAACTACCGTTCGCCGTTGATTCATCCTGTCATTTTTCTTCCTCTTCCCAGCTTGCATCGCCGTAGCTTAGCATCACGGCTGCGGCGAGCCTCAATGCCTGAGCCACGCCGTCCGTCCACTTCTCTCCGTTTGTCGTCCCTACAACTTGACTACCTAACTAGGTACTGCTCCGTGGTAGCCTATCCGCCCCGAAGTTCAGGCAACCTGCACAAAATTCATCGCCGCCCCGCCGCCCTCCTACAGCGCTTACCTATCCCTACGCAAATCCTCAACGCTACACCCTTTCCCTTTTTATTTTCTGTTGTCCGTCGATGATTTTCGAGTACCTGCAGACTTAGCTTTTTTTTCTTTGTATCTTGCAACCCTACCTGAGACGCCAGGACGCACGCCGCCTGCCCCTCCCGGCCTCTCTCTTTCTCACTGCTCTTCCAGTCAAAAATGATGCAAGATCCCAGTCGTGCCTAACTCGATGCCAGGAGTGGTTGTGTCCGATTTCTGCACCTTTAGCGATTCATTGCGGCGGTATTGATGTAGACAGAAGCGTCAAGCATTTTACAGCAAAGTCGCCGACTGGATCAAAAGGCGCAGGTGGCAAAACCAAAGGCAACGAGCGCCAGCTTTCTGTGCCCTACCCCTCCCCGTCCTCACAATTCAGGAACGTGCAACTGAACGAACTACAAATTACATAGATTGCTTGGCTTTCTGGTCTCGTCTGCGTTACACTGCCTCCCGGGGAAAGGCTGTCATCCCGTCCATTCAAGCACTCTAAGGCTTGTTTCCATTTCTTTGCGCAGCACGGTGGCGGCACGACATATGCCAGCGAATTCATCCTCTGTCCCGACCGGACGCTTGCTTGCTTGCTTGCTTGCCCTCACCCTCCCCTCCTCCATCTAAGACAAAACTGCGGCGCAATGTTGACCTGCAGGACCTGCCCATTGGTGAGCGGGTGTAACTCGTGAATACGGTGTGTACGTATGTATGTAAGCCCAATGTCCCAAGCCTCACAGACTGAGCTACATGGTTCGAGAACCACGAGGAAAACAATACCGACAGTCTCGTTTGCAGAAAGACATTTGTTTCCCGAATTCCCTGCTGTGCCACACGACGAAAGTTGAAACTCCTCGTCTATCCCTCTTAATTTTGGTGGGCACTGGATTCTAGACTTGGTGTGAGGCGCAGTCTTCACGAGAAAGGCGCTGCACCGCCAACGCAGACGGCCTAGTATGAGAGTTTCCCAACGCCTCTGACGCAATACATTACAGTTGCCAGCTGAAAAAGAAACAGGAAACAGGAATTGATGAGAAAAAAAGTAGCCAAAGTACGGAGAGGGTAAGCCGCGATTTCACCCGGCCATACACCATACAAGAAGGCCAACAAGTTTTCCACGGCTCCGAATTGTTACCGAACTTGGCCTGTCCCCGAATTACCCTGCACAGCCATCCGATTTCAAAACCTGCCCCTCTTTGCTGCTCACCACCCAGGACACCGGTCCTGAGATCAGGGCTAAACTCTCCGACATTGTGCAAGGCCGTGGCAGTGTCCCTCCCGTCTTGGCCGCGATACATCCTAGCTATCATAACGTGCTGATTTGGTTGATTGGGGGGACTTGTGCTTTGCGATCGGCTCCAAGGAATGACCACAAGACAGGAGGGAAAACTAAAAGGCGCGAGCAGCTTCTTCAAATAAATCCACCACAATCTTTTAATTACACATCTTTCGCCGCCTTGCACAGCGTTGCAGCGCTACGGATACTTTCAGCTAATCTATTCTGTACGGGGGGCCACCTCGCCATAGCGGGGGTGGGTTGGGGCAATGTGGCCTATCTCGATTCCATCTTGTACCTCGCATCTCCATCTGCTCTCCTCCATAACCCCCCCAACCCCAACAACGCAAACTCGCCATGAAGACCGCTGCCGTCCTTTCCGCCCTCGTGGCCCTCGCCGCCGCCGCCGCCGAGCTCAAGATTGAAGTCACCCACAAGGTCGACTGCGACCGCAAGACCAAGAAGGGCGACAAGGTCTCGATGCACTACCGCGGCACCCTCGCCGCCGACGGCTCGCAGTTTGACGCCAGTGCGTCCCCCCCCCCCTTCCCTCCTCTTCCCCTCCCTTCAATGGGCGATGAATAAACCCTGCTAATCGCGGTTCGTTTCTTGTGCAGGTTATGACCGTGGTACCCCGCTCGACTTCAAGGTCGGCGCCGGCCAGGTCATCAAGGGGCAAGTCGAATGCTAATCAACCCTCGGCCGGTTGTTTGCCTGTTCAGCGCCTTGAAAACTAACCATTCGATTTTCTATAATTTAGCTGGGATCAGGGTCTGCTGGACATGTGCATTGGCGAAAAGAGGTGCGTCGGTGATGTTTCCTTGGTCCTCCGAAACGATGCCTCGAATAGTGCTGACCGCTCTCTTCCAGAACTCTCACCATCCCGCCCGAGTACGGCTACGGCGACCGCGGCGTCGGCCCCATCCCCGGCGGCGCCACCCTCAGTACGTCGAAATCCCACCTCGATCGATGCTTTGTGTCTCTCGCGCCCGATTCGCTCGACCTTGCTAACACCACCACCCTCTAGTCTTTGAGACCGAACTCGTTGGCATTGCCGGCGTAGAGGCCCCCAAGCCGGCCCCCGCCGCCGACGACGCCGCGCCCGAGGGCAAGGACGACGACAAGGCCGCCAAGGTAAATCCCATCGAAGTCATCCGCCGTATACTCTGTGGGCGCAGTCCGCTAACGTGAGCGCTTCTCTCCCCTTGCGCTGCCCCCCTCGCTTAGAAGGAGGAGCTGTAAAATATTCCATGCAATTACACAGCGACGCGATGATGATTTTTACTTCTGCCATGGTCAGATAGTCATAGTCCCATAGACGGTGGGAAAGTACAAAGTTCTTCTGGGCACGTCCATAGATGAAAATGCGGTGACAATTTGCTGCACATCTAGGTCGTGAATACGGCTGAAAATAACCTAGAATTTATATACACAAATATGATGTTCTTCGGTCAGTTTGTATCTATCCAAAACATAGCTTCTTTTGACGCGGATCGCTATTGCTGGCCTTGCTGCTGCTGGCCCTCTTCCTTTCTGGCGGCCCTTGCGGTCGCTTGGATGGGCCACCGCCGGCTGCGTAGTCGCTCCCAGAGCCGTTGCCGCTACCGCCGCCATCTGCCTGCACTGCTTCGCGAATCGTCTGCCTCGAGAGACACAAATCGATGTGCTCATTGAACTGCCGCTCATCCGCTGCCTGCGGCCGCATGCATATCGGGCAGTCCCACCACTCCTCCGGCTGCGCCGGCTGCTGCTTCTTCGGATTTGGCACAATTTCCTTGCCATGCCTCCGCTGCGCGGCATGGTCGCGGCCCTCGTCGTCGTCCCCTTCACCGTCGACACGGGACACATCCTCCTCTTCAGAGCAATTCTCAAATCCAGGTTCGACCGCCGCCTCGTCCGAGAGAGACGCCTCCTCGTCGCCGGGGCGCTTCGCCTTGAAGCCGAAGAAAGCCATCGTGTCTGGCTTCTTGGTGCTCACGAGGTGGGTGCACCGCAGACCCATCAGCCGCAGCCGCATCCTCGGCATCTCCTGCTCCAGCTTGGCCAGCATGGGCAACGACAGGTTGTACAGGTCGTCGGCGAGGCAGACGGCGCGCGGGGTTACCACCTGCCGGGTGTACACCTCAAAGGTGTGCAGCTTGACCTTGAGGCAGAGCGTGCGCCCCTTGCACCCGGCCCGCCTCATGTCGCCTTCTAATTCCTCGGCGGTGGCTCGGAGCTTCTCGCGGAGCATGGCCGGGTCCGCCATCTCGCGAAAGGTGCTCTCGGTGCCGACGCTCTTGCGCTCGTACTCCTCCGCCGGCCGGATCCTCGTGCGTCCCAGGCCGAGGTAGCACCCCACGAGGAACTCGAACGTCTTGGTGCCGAACAGGCGGTGGAGGTACTGCCGGTGCTCGAAGATGTCGCCACAGGTCTTGATGCCGACCTCAAGGAGCTCGCGCTCGAGCACGCGGCCAATGCCGGGCACCTTGCGCGTGGGCAAACCGCGCATGAACGTCACGATCTCCCCCCTCTCGCGGGGCAGGACGTACTGTCCGTTGGGCTTGTTAAGGTTGGAGCAGATCTTGGCCAGCCGCGAGTTGGCCGCGATGCCCGCGGACACGGTGATGCCCGTCTTCTCGTGCACCTCCCGCCGCAGCCGCTCCACGACCTCGGCCGGACCCATGTCGTGCGCGGCGCAGTACTCGGTGATGTTGAGGTACGCCTCGTCGAGGCTGGCGCTCTCGAAGCGCGCATCATAGTCAGCCAGCACCTCGCGCACCTCCCTGCCCTTGGTCGTGTACTTGGTAAAGTCGGGCTTGACAAGGACAAGCTGCGGGCAGAGCTTCTTGGCGACGAAGCCGGCCATGCCGGACCGGCAGCCGAAGCGGCGCGCGAGGTAGTTGCACGTGGTGAGCACACCGCCGCCCACGGCGAAGGGTAGGTCCTTGAGCTCGGGCCGGTCTAGCTGCTCGACGGCGGCGTAGAAGGCGTCGCAGTCGATGTGGATGATGTGTTGCGTCAGGTCACGCGACGCCTCGAGCTCGGCGATGAGGCGGTCGGCGCTCAGGCGTTCGTGGGAGAGGTCGAGCTTGTCCAGTTCCTTTTTGCGACGCAGGATGCCCTCAATCTTTTGGGTCAGGACCTTGTCGCGTTCTTCCTCGCGGTTGAAGAATTTGGAGCCTTTGGAGGCATTGTAGATGATTTCCGATACCTGATGACTGTGTGAGAATGGCGATTGATGGTTTGGTGGGCGGGACTTGGCGGTACCTTAGTCTGATCGACGGAATCTTGTCCCGCTTTGGTTAGAGATGGGCCAAGGAGAGAATATTTCAGCGTCTTGAATTTATCGTCGTCCTGATTCACGCCGAGAGCGTCCGCCACTTTTGCGTCGTCCACCTGGCCGGCCTCGTTCAAAATGTCATCAACCACATCGTCTCGAGGCAGGTCACCCGGAGAGCTCATTTCGCGTAGAACTGTTGGTAGCCGGCGCACAAAGCGTCTCTGAAGTCGCAATGCATTTTTATCGCGCCGGTTGCCGAATGTCGAGGCTACGACACGTTAGAGCGTGGATGAAGCCTGGGCTGAGATAACAGGGATCCACGATAAGCACGCGCTATCACGTGGACTGGTGTCGTAGTGGGGAAACCATCTAGCAGGCTGCCGTGCCGAGACCCTGATTAATGTCCGGCTCCTCTTCCTCCGCTCCGTAGGCTTCATTAACATGGGTCGTGTGCCGCGTTGGCCGCGATCACATAGACCTCCGTCTCTAGGATATCCAGATAGTTGACAGTGGGATGGCATTGCACCCCGGTCCGTCGCACAGTCCAGTCACCTCGGCCTCCCCTCCCCATCCACACTTGGCGCAAAACAGCACTTCTCTCTCATTGGACCAAACGACCCCTCCAGGATGCACTTAAGCGCCCAGGTCGACGCCAGTGCGGGCGGGACGCTGCGACCCTGTCGTACGTATATAAGCTGATTGCCAGCCAAGAATCGGAACTGTGTGATTGCTTCTGGCGGTAACACAACCGACCTTGACACTTGGCAACTACGTGACCTGCGCTTCTGCGTGTCCATACTCGGCCAGATAGGTATCTTCTGGTGTCACTACAATCTGGCCATCTACTCTAATCGGGCGGGCTGCGTGCTTTTCAAGAGATTAGAAAGAGGCACCCGACGCTGCCGCAAACATGGCTGCCAGAGATGGGGAAGAAATCGTGGCCACTCTGTACGTTGCCTTTCGTTGTAGCTTGATGACGCGACCATCTCTGACCAGTATGCCCTAGCTTTGGCGACATTCACTACTTTTACGATGGTGAAGATGTCACGCCACGGCATCATCGGTTCGACAAAGGCTCGTACGTGTATTTATTCGAAAATGCCCATGAGCGCCGCTGTCGCATCGAGATTGCGAACCATGCCGGCACCGAGGACCAGGATGCCTTTGACGGATGTGAGTAGGCGGGCGGGCTTCTAATGATGGAAATGCTGCAAATACGGTTGCTAACCTGGAGCCACAAACACGCAGTCTTGGACCAAACTCATGTGCGATATTCCTACAAGCAGAACTGCATGGTTTCCTTGACTGTGGCGCAAAACGTCCCCCAGGACGAATGGCACCTCCCCACCTACGACCCGCGCAACGAGAACAAATACCACTATAAGCTTCACTCGCTCGACATTTACTTTTGGACAGATGGGGATGCGCTGCAGTTCATTAGTGGCGTCCGGCGAGTCCTTCCGCCTGCCCAAGTCGAGGTTCTCGATGAGTCGGTCGTCGTCCAACCCGGTGCTATGAGCGCCGTCGTCCAGAACCTGGAACAGGTCGCCATTTCCGATCCGCAGTACGCCGAGCGCCAGAGCTCGGCCAGGTCGACGTCGACGCAGCAGAACAGCATTCCGGTTCCGTCCAGCGCAAGCACGGCGCTGTCTATGGATAATTTGCCGCCTCCACCGCCGATGCCGCAGTACATGCAACAGCAGCAACAGCAGCAGCAACAGCAGAAAGCAGCAACTAACTTTGCTCCGATGGCGTACAATCCGGCGGCACCGGTTGCTCCAGAGACGGTCGTGCATCGCGAAAAGACGCCGCCGCCCGACGAAGACCCGCTCAACCCCCTCGCTGTCGCCGTCGCTCACGACTACCAGGGACAACCCTTCACGCCCGCATTCCCCCACACCCAGTTTCCTGCCGGGGTTGCGAGCCCGGGATTCGCCCCCAGCGGCATGGCCAGCCCGCGCATGGCGCCGCCATCCTTCGGAGGTCCGCCCGCGCAGCCCGGCATCCACCGCGCGCAGACGATGCCGGTGCATGCTGGCCTGGCCTCACCCGGACTGAATAGCGGATTCCCTGGCGCCAGCGTGCCTGGACCGCCCAGCTTCGCACCGCCTCCCACTGCCGCACAGTCGCCGCCGGCCGCACCGGCATCGGCACCGGCACCGGCACCAGTCCAGCCGCCGCCGCCCGTGGCCAGCGCCGTAGCCTCGCCACCACCACTGGGCGGCTACTCCAACTATAACTACAGCAACCCAACACCGGCGCAAAACGGGGGGCTGGACTATTCCATCCATCAGCAGGTGTATCGGCCGACCGAGGTGGAGATGAGTGCTAAGCTGCAGCCGTACCAGCCGAAGCAGGAGACGAAGAGCAAATTGGAGCAGAAGGCGGGGAAGCTGGAGAATGGTGTGACTGGGATGCTCAAGAGGTTTGAGAAGAAATTTGGATAATTTCTGGATGGGTGGGTGAACGATCTCTGGTTCTTGCCCATGCAGCTGCAGTTCCTTGGTGAGGGTGGCTAAATCTTTATCCCCCCGATAGAGTGGACTGATTGGATACTGCGGGCATTGAACAAGGAACCTTTAATAACAACGAGGGACAAGGAAGTTGATTTTCTGATACTTGGAAAAAATATTGTCAAAAATTTATCATTTCAAGTTTTTTTTTGTTTCAAGAAAATGCCGCGACAAATCCTACTCATCAACGGTCCCAACCTCAACCTCCTGGGCACCCGCGAGAAGCACATCTACGGTGCCACTACACTCGACGATGTCGTCTCGCAGGCGCAGTCGCAAGCCAAGGCGCTCGACGCGCACGTTGAAGCCTTCCAGTCCAACCACGAGGGCGCCATCGTGGACCGGATCCACGCAGCGCGGGGCGTGGCCGACGTCGTCGTCATCAACCCGGGCGCCTACACACACACCAGCGTCGCCATCCGCGACGCGCTGCTGGGCGTCGAGCTGCCGTTCGTGGAGGTGCACGTGTCCAACGTGCACGCGCGGGAGGAGTTTCGGAGGACGAGCTACCTGAGCGACAAGGCCGAGGCAGTGGTCTGCGGGCTGGGTGTGTTTGGGTACGCGGCGGCGATTGAGTTTGCGGCCAAGCATGTCAAGCTGAAGAGCGACAAGGCGCATTTGTAAATTAGGTAGAATAAGGTGGTCAAATTTGTTACAGAGGATGTGGAAAAGCTAAATCATAATGTGTTGTCGTAAATGCGTTCATTAGAGTACAGCGCGTTCCTTGCCAGAGGGCTGCGCGAGTTGCGACCGCGACGTCGGCGTCGGTTCCAGAGACAGGTCGTGGACGAGCCTCGCCCAGGACCACGAGGCCCGGGCGGCCGACTCCTCCGGCACCGCGGCGTCCTCCTCCGTCAGCCGCCGGTGGAACACCTCGAAGCTCACCCACCCGCGGTACCCCAGCCCATGCAGCACCGTCTGCAGGATCCTCCTGACCGGCAGGTACCCCCGGCGACGGTCCTCGCCGTAGAACAGGCGGCAGTTGCGCGACCAGCTCATCCTCGCTGGCTGCGCCGCGTCGTAGAAGGGGTGGCGCTCGTCCACCAGCGGCCGCTCCAGCCGCTCCGCGTCGGCCACCTGCACCAGAAACACCTTCGAGGCGTCCACGCGCGCGGCGAGCCGCTGCAGGGAGCGCTCGAGGTCCGCGTCGCAGCCCGGTCGGCGGCCGCCCGGCGCGGCGGGCTCGGCGAAGACGTGGCCGGCAATGTTGAAGGTGTCGAGGCAGAGGCCAAAGTTGGGCCGGTCGACGGCGGCGACGACGTCCCAGCTGGCCTCCCAGCTGTTGACCTGGGCGCCCCAGCACAGCGCCTCGAACGCGAAGCGGATCGGGGCCGGCGTGGTTCGCAAGCCAATGTCCGCGGCATCTTGGAAGTCCTTGACGAGGACGGCCCGGTCGTTGGTGAGCTGGGTGGCGGGGAGGAAGGAACTCGGGAAGAGGATGAGGTCGGTGCCGAGCGTCCGCGCCAGCTCGCACCAGAGCGCGACGGTGGCGAGGTCTCGTTTCTGCTTCTCGCGGTCGAGCAGCGCACCGAAATGCATGAACGGCTGCAGGCAGATGATCTCTAGCTTCCGGGCATCGCACCACCGTCGCACCTGGCTCGCGGCGCCGACGAGGTTGGCCGCTGTGTCTTGTCCGGGCATGGCCTTGGCGACGTGTTCCAGATCCTCGTAGAAAAGCTCGATGCCCCGGAAGCCGTACTTTTGGGCCATGTCCAGTTTGTGCTCCAGGGAGTGCCCTGCGAATGCTCGCCCGAGGGACATTGTGCATATACTTGGTTTGCAAGTCATGTTGGCAGAGTATTGATCTTGGTTGTTCTTGTAAGCTGTAGCTCTGAAGAAGAAGATGGACGGATATACCAGTTTCCAGTGCAGTGTAGGCCATTTAATATAAAGTACTGAATATCTGACATCATGCAATGGCGTATTAGTAAGATGACTTCCGAAACGTCGAGACGCTAGATGACGGCTCAAGGACGTCGAGTCGACAGCGGGGATTCTTGCTGTTCCGCCCGGCGTCACGGCGGTTTGAGTCGGCACGGCTTCATTAGCTTTCCCCACGGGGATAAAGATTAGTTTATTGACGTCGGTAAATATCTCCACGATACGGGTAAACAGTTAGTTGGGGATTTGGGGATGTTGAAGGCCAAGAATGCGAGCCCGGGTAAGACGGGGTAAGCGTTTATCCAGGCCGCAGATCGCGGAACTCCGGAACTCCACTGCTATTCCCCATGGGTATTCTTTTCGCTAACGAGTTCAATAGCCGGTTGGTTTGTATCCCAACTAAATTGGTGACGCCACTGGTCCTTTTGGGGCTGTGAGCTCGTCTTTCGTGGCCCCAGAGTCCCATACAATAGACGAAGCTTCCCAAAGAGCTATATGAAGCTCATTTAATACACATTTCTATATTTCAAGACACGATAATTCTACTTCAATATGGCTATCGCACAAGAGAGGGAAATAGACGGGGAGACAAAGCTGCTGGACCGTCATGGCTACCTCTTTGGCCAACACATTCAGCACTCATGGTCGCCCTTTCTTCACCGTATCATCTATGAGGATCTCGGATTGAACTGGGCGCAGCTTCGACTCGACTCGGCCGACCTGCGCCAGTTTCTGCAACTTGCGCAACACCCCAACTTCTATGGTGCGTCTACCTCGCCCTGGCCTGCGCCTCCTCCAGCTCCTCAGCCAACTAACATTCACGCCCAGGTGCGTCCGTCACCATGCCCAACAAGGTGGCCATCCTGCCGCACCTGGACGAGATGACGGACGAGTGCCGCGACGTCGGCGCCTGCAACACCGTCTTCCTCCGCGCCGGCCCCTCCGGCCGACGGCTCCTGTGCGGCACCAACACGGACGTTGTCGGCATCCGCGACTCCTTCTACCACGCCGTGGCCTCGCCCGACGCCGTCTTCCACGACCGGCCCGCGCTCGTCGTCGGCGGCGGCGGCGGCGCCCGCAGCGCCGTCTACGCCCTCCGCAAGTGGATGCGCGCCACCACCATCTACCTGGTCAACCGCGACGCTGGCGAGGTCGCCGCGGTGATGCGCGACTGCGCTGCGCGCGGCTACGGCGACCGCCTGCGGCACGTCCGGACGGTCGCGGAGGCAGAGGGGCTGGAGCCGCCGGGTGCGGTGGTGGCGTGCGTGCCGGACCTGGAGCCGCGCACGGAGGAGGAGCGCACGGCGCGGGGGGTGGCGGACGCGCTGATGACGGGGAGGAGGAGGGGCGTGGTGCTGGACATGTGCTACAACCCGACGCCCTTTACGAGGCTGGTGGCGTTTGCGGAGGATCACGGCTGGCAGGTGATTCTCGGCACCGAGGCGATGATATTGCAGGGGCTGGAGCAGGATAAGTACTGGACGGGGAAGGGCGTCGCGGAGCTGCCGGTGGCAAAGGTGCGCGAGGCGATTGCGGACCGGGTTGCGAAGCGTCTGGAGGCAAAGTTGTAGATGAAGAGATGCAAATAGGAAGCGTCTGGAGTGAAAGCTATAGAGATGCATGTACATGTTCCGCTGCTGATCACCTGGACTTGAATCATACGATCAACAACAGCATCAGCTGGCCCAAACTGTGATTAGAGTGTCGATGGGTTTTGTCGAACATGATGAAAAGCATACTGATGAGCCAAATATTTTTATGCAATTAGCGCAACTGCTTTATCCTGTCACTTGCCTATATGCATCATGGCAAAGTCGACCTTGTTGCACTGTTCCAAGAGGCAAAGAACTACTGTCATCACGTTGACTGACCGAGGAACGAGAGAGAAAATCTTCAAATATTCAAATCATTATGAGCTTCTCATAAACTAGCTATCTAGACTGGACCGCGGCCGCCAAACCACAGCTACTCAACTTCTTCGCTGTGACCCTTTTCAGGCCTGCCGCTACTATCGCCCGTCGACTCAATCTCTTGCTGATGAAGCTCCTCCATGATCAAGCCGTGCGCGCGCCACACTGGCTTCTTGCGGAACAGCCTATCCATGGCCTCGAGCGGCACCGACTTGGTCTCGGGGATGCAGAAGAAGACAAAGACGCATGAGACGATCATGAGCGAGGCGAAGAAGAAGTAGACGCCGTAGCCCCAGGCGTTGAACATTTGCTCGGTGAAGCGGGCGATCATGAAGTTCCACAGCCAGTTGTTAGCCGCGGCGTTGGCCTGGCCGAGCGAGCGCGTGGTCTGGTCGAACATCTCGGAGCAGAGCACCCAGGGGGTGCCGTTCCACGAGGGCGTGTAGAAGGCAGTCCAGAGGTAGAAGAAGAAGATGGCCGCGATTCCGCCGGGGGAGAGGCTGCCGGAGGTGGAGGAGGAGTGAGAGCCGGAGATTTTGATGTAGCCGCCGATGAAGAACATGCAGAGGGAGCCGCCGATGCTGCCGACCATGAGGAGCATGCGGCGACCGAGTCGGTCGATGAGGAAGAGGAGCCATATGACGGTGAGAACAGTCTTGACCACGCCAAAGATGCCGGTGGTGAGGAAGCCGGTGTTGGTACCGGTGATGCCGAGGCTCTTGAAGACGGTAGGACTATAGTAGTTGATGGCGTTGATGCCAGAGGCTGGTCATGTACTGTCAGTAGGTGCACTCATTTGTAGGGGTGATGATGCTCAATTGTCACTTACCATTCTGGAAAATGAAGAGCAGCGAGCTGATGGCGAACCTCCACTGGATTCTCCTCTCCTTCAAGGCCCTGAATGGTCGCCAGAAGCCTTGGCCAACCTCGGTGTTGAAGCGCTCAAGCTCCTCGTCGATGAAACCAATCTCCTCCCGAATATATCTGTCGGTAGGCTCCAGGTTCCTCATCCAGCACAAGCCCTTGATGGCTTCGTCGCGGCGGCCCTTGGAGAACAGCCAGCGCGGCGACTCCGGGATGAACACGGTGCCGATGAGGAGCAGGCCGGAGGGGATGAGCTGCACCGCAAACGGGATGAGCCACTGAGAGTGGCTCGGCGCCATCGTCCTGTTGACCCCGTAATTGATCCAAAACCCGACCAGCCCACCAATCTGCCATCCGAGCTCGTAGATTCCCACCAGCCGTCCGCGGACCGCCGGCGGCGCCAGCTCCGAGATGTAGATGGGCGTCATGTTGGAGCACCCGCCGACGCCGATGCCCGCGAGCACGCGGCCCGCAAGGATCAGGCCGAGCCCCCGCTGGCCGTTGGCGCCGAGCATGAGCCCCGCGCCGAGGGTGAAGATGAGGGCGAAGAGGAAGAGGGTCTTGCGGCGACCGAGGGCGTAGCTGGCGTAGTAGGCGCCGAGGCTGCCGAAGAAGGCGCCGGCCTGGTAGACGGAGACGATGTTCTGCTTGAGGAGGGCGAGGCGCGAGGGGGAGTACTCGGCGAAGCGGAACTCGGAGACGAAGGAGGGCAGGGCGAGGGTGGTGCCGATGAAGGCCGAGTCGTAGCCGATCATGCAGGCGGCGAAGGAGGCGGTGGCGGCGCAGACATAGACGCGCCAGTTGTAGACGGCCTTGGGCGTGGGCCGGTCTTCTTTGAGGGCGAGGATTGTCATGATGGGCGAGGGGGAAGGGAGGAGGATGAGGATGAGGTGAAGATGAGGAGGGGGATGAGACGGAGGACGAGGAGAACGAAGACGACAAGAAGGACAAGGAGGAGGAGGAGGAGGAGGAGGAGGAAGAAGAAGAAGGTATCGACAGGTTACCGCGACCGTGACGGTTGGATGGACATACAGTCCCTGGCTCTCGAGAGATATATACTCGCTGCTGAAATCATGGCTTGTTCAACGGCAAGCAGGCAAATAAACGGTGGCGTTGTTGGACTCTGAGAAACTTACCCCAGTCGATCCCTCTCCGGTCCGGGGTAAAGATGAGTTCCCCAAACATCCCAAGTTTGTGGCTTTCACTAAATTTTCGGTAGTGCAGTGACAGGTGGCTTGGCCAACATTCCGGGTAAAGACTTTACCGGAGTTGCCGTGGCCTATCGAGACGAGTTGGTTTGTAACTGACATGTCAGCTGAACTCCATTCTGTTCCGATTCCGGGCCTTGGAAATGCAAAAGCCATTTGTCTTGAACAACGGGAAACCATTCATCCTGACTGGGCTCAATTGTGATTTTACCCCCGCAAACCGGGGTTGCAATGAATGAGTGCTGGGGGAGAGCCTACAGGGTAGGTGGGCAGAGTGCTGAACCAAGGCAATAGGCGGCGGGGGGCACTTGGCCAGCGCGCCACGGTCCACGCCGCTGCCGCCGCCGAGGTCGCTCTCCGTCAGTAGGATGAGCCGCGCGGCGCGGCCGACCATCAGCCACGCCGCGATGCCGTTGCCCCGGCCCATCAGGATCAGCGCGTGCAGCAGCATCGTGCAGGCCATCGGGCGCTCCAGGTTCGCGTCGTCGTTGGGGATCAGACCCTTGGCAAACTCGTAGAGTTGCTGCGGGCTGGTGCCGCGCCCGACGGAAGAGTCCTCGCGCCGGGTATGCACATCCTGGAAGGAGGCCATGGCCAGGACGACCCAGAGCTGGGCGTGGCAGGCCGTGGCGTACGGGTCGCTGCTGGAGGTTATCTGCAGGCCGTCGGCGGTGTAGAGCATGGCGGCAAAGTAGATCTCTTCCTGTTGCACGATGGGCAGCCAGCAGTGGGTGTAGGTGAAGTAGATGTCGACCAGACGCCGCCAGGAAGGTGGAAGCTTGGGATACGTGATTCTTTGTGCTGTTGGTATTTGTGTCAGGGTCGTGACCTGAGACAGTCTAGCTTCCGGCTTGGCAAAGGGCGACGATGTGGACGCCATCCCTCCCCCGACGCTGCCCGGGCCGTGCTCCGTGCTTCCGGGGGAGACCTCGGAGTGGTCGTCGTCGTCGGTCGTCGTCATGTCGGCCCTGGCCGGCCGGTCCTCGGACAGTATCCTATCAATGTCACCGTATATCCGGCTGCCGACCCATTTCTTGTACAGCCGGTCGCTCGTCTTCCCCTTGGCGACGAAGAGCTGGTCGGCCACGCCGCCACCGTCGTCGACGAACAGCCGGTGCAGCGCCTCCTCGTCCGCGGGCGCGCGGGCCAGCAGCCAGGCCAGGGAGAGCTCGACGGCGCGCAGGTAGCCCGTCTTGATGCCGCGCTTGCGCAGCGCCGGCGTGTAGGAGCAGCCGCGGCCCACAGCCGTGCAGGTGCCGCACTGCGGCCGCGCGCCGTCGCAGCGCTCCCGGGCCATGCGGCAGGCGTCGCACGCGAGGGAGACGCGTTGGCGCTTCGGCGGGTGCGACGAGGAGGAGGCGGCGGCGGAGGAGGAAGAGGGCTTCGCGACCTTCATGTCCTCCTCCGGTGCGGGACCGCGCGCGCGCCGGGGCATTCTCCGGCGGTGGTGGAGGCTGTTGGCATGTGGCCGGCCCGATCGGGGTTTGCGTGCGATCAAGTTAGAATGAGAGCAGGATTCCACGCGATAGTCAAGTAAAAAAAAAAGAGAATAGGTATATTCAATCGCCAATTGGCAATAGTGAATTGAGTATGATGAGCGATAAATTTCTCCCTGTTTTAGAAAGTTGAGCGAATGAAGGGTTGAAGATTGAAGATTCGTCATGTTACACAAACGGTAAGCGACGTGGGGAAATCGTGGGGTAGTTATGCGGGGAAAACCATCCCGGGTAAACGCTTATCCAACTTCTCCAACCGCCCTTCTCCGCACGTCTGTCTGCCTGAGGGCCTGTTTCATGCACTCAAGAAACTGTTTCTGCCCTCATGACTCTTGAAGAAACGCCAGAGTGTGCTTCCAGCTGAACACCATTTCAAAACGACTTCAAAACGACCAAAAGCCATGAGCTAGGACTGTCCGACCAACATGACCATGGCTGGTGTCAAACGGCCATTTCCCTCATTAACAGAAAACGAAGTCGTGGGAGGAAATCACCAACAGAAACAAAAGCAGCAGCAGCAGCAGCAGCAGCCCAGCTACAGCTTGGCACGCCACCACCAGCACCAGAGCCCTGCCACGACACCCAACCGCGTCGCATCGCCGGACCACGCACCGTCGCCGTTTTCCAAGTCGCCTGCTTCGGTGCCCGAGTTCCGGCGCGATGCCACCCTCGTGCTCGTCGGCGTGCGCGGCAGCGGCAAGTCGACCCTCGCCGTGATCGCCTCAACCGCGTTGCGTCGCACCGTCCTCGACCTTGAAACCGCCTTCCAGCGCGCCCACCAGGGCCTGACCACCGCCGCCTACCGGCAGCGGCACGGCGCCGAGGACTGCCAGGCGCGGCAGGCGCGTGTCCTGGCCGAAGCCCTGGCCGAGCACCCGACCGGCCGCATCCTCGTCTGCTCGTGGATGAGCCGGCAGGTGCGGGCGCTGCTGCGCGAGTTCGCCGCCGCCGCGCACCCGGTGGTCCACGTGGTGCGGGACGCGGCGCCGATCCGGGCGCACCTGAAGCTCGAGGAGGACGGCAAGGTGGAGAGCCTGATGGCGGTGGCGGTGGTGTTCTTCCGCACGTGCGCAAACCTCGAGTTCTTCAACGTCACGGAGCAGCGCTCGCCGCCCCAGGCGGACGAGGCGGCGGCGGCGGACGATGTGTTCGTCCCGTCGCTGGCGCTGAAGCATGCGGAGAAGCACTTTACCAAGTTCCTGTCGCTGCTGTATCCGGTCGGCACCATACCATTCGTCGACTCGGCGTTCCCGCTTGCGTCGACTCCGCTGGAGGAGCGCCAGTACACATACGTCATACCACTGCCCATAGCCCAGATCATCACCGGAACGCTGGACATTGACGACGCTGTGTGCGGCGCCGATGCCGTCCAGGTCACCGTCGACGTTGGCGACGGCGATGACTTGAGCAATGCGAATACGACGCTCGCGGCCGACATCACAAAGGCCGTGGGGATCGTGAGGAGAGCCGCCGTGCTGCCCATCATCTGCCATTTGCGAGTCAAGGAAGCTGCTGAGCCGGCCGTTTGGGAGCTATACAAGCAGTTGATTGCTCATACCTTTAAGCTGGCACCGGAGATGGTCACGATAGACTTGCGTCTGGAAAGCGATGAGATACGAACCTTGATGAAAGGACGACGACGCTCCAAGGTCATCGGCTGTCGGGAGATGCCCGTGTCTTCCGAGGCCTGGGATGGATATCACTGGAAGGCCTTGTATGGGAAAGCTGTCGACATTGGTTGTGATAGCGCTCGATTTACTCGCCCTGCGTCGTCACTACGAGATAATGTCGACGTGGCCCAGTTCCGGACGACACTCGCCACGCTGCCCGGCCGCGGTATTCCAGTTTCCGCCTACAATTCGGGCTCTCTCGGCCGGACCTCGGCGTGCTTCAACCCTCTCCTCACCGTCGTCTCCTCACCCGCCAGCATTCCCTCTTCGCCGTCTTCTTCTGCCGCCCTCCACCCGACAACCATCACGCCCATGCAGGCCACCAACGCCCTCTTCGCCGCCTTCGTCTACGAGCCCATGAAGCTGTACGTGCTCGGCGCCAACGTCGACTACAGCATGTCGCCCATCATGCACAGCTCCGCCCTGCGCGGCTACGGCATGCCGCACACCTACCGACCGCACTCGAGCCCCTCCCTCCGCGCCATCCAGCACCTCATCCGCGACCCCTGCTTCGGCGGCGCCTCCGTCGGCCTGCCCTTCAAGGTCGAGGCGCTCTCCCTCACCGACGCGCTCAGCCGCCACGCGCGCGCCATCGGCGCCGTCAACACGCTCATCCCGATCCGCCGCCTCGACGCCGACGGTTCCGTGCTGACGGACGCGGCGACCCTCCTGGCCAGCGGCAGCGTGAACCGCTCGGGGCCGGTGCGCGCCTTTTACGGCGAGAACACGGACTGGGTCGGCATCAAGGCGTGCATCCAGAGCGGGCTGTCGCCGGCCAACGCGGTGCGCGCGACGACGTGCGGCGTGGTCATCGGCGCGGGCGGCATGGCAAGGGCGGCCGTCTACGCGATGCTGCAGATCGGCGTGCGCAACGTCGTCATCTACAACCGCACGCCCGCCAACGCCGCCAAGATTGTCGCGCACTTCCAGGCCCTGCTCGACGACGACCACGAAGACCGCCTGCTCATCGACGGGAGCGGGCCGCCGGTGCGCTTCCACATCCTGGAGACGCGCGACGACCCCTGGCCGGAGGGCTTCCGCGCGCCGACCATCCTGGTGTCGTGCATCCCGACGCACCCGATCGGCGACGAGCCGGCCGCCCAGTTCACCGCGCCGGAAGCGTGGCTGGCCAGCCCGACGGGCGGGGTCGTCTTCGAGCTCGGGTACAAGACGCTGGACACGCCGCTGCTGCGGCAGGCGCGCGCGGCGGCGTCCCGCGGATGGGTGGCGATGGACGGCATCGACCTGCTCCCGGAGCAGGGGTTCGCGCAGTTTGAGCTGTTCACGGGGCGCCGCGCGCCGAGGGGCCTGATGCGGCGCGCGCTGTTCCAGCACTACAGGGACGAAAGTGGGAGCTCGGTGATACCGGGACTGCAGCGGAGGATGCAGATGATGGCGAGGTAGTCTCTGTTTATACGCTGATTAGAAGAATTTAACAAAGATACTTTTTCTTTCAAAAAAAAAAAAGAATGCTATTAATACCATGGGTTATTATATCGCCGTGAACAACTCTCCTGCACATCTCTCAACCTCTTATGCGACTCTTTCTTGGTCAAACTCGCCGGCGTACAAGACGTCGTCTGGGCTCCCGTTCATCTCGTCCCAGACATCACGGGCCTCCTCGTGGATGCTGCGGCTCGAAATGCCGCGGCTCGTCCCGTTCTTCCCGAGGCTGGCCAGCAGCGCGTCCGCGTTCTCGCGCTCCAGCTGCACGTGCAGGTAGACCGCCGTGCGCTTGCCGCTGAACAGTGCGAAGGGTATATTCGTCGCGCCCGCGTTGTTCGCGTCACCGATCGCGTACACGCCCGGCACGCTCGTCACCAGGCCCTTGTTCGCGTCCACCGCGATCTTGCCCTTGACCACCTCGGCGCCAATGTCCGCCGGGAGCGACGACGCCTGCTCCGTCGGGACGTTGATGATGAAGGCGTTGCGGAGGACGGGCTCGCCGGAGGCGAAGTGGACGCGGAAGAGGTCGTGCTCCGGGTGGGTGGGCAGGCTGGGGTCGGCGGAGGGGTCGGCGCCGTCGCGCAGGCGCTCGATCGAGGTCATGACGCGGTCGTCGACGGGCGCGCCCTTGGCGGCCATGTACTCGCGCCAGCGCGGGAAGCCCGCCTCGGTGGCGTCGAGCAGGGTCTGGTTGGCGGCAGTGCCGTTGGTGAAGGCGACGACGTCGGTGTTGAGCGTCGTGACTTCGCGCAGGGTGCCCGGCGCGGCGGTCACGGGGCCGACGATGCCGAGCGCCTGGTCGGCGTGCTCGTGGCCGTCGCACCACGGGCACCAGTAGATGCCCTTGCCAAAGTTCTCCCGTAGGCCGGGCGTGCCGGGGATGACGTCGCGGATGCCGGTGCCGAGTATGACTTTGCGCGCCGTGTAGGTGATCTCGTGGTCGCCGGTGTAGGTGCCGGTGACGGTGAAGTAGGTGTTGTTGCGCTCGGGCTGGATCTTGGTGATGGTGCCGTTGGTCATGGTGATGGTGCCATAGTTGGCGATGGACTTGCGGGCGACGAAGCGGTAGTAGGCGCCCTGCTGGCCTGGAGAGGGTTGTCTGTTAGTGCATGTGTTTTGGTACGGGGTGGGTTGGGTAAGAGGCCTTGAGAGGAGAGAATTGGCCAAACACACCATCATTTCCGGGTAGATCGTGCAGATGCCGGGTGGCGGCGTTGCGATACTCGCCCGAGTCAACGAGGAGAACATTGCGGCGGACGCGGGCGAGGCCGCTCAGCGCGGCGAGGCCGGAGGGGCCGCCACCGATGATGATGGCGTCGTAGTCGGTGCGGGGGAGGGCATCGCCATTCTCCTTGGCCACGGGGGCAGCAAGAGAGAGCAGCGGTAGAGCAGCGATGAGTGCAGAAGTGAACCACATTGTGAGTTGTGGTTGGGTTGGTGATGCTACCTGCGTGCGTTTGCTTCCTTACAGCCAGCTGCCAGGTAGGTGTCTGCTGACTTGACAAGTGATGGAACGAGAATGGTTCCAGGCACAAGGAAATACCCGTACGGAGTAGAAAGAGACGAAAATAAACAAGAAAAGAGATCCTGAGCATCTATTGAGACATTCTCATTCCTTTTATACTTGGTAATTTCCCGCTGGGGCCCCCATACGGCCCCCCCATAGTAAGCCGGGCAACACTGAGATCAGCCGACGACCTACTGGTAATGGAACCTTGGCAAGATATAATGGGGTCTGTCCGTGCTCTTTCAGCCCATTATTAGCCAATTCCTCGTATTGTTAACTGTGAATACAAGAGCATCAGTAGAGGGGCTGTAGTAATACTAACTAGTGGCTGACCCGGCGCCTTCCGGTCGGTAGTGGCGCCGCAATCTCCGTTGGCCATAGACGAAGCGGGAGTTGCCAGACTATGAAAGTGGCTGGCTGAGCCAGCTTAGAACATGTGAACAAATTTGCTCAACTTCTCTTGGGAATAGGAAACAAGAAAATTTCTGCCTAAAGTCTGAGAACGACGCACAATGACGACACACTCGACAACACAAACTCGCTCACCATCGCGCAGGGTTGCATTGGGCCCAGCTCAGCCCACTCCCCTGCTGACCTAAAGTTTAACTAGGAACGCGGGAGGGGAAATATCTTGTCATTATAATTGTTGCCGCTCGGATCTAGTGCTCCGAGGAGTCACATCCTCATCCGAGAAGCCAACTCTCTAGTTACCGGCTCCGCAACATGGATTGACAAGAGCTCGCCGGGGCTCCTCCGACCCATCTGCCGCCCGCAATCTATATCGCACCGGGAGCCGGTGATATAGTCTAGTTCTATAATAGAGTTGGAATAGCTCCACCGCTCATTCTAATACCAGGTCGTCAGCCCTGTTCGCCAAGGCCGGCTCCTCATAAGCAATACTCACCACCGTGATATACGCAACGACATGCGGTTCTCGCCAAAGCAATACCCGAGAAATTTGTCCCTCCTGATTTACGTCCCATGACAACATTCAGCCTGAATAGTAACTGCAGATGTTACCCCCCCTCAGCCTAACAAATTGATAAATGGCTCTGGCCACCGCCCCCACACGAGCGGCCGATCGCCCAGCCGCCCGCTCACCGGCGCCAGCATCTTGACCTTGCGCTTCTGCTCGTCCACGTCGGCCACGTACACGAAGCCCATCACGCTCGCCGTCCGGATCGTCTCTGGCGAGTCCCGCACCGACGCGTGCATCACCGCCAGCGTCCAGTGCTCCATCGATGAGCACACCTCCTCCCGCACCAGCGTCTCGGTTTCGTAGTCGGAGTCTTTCGGCAATTTGTTAGCGATCAGGAACGCGAGGTGACTAGATTGGGAAGGAGAGAGGAAAGCACTCACAATCGGGCAACCTGTAGATGACGAGGCTGTCAAAGTCGACCTGCTGGATCTGAGGGCTCAGCGTCCGCCGCACGTCCCCAAAAAAGTACTCCTTGATGACAGCCTCGCGGCAGTGCTCCGTAAACGACTCCTCCCTGTCCACCACGCCGTCCGACTTGTCTAGCGTGATGACCTGAATGGGTTCGCCCAGGCTCGTCTTCTCCGTAGCGAAGCGACTCGCAATCTCTCCATTCAGACCACTCGTGCCCAGCACGATGACAATATTCACTGATCCTCAGTTAGCATGCTGTCTTTTCTCCCTTCTCTCTTCTCCCACAGTTGCACAACATCCAACCAAAACATACCTGAGAGCTCATCGACCATGTGCGCCAGCAGGTCCAGGCCGCGCGCGCTGCCCGCCTCCACGCCCATCGAATCCACCAGGACGCCCGACGCCTTAACGTCCGGGTCCTCACTGAGCCTCGCGCTCACGCCGTCCGCCAGGCGACCGAACAGGCGCTTGTAGACGTCCGGGTCGGCCTCCGCCGACTCGCGCCCGTAGTAGTACACCAGCGGCAGCTTGACCGGCACCGCGCTGGGCCCGCTCGTCGGGGTGCCGCCCCAGCCGTCCGCCGCGAGGGGGTCCATGACCGTCGCGAAGACGCCCGCGCTCAGCGTGCCCGCCAGGCTCAGCGCGCCCTCGCCCGGGTCCGCGTTGACCACCAGCGGCTGCCGCCCCTGCCGCGTCGCGTAGCTCGCCAGTGTCCGCACCAGCGTCGTCTTGCCCGTCGCCCGCCCACCCGCCACCAGCACCCGCGGGCCCTCGCGCGTCGACGCCGCCGCCGTGGCGCGCAGCGCTGCCAGCCGCCCGTGCAGGTTCACGTAGGACGCTGCCGGGTTGTTCGTGGGCGCGGGGAAGGCAGCGATGGAGTCGGAGTCGGTCCGCCCGTCCACCTCGAGCTCGCACCCGTGCCAGGTCAGCAGCTTGCCGCGCAGCGGGCCGGCAAACTTGTACGCGCTGCGAGGCGCGAGCTCGACGCCGTCCTTCTCGGCTGTCCCGGAGACGAGCTTGACGCTGATTGTAGTCCCCGGCGCGAGGTGGAAGCGCCACTCGCCGGCCTTGCGCAGCGCGACGATGCGCGTCGATGATTCGACGTGCTGCATGGGAAAAGGCCAGTCAGCGTTGTCGTTGGAGTGAGGGAACAGCGCAGGCCGAGAAAGTGGGCTGTCCGAAGTCGAGGATTATCTTACATGTGCAGGAATCTGCCCCAGCCCTGGAATTGACATGGCGGGCTACATTAACACTTCTACGTGGATGTAGGGATGAGGTAGGAAGCTCTTTTCCACGATGCGAGCGAGCTTGGAGGGGGGGTAGTTTGCCTGGTGGGTCACACAACTGTACTATGTAATAAGGCATCAAACAACAGCAATTCAGAACACAGATTGACTTGAATAATAGTAAACAGCACCGATGAAATACCTTCGTACATATGTAGACACATAGAGACTAGAATAATGATAAGTGGATTCGTAACGATACTTCTGCGTTGCCGCATAGCTACGTCTTCAGTAGTAGAGATGCAATGCTCCTCTCTCTATGTAACTTGATTGCCCAATCCCAGACGCCATGCCATTTGCACTCTAACATGCAAATGGTCTAAAGAAGAAAAATGATTTAGGCGGCGTAAAGCCGCATATGACTGCGCATTTTATTTCGCAAGATCTTCAAGGATTCTCCGTACGCTCCGGACACCCATCAGCAAGTTCTCATCGCATCCCCCACCCTTGTTGAACCTCGCGTGTGCAAAGTCAATGAGTTTCACCGACAACACCCGCGGGGCCTCAATGTCCAGGTCTATACCTTCGTCCTCGTCATGGCCGTCGCCCAAGACAGCAGCCTCGGTCAGCTCGTCATCGCCCATAGCAATACCACTATCAGTGCGCTGGGTGGTGCGATTAGCCTCCTTGGCCTCGACGGCTGTCTCGATGGCCGTTACCATTTCATTGTTGCGCTCGATGGCGGCACGGAGCGCCTTTCCATCGCCCTCAAAAACAAAGAGCAGCGACGACGAGTACATGACTGTCTCATGTGCCTCCAGAGTTTCTTGAATAGTCTTGACCACTTGCGCAAAACCCTGGTATACGGCCTTGGCGAGCTCCTCGTCGATGCCCGCAGCTTCGTTGTGAACGAAGCTGCGGAACCCGTCGTGAATGTTGTCGTCTTTCATGTCACATCGGCCGTAGTCCCTGGCATAGACTCGGTAGCTATCCTCCTGTAGGATCCCCCGGTCGTCCGACCCGCGATAGACCCGCATGCCCGCTATGCGGAATCCCAAATTTTGATGCGTGGTTTTCTTCGTAAGTTCCTGAAAGCGCAGCTGCTTTTCCGCGGTTGCATCGTCGGCGTACAGCCGCTGCCCGAGCTTGACGTCGAGGATGTTGGCCTTGACAAAACCTTTGGTGGCGTTTTCCAGCACGAGTGCCAAGTCTGTCTCAATCTCCCCTCCATTGCTGGGCACATAGGGGGGCTCGTTCGGCGTCGGCCCCTCGGCTGGAGCGCGCAAGACCTGCTCTGCGATTACCGCTTCGATCTGCTCCTTGGCGGTCTGGATGGCGCCAGCGTCCGTGATGACACCAGTCACGGCATCGTCTATTTTGAGGTCGGAGGGAGTGCTGAGTAATAGGGTGCCCATGCAGGTGGGCATAATGTTGGCGAATGTGGTTCCTCGGGTCTTCGCGTAAAAGTTGATCTCGGCCTGCGTGCAGGGCTTGATGAAGATTTCTCCGTCTGGGTCGCACATGGGGCCAGCACTGATACGGTCAATTAGGATTCGATGCCAGCCATTGTGTCTCCTTCCGGTACTCACTGTCCAGCGACGGTATACTTGCACGGGTGCAGTTCGCCGTAACCACGGATGCGCGTGGGCTTCATGGTGGCGGAAGTGGCAAGTTGTGGTTGGGCGAGAGAAGAGAGGGTTGATGTGCCTAAGCAGCAGCGGCGACGATACCCTTGGGGCAAGGGTGGTCGGGGAGAAATATCCTCGCAAGGTCAAACGTTGAAAGAAAGTGAGACGAAGGGCGAGAGTGTTGGATGGTATGTTCAGGCGAAGATTGGACGCAAAGGGGGGTTGCGGGCTGGTGGGATATATAAGAATCGACGTGGTTAGAGCGTTATCGGGTTGCTATCGTGACGCGGGGGGAAATGCGCATAGAGAAAGGTGGTAGAGAATGGTGAAATGACAAAGGCGTGTTTCAGAGATATATGCATGCGGACCGGTGTAATCATTCAGAGGAACCGATTTACTTGTTACGTGCAACTGCTTCTTTGATCCGTCGTAGCCAGGCCCAAGGCAAGGGCAGCAACGCCACCTTGGGCCGCAGTGTGGCGTCCTTGTGAGGTGGGCAAGTGGGGCCGTTACTACCTCAGCGGTACAGTGCGAGGGCCACAGCATGCAGTGTGCCATATGCAGGTGATTCTGCAGCGGCAAGGTCTCGTCACAATGGTACATATGTTGATTTATGTGTGGACCGCTCTGTGTTCCATCTGGTTGGTAGTCGGTATTGTGAAAGGCCATACACAGGTTTTTGGTCACTAACCACCCAACCAAGCTCGGTTGACGGAAGGGTTGCCCCTCCACCAGGCCACAAGTCCTTCACTGTGCGATCTGCACCGTGCCCGCAACGTCCCAACGGGCCTACGCACAGTGACGCTGGGCCTGCCTTGTTGACGTGGGGTCAGTCAGCCAGAGCACAGCCACAGGGGTCTAGTTGAATAACCTTGCGTGGCATCTCACTCGTCGGTTTCCCATCGCAGCCACCACCATCTCCTCGTCATCTTCACGATTGCCAGCTGCAGGACTCAGCACCTTGCGGTTCGCCATATCGCCTTGCCATGATCTACCAGACGCTCCCCACGCTTTGACAACGTGGCTAACTCTGTTCGAGGGGCCCAACGGTGCCGAATCCGAACCGTTGCCTGCCAGATGGTCTCTGCTATGGCCTTGAAAAGCGCCCACGAATCTGCCTCGGCCGCTTACTCTCGTGTGACGCCCGCATTGGGCCTTGACCTTGGCCTTGTTGCACAGCATTTGCTAAATCATTCCAAAAATAACAGCCCTCATACTAATAAATACAGTTTTTTTTTTTGCTTTTTGCTTTTTGACAGCGCATCGCCGCGACCGGCCCGCGTCACCACCAACAAACCTGCCTATACTTCCCTGCCGTCTTGCTTCACCTCAAACACCGTCTTACCCAGCCCGCCTTTGCCCTTGTACGACTGCCAACACGCTTCGCGCACCTTTTCAATGTCGCTCAGGTCCACGCGCATGCCCACGACCGGTCGTAGCCGGCCCTGCTCCGCCACGTCCTTGAGCAACGCCAAGTCCTCACCGTTGGGGTTTAGGAAGATGTACTTGTACTCGACGCCGTAGAAGCGCGCCCGGAGCTTGCGCAGCTGGTCCGTGGCGTCGAGGAATACGCGAGCCACGAGCGGCAGCCGCTGCCTGTCCGGCGTACCGTTGTCCATGACGCTCGCGTTCTGCAGTGTCGCGCCGGATGGGGCGGTCGAGATGGAAACGACCAGGCCGCTGCTCTTGACCAGGAGAGGCATAAACTCGGTCGCCTGGCCGGTGGTGTCGAAGATGAAGTCGACAGACCCGGCTGGGATGGTCGTGGTGGGATTTTCCTTGGTGTAATCAATGACTGGGCGCTTTAATTAGTGTCGTAGCATGCGAACGTTCGCAGGCACAGTGTAACATACTCTGATCAACGATGCCGTCGCCGAGCAGCTCCGGCACCTTGGGCACCTTGCTCGTCGACACAGTGGTAATGACCTTGCCTGCCTTGAAGACATTCTTGGCGATCTGCAAGCCATATGCGCCGGTACCACTCACTGCATAGCGTTAGGTAAAGTCGTGCAGGTCAGGGGGGAAGTGCCACTCACACCCCGCGGGGATAAAGACTGTCTTGCCCTCCAGCGAGCCCTTGTACTCCCGCAATGCCTGGAGTGCTGTCATGGCAGCCAGCGGCAGCGAGGCGGCATCACCAAAGGACATGTTCTTGGGCTTGAGCGCGACGAAGCGCTCTGGGCACATGGCAAACTCTGCCCACGCACCTAGCAGGCCAGTCAACATCATCATCGTCTTTGGCATGCCTCCTTTCACGCAGTCGTACATACCTCTGCTAAATTCTGGCAGGCGCACGTAAACCTCGTCGCCCGCCTTGAACGACGTGACAGCGCTGCCCACCTCCTCCACGACGCCGGCAGCGTCATAGCCAATCTTGTACGGGAAGCTGCATAGCACCAGTCTGTCTCAGCTTTCAATGTCCCGGCGTGCTCCGGAGAAGGCGGTGTTGAACGTACCTGTCCTGGAGCGCCATTTTCATGACGCCATCTGCCTTCTTGACGTCGACGGGGTTGATGCTCGCCGCGTGCACCCTAATCAGGACGTCGGTGGGCTGCGTGACGGCTGGCTTGTCCACCTGTGTGAGCTGGTAGCCATCGGGGTTGGTGTATTGGGGGACGGTGATTGACAACATTGTGCTCGCCCTTGTCGGTACTGCTAAGCAAGGGCGAAGTAAATAACCTTCAAATACTGAATGGATTGAAAGAGCTGGACTTGACGGGTTTTATACAATATGAATGATGAAATCTTTGCCACCTGCGACCGATGCCGCGGCTCATCACGCCGTCACTGAAGAGGGCGGGTCGGGAAACGCCGTCTTGGGCCAAGCAAGTCCGCAGCGGACATGATGGGTCCCATCTCCGGAGGATCAAGGTTTTTCGATCCGGGCTTGTCGTTTTCGGTGTGTAGGGGAATTTGGAAGGGCCAAAAAACCGACTAATTATTTTTTGTTTTTTCCTCTTCATCTCAGGTATCTGTAGCCCTCTCTTTTATGCCGAGGCTTGTCGAACAGGCTTGTCGAACGTTTCTACCATGGACCCTTATCCCCATCATCGGCTTGCGGAGTTGCTTTATAATGCTATAGTACCTTGTAGAAAAAGATCTTCGGCTGTGGCGCATATCGAGCTTTCACAACGATATAATTGGTCTTGGCAGATATTGGCTAAAGGCCTTGCAACTATGTATGTAGGTCATCTCCGCCGCCGCCGTAGATAAGGCAGTAAGGTAGGCAGCGAATGGGATCTTCATCCGAACGATGCCGAGGCTTTTTAAAGTCCGAAGGAGAGAAGAGAAAACAGATGAAGAAAAATGGGATTTTTACCCCTGTCAACGAGTAGAAGTTATTGCCGGCTTACATCCAGACCGCAACAGGATTGTAACTACTACCTAGACCGGGTAGTCAATAGATGCATCCATCCGTTCATACCAGGAAGCTTAAGGCGAGTAGCGGCTCGCAAAAGAGTCTCATTTTTTGGGGTATGAAGGCGATGACGATGCTTTGCATCAACAGTGTTTATCGAACAGGAATATGCTGTGCAACGCCAACCTTCTCAGGTCCGTTTACTCCGTATGCACGTTGCCGTTTGCAAACAGAATAAAATCATCAAACATCAGAGCCGCACCGCTCCTTTTTTCTTCGTGACATCCATCTTTGGCAGAAAAACCTCCGAGGCAATAGAAAAACACCACCATGAATTCGGATGATGAACATGACGGACTCGAGTTGGGCGACACTGTCGACAACTTCCCGGTGAAGAAGAAGAAGAAGAATCGCGGAAAAAGGAAGAAGAACGTTCCAACCGGCTTTGAAGGTACCCTGAAGATTGTGTGATTTCAGGTAGACTTGGCGAAGTCTGACTTGAAATAGAATACTTTGCCGATGCTCCCACGACCCCGGCGGATGCCCTCCTCGAGCAGAAAGAGTTTTATGCCAGGTAAAAAAAACACGCAATCGCCCACCATCTGTACCACCTGCATGCTAACCACCATTCTCACCAGCTCGCTCCCGTTTGAACAGTGAGCCTCATCTCCTACTCCCTGTAGGACACCGAAAACTAACTAATTGAAACCCGCAGGCGCATCCAGACTTGCATCCATCGCTTCCGCACACGCCGGCGCCTCGACTCCGAGCTCAGCAACTACTTCAGCGAGTACATGTTCCTCGGCGGCGTCGACACCTACCTCGCCCCGTTCAGCGACGAAGATCTCGAAGAAGGTTCGCTCATCCCGCACTCCACAACCAACGACGGTGCCGACGACGACGAGGACGCCACCGCCCGCTTCTACGACGGCAACGCCCGCCACTGGACCGTCGACTTTGCCGGTGTCGCCGCCGGCTTCCTCTCCGTGTCCATCCTGCCGCTGACCGGCGTCGACCCGGGTGCTACCGCGCGCGCCGTCAGCGTCGTTGAAGCCTTCCTGCGCTACGTGCTGCAACACGACGTCTGCCCGGAGCACGAGGCTGACGTGCGCGAGGCGCTGGCCGTGTGCGTCCGCGCCCGCGACGAGTGGCCCCGCCTGTGGCGCTTCAAGGGCCTTCTGCCGGGCCGCTTCCACGTCGCCGCCGCCCGGACCCTTGGCGTGCACGACGACGGCGCCGACTGGTCACTAGCGTCGGCCGCGGAGGAGACCCTGGCGGCAGAGGTCGTCTTCTTCACCTCCCTGGTGGCGGTGGGGGAGCCGCTGCCGGCCGACCGGCGCGTGGTCCGCCAGTTCACGTGTTCGCTGGCGCTTCGCGCCGTCGAGATGCCGGACGCCGGCGTGGAGAGCTGCTTTCGCCGGCTGGCGATCGGCGACGACGCTCGGAAGCTGAACCTGCAGCCGCTCGGGCGGGCCGTGTTCCGGCCGACGGTCGTCGAGGACGGCTGGGTGCGCCAGCTGCCGCTCGAGGATCTGCCGGCGGACGAGGACGTCGTCTTCCTGCTGGAGCGGGACCTGCTCGAGGCCATGACGCTCGGCATGATGATGACGGCGACGGTCTGCGAGCTCAGCTCCGGGTTCCGTTTCCTGAAGACGATCGAGACGCTGCAGCCTTCGTTTTACACGTTCCTACCTCAGCACCTCATCAAGGACTACAAGCCGCCGCGGGCTAACGACCGCCCGCCACCGTCAGTTCACGATGGGGCCGCCGCTGCTGCGGCGGCGGCGAGGGAGGGGGCGGAGGATGGGAACGAGGAGGGAAAGGAAGACTGAGTAAAGATGAGTCAAGGGGCCGAGCCCCAGGTGTGGGGGAAGAAGAATATGTGCATTTATTACTTTCGCTATCGGCTTTCATTATCCAAGAGGAGCATTTGCGAACAAAAAATGAGCAATAAAATAGCTTGCAGTCAACGACATGCGGGCTGTTTAGGAGCAGACTCAGCGTATGCAAAAGCAAGACAAAGAAAACATGTTAAACAAGAACACATACACGCGTGAAACGTCACTGGGTGGAAGGAGACGTTTGTGAGGTTTCAAGAGCGGTTGGAAACAAGAGCATTGGATGCCCACCGCCGTTCTTCCAGGCCGGCCTTTGCCAGACCGAGGAGGACTAGACACGGTGGCGCCGACAATCCTGCATCCACCACCAGCCGCTTTAATCGTGCGACTGCACCTTGTGGTCCCCCGCAACCGCCGCCGCATACGTCGGAGGCACCTGGCCGTCCGAGCGACCCGCGCCATTATCCGTCGTCACGCCGTGCTGCTGCTGCTGCTGCTGCGAGGCATTGTTGCCGTGGCCGGTGCCGCCGTAGTTCATGCCGCCTTGCTGCTGGGGCTGGTGCTGGGCGTGGCCGTGCTGCGGCGGTTGGACGTAGACGTAGGTGACGCGGCCGCAGCCGCCCTCGCCGCCATGGTTCAGCGCCTCGTACTCGTAGGGCGGCTCGGGGAACTTGGCGATGATGTACCAGGCGTGCAGCAGGCCGGGGATGTAGCCGAGCACGCACAGGAGGATGTTGATGAGCGAGTCGGCGCTGCAGATGCCGCACTTGACCCAGACTAGGGAGAGAGAGAGAGGGGGGAGGTTAGCGAGAGGGAGGGCTTGCGATGCACGACGGCATTGGATCATAGGCTGGAGTTTGGCGCCGCGCGCGGGGCACACGTACCGGGCAGGGGAGGAAAGAGAATGGCGAGGACGCCGAGGAAAATGTCAGCGGAGCACATGCTGGATTTGCGTTCTCTATGGAAAAAGTGAAGAGCTTCGATTGAAATACGAAATGGCGAAAGAGGTGCAGGCAGAAGAAGGCGAGGTTGAGTGATGCAAGGTTTTTGTTTTCCAAGGCGGCAGCCTGGCAGGGCTTACTTTGAGTCAATCCGGCCGGCTGGCTCTCCCGGTGACGACGACTTGGCGGGCGCAAACGTCACGGGGCTGGCGGCGAGTGGGCGGCCTGCGCACTTTCTTCACAGGGCTGGCGGCAACTTTGGGTTACGTAAGCCAGTCACGTTGTCGTGGCTCCTTTTACCTATTCATTCATTTGTGCTTGCTTTTACAAAGCACAGTTCAGCTGTGTGTTTGGCTTATGCAAAGCTAGCTTTCAAATTTTTCAATTGCTTCTTTTTTCTGCCGAGGGTGTGAAGCGCTGTCCTAATATGCTCATGGAAGGAATCCTTATGGCAATTATTTACCCGCCCGCCCGCCCTAGAAACAGCATAGGACGACATGGGGAGTCGAGCCAATTTGATAAACCTACTTGCCGTGAATTAATATTTTCTTAATCGAATTTCAATTCTTCAAAGTTTGAAGACATCTCTTCCCAGATATTGCAAGTAAATGTAATGTAATTGCTGAGATGCAGCTATATGCCTTCGATGCCAACCGTCACCACCTATAACGCTAGTAATAAACTGCCCAACAAACTCCAAGCGCCACTGTAAATACTCTACACAAGAAATCGACATAACACACCCTGTCGTAGGCATTAACCCCAAGTACCGCCGCCGCCGCCGCGCCCTCCCCTTCTCTGCGCACTCAACCTCCAGTCATCCTCGCCCGCGTACTTGTTGTACAGCGGCAGGATGCGCTCCTGCGCCTTGCGCTTGCTCAGCCTGTCCGTGGGCGCGACCTTGAAGAAGGTCGGCGCTGCCTCGACCAGCCACTTGGGCTCGATCGCCGTCGTCCAGTGCATGTACTCCTTGGTCGTCAGCACCAGCTCGTGGTAGATGACCCACTCGGCCTGCTTGCCGAACAGCGCCGACGACGGGTGCAGGTACACCGGTGTGCCCTCGGTCAGCGTCTTGTAGCCCTCCTGCGGATCCTTGCGCGCCGCGCTCCGGAAGAAGCCCGTGCACAGCGCCCGCCGCACCTTTTGCGTGTCCCGCCCGCACGAGATGATTGGATGTCGGTGCCGCTCCATGATGCGCAGGATCTGGTCCCGCACGTCCTTGGCCCGCCGCATCGACCGCGCCTGGATGAAGTTCTCGAAGCACCACGGGTTCGAGTACCCGCTGTGCTTCCACGAGTTGTACACGTTGAGGAGCGTCAGGTGGTCGCCGTGTGGATCGTGGAACTTGGCCTTCTTCTGGTCGGCCTGCGTCTGCTTCTCTTTGGGCCGGTAGAAGATGGTGGACTGGTTCAGCATGGCCACGATGCTCAGGATCTCGTCAGAACACTGATAATCTACCGCTGTGATGAGTACCTTGGCCAGCGAAGGCTCCATGGGGAAGTCGGACATCTTGCGGCCGAGACGGGTAAGAAGACCCTCATCATCCAGAGCGCTAAGGGCGTATAGTTCTTCCAGGGCTGTAAGCATCGTATTAACGGGCGGAGGGTCCATAAAATCAAAATGCAATAGGTCATTGATGCCCATGGCCTTGAGCATGAGGATAACGAGGGCCAAATTCGCACGCTGGATTTCGGGAATCGTGGTCGGTAACATTTCTGATTGGTAGGCGGCTTCGGTATAGAGACGGAAGCACTTTCCGGGCCCCGTACGTCCAGCACGTCCAGCTCTTTGGTTCGCCTGCGCTTGGGAGACGGGCGTGACAATCAGGGAGTCCATACCCAGTTTTGGGTCGTAAGCGCTCTGCTTGACGAAGCCGGGATCAATGACGTAAAAGATTTCATCAATCGTGATGGACGTCTCAGCAATGTTGGTGGCAATGACAACCTTTCTTGCGCCGGGCGGCGCCGGGTCAAAGATTCGACTTTGTGCCTCGGCCGGCAACTGAGCGTACACTGGAAGAATGAGAAGTTCGGGCACTCCCGGCCCAAGTGCCTTCATTCGCTCAAACAGCACTTCGCACGCGGTATCGATTTCTTCCTGACCAGTGAGGAAGAGAAGGATGTCACCCTTTGGCTCTGTCAAGTGGATCTGCATGACGGTGACCAGCGCAGTATCGAGATAATCAGACTCGGGCTCTCGCGAGTACAGAATCTCAACCGGGAACGTCCTGCCAGGGATCGTAAAGATTGGGCATTCGTTGAAATACATCGAAAACTTGTCGGCGTCAAGAGTGGCGGAGGTTACGATAACCTTCAAATCTGGGCGACGTTTGAGAGCCTTCTTTAATAGTGCAAAGAGGACATCGGTTGAGATGGTACGTTCGTGCGCTTCGTCCAGCATGATGACTGAGTAACGCCTCATGTCAGGATCGCCGAGAATTTCTCTCAGGAGCATGCCGTCTGTCATGTACTTGATCTTGGTCATGGGGCCCGTCATGTCGTCAAAACGCACATAGTAGCCAACTTCCTCTCCGAGTTTACACCCAACCTCCTCAGAAACACGCTTTGCGACGGACATGGCTGCGACTCGTCGAGGCTGTGTGCAACCAATAACTCCCTCGTTGGCGAAACCAGCTTCCGCTAGATACTGGGTCAGCTGTGTGGTCTTTCCAGACCCAGTCTCACCAACCACGATAAGGATCTGGTTCTCATGAACAGCCTTAATGAGCTGTGAACGGAACCCGTAAACAGGCAAGCTTTCGCGCTGTTCCTTCATGCTGAGATTTGTTCGCTTCCCCAGTGGTTGGTTGCGCGGAACGATTGCCTTCTTCCACTCTGGCACGTCATCTGTCCCGGCGTTCATCTTGGCATTGCGCAAGTCGCTGGCGAATTGTCGCTTATCGGGATCCGCCATTGGATCCTCCCACTGCGACGACAGATTTTCTTTGGGCCGTTCTTTCGCAGCCTCTGCCTCTTGCTGTTTCAGTTCCCTTCTCTCCTTGGCCAAAGCCGTGCCTGACATGGCGGCTCTGTTCATGGACCCGTCGGGGGCCTTGACGACACGAATTGGTGATAGCTCCAGCGACTGTTTTGTCTGGCCGGCGAGGAAGGGGGGCTCTTCTTCGCGAACCTCAATGTCAACATCCTCCTCAAGCTCCATCTCCCCATCGCCACGCAGTGTAGCATTGTAATCCTCCTCCAGATCCGGGTAATCGGAGGCCTTAGCCACGCCAGAGGCTATCAGCTGTCGAATCTCCCAGCGTTCAGGCGAGGTCATTCTCTTCTTGTGTTTCCGTGGAGGGCCTATGTCATCTCGTGGCATGCCTGATGGCACGTCATTGAAGCCTCGGCTGCCTCCACCCAGAGCCTCCATATTGGCACCAGTTGTATGTCTAGGTTGCTGCTCGTTGTCCATTCCCGTCGATTGGTCGACAGCAGCCATAGAGAGGCTGATACGCTTGCCCTCGATGCTGATAACCTTGACCCACACTTCCTTCCCCTTCTCGAGAATATCTGAAGGGTGATTTACTCGCTGATGGGCCGCAATCTTGGAAACATGCACAAGACCATCCTGTCGCCCCCGAACGTTGTGCAGATTCACAAACGCGCCAAAGTCCTTGATGCCTGTGACATGGCCGGGGTATATCTTATTGAGCTGGGGTTCGTCATCCATTTCGGTAGCAAGCCCTCGCTTGGGATCGTCATCGTAATCATTGCGGTCGTCTCGGCGTCTGTGACGGCTTTTTCGTGATTCTCGGTATCCGTTGCGCCAGTCTTCATCGCCTCGATCTTGAGATCGCGAGCGCGAACGAAACCTATCTCTCTTGCGCCCGTCCCTGGATCGTGATCTATCGCGTTTTCGTCGTCGGGAGTCGTCGTGAGGGCTTCGACTTCGTTTGCGGGGGGCCTTGTCTTTGCGGGCCTTTGGTTCGAGGCCCTCAAGAAGCGCCAAGGTATCGTCGATGGCGTCCCCGTCGTCTTGATGGGATGGCTTGACGTCTGCGAGCGCGAGTCCGCTGAAAACCTTCTCCTTCTCCTCCAGCGACCGGACGTGGTGCTCTTCCTGGGGCGGCGCGGTGCCGTTGCTTTTCCCTTTGCCTTTGAAGCGCGGGTGCATGGTCAGCACCAAGCGGTCAAGGCTATCCACCAGACTGGGCGGGAACTCGGCACCGAGGCCATCGAGCTTTGTGCGAAACTCGTCGGCATCCTTGCTATCGATGCGCTGGGCGATGAGGAACTCGGCCAGGGTCTTGTCGCTGACGCCGACATGGTTTTGAAGTTCTGAGGTAACCTTGGACACGAGAGAGAGCAGCTCCAAGTTCAGAAAGTCGTCCATGATGACAGCCGGTGCATGGGCGTATCAAAAGGCGCGAGAACAAGGCGTCGGTGTGGCTGTCGTAGGAATACGAAGAAACAGAAGAGAGGGTTAAAGAGTTCAAAGATTTTGTTTCGCCTTCTGCGCGAACACTTGCCGATCAAGGCCAAATTTTGGTGGGTCTCTCAGGCAACACTGTGTCAGTGGAGGTCCAAGGCATAGAAGCCAAATAAGTCGCGGCATATAGAAAAATTTATCAGAAGAGATCAACTTTTTTCATTAATCCAATAATTTCCATTGCGCTGTTTAACCCGGAGAATTGAGACTGTCATCGAACTGCGGGTGGCTAAAGCCGTTGTCGCTGCCCTCGTTTTGGTTGCAAGCTACATGAAGTTGTTGCGATGGAGAGGCAGGTATTTTGATACAAAGAATAAAACCGTAAAATAGACTGCATTTTTTGGATTGAATTAAGATCATGAATAAACCTACAGTAGATATTGTTTAAAGATAATACTTGTTTGTATGTATCGCGTTTCGCGCCCAAGCCAAGGGGCGAGGAAAGGGACCTTGGCCGGAAGTCTACCGACACCACTCTGTACACTGCACAGTAAGATGATAAATAATAGTTCAGTTCCAACTTGACTTATGTCAGTTCTTATAGCCTTTGAATATTTGTCAAACGCGCTGTGCGGTTGTACTCCGTGCTTTGCCAGCCACCAGCTGTTGGCTGGTCCAAGTATCTCAATGCACCAACGTCTTTATAGATGCAGTCGAGGTGCAGTCGATAGACAATTGCTTGCCTCTACACTAAGTAGTCCAGCTAAGAAAATTATCGCCAATTTGATAAATAATAGCAATATTTATCATCTTTCTGTAAGTAAGCACCATCCGATCCTTACAACGGTTGAGGCAGACTCTTGACGCGTCTACTTTCACGTACTACGTACTGTTCCAGCTTCGAATAACAGAATTCAGAGATGAGTCGAACATCAACCACGGTAAATTTCTGTAATATTCTTTCGAGGTCTCAAATCTAATAGCTACCTACCCAACTGGCTTTTTTACAATGATTTCTCAGCTCCAGCGGGGGGCCGCGTTGGTCAAGTAAGCAGTGGTGCCATCATCCGACAAGGGGGCCGAGCATTTGCCACTGGACTCGTTCAGGTACCAGAGGTCGGAGCCCGTGGCGTTGATGGTGGTGCCATCCCGAGCCTTGGCAGAGATCGAGTTGAAGGTGAAGTTGTCAAAGCCGGGTTGGTTCATGGTCGGGGCCTCGGTGACCCATTCGACATGCTGGAAGCAGAGTTGACCTTCGACGACCTTGGCGTAGTAAGATTTGCCCGTATTATTGCTCAGGTTCTGAATGTAACTAGTGATGAATGTCAGTCTAGGGATCTTTTCCAGGGAGGCAGTGAGGAGCGCGAAGCTTACATAGTTCCTCCCTTGCCGTCCTTGTCGGCCGTTACGGTCACGCTAACGTTGTCTCCAGGACCAACTGCTTTCATTCGTTAGTCGACTCTGCGTTTTTTCTTTTGTCCCTAACTCTGAATACGTACCTGCCGGCTCCGTTTGGTGCCACGATGCGTTGTTTTTCGGGGTGTAAAATTCGTACCAGACGTCGCCGTCGATGCCGACCCATTGGTAGAACATGGGGGGATTCTTGGGGTCGAGGCTCTCGCGCGGTAGGAGGGACACCGTAGGGACGGTCCATTGGGCAGAAGCTTCAGTCGCGCTGGCATTCAGAACCGGGCCGCACCATATATCGCTGGAGTACAGGGTGCGCTCCTGCAGGGTAGCGGTGGCCTTGGGGCGTGCCTGAGCAAGTGCCGTGAGAGAAAGAGCTCCGAGGCCGGAAATCAGCTTGGCATGGTGAAGTTGCAGAATAGACTATCTAATTGATGCTTGCGAGTTGGTAGCCAGGAGAGACGAGGAGGGCGAGTGCTTTGCGATGATGAGATTGTCCATGATTATCGGGGAAGCTGTCGGCCTTTGTATCATGAAGCTCTACCTGTTGGGCATTGGAGGAGAAACTTCTCAGTATCGCTTCGAATCAAGGTATTTGTTGAAGCGGAACGCTGGCTACCCCGGGGCCGAAATGGGCTGGAAGGATGATTAACCAAGTCAAGCTCTCCGGTATCGAGCAAATCAGTATCCCATTTTCCATGGACCTGCCATTTTTGGTTAAGTCTGACGATCTTTCCGTAAATTATCCTAGATCCTCCAACGGGTCCCGCTCTGTTGGTTCCGCACAAGGTGCAACAAGGTGCACGACTTCCCCCAACTTTCCCAAATGATGACAGTGGCACCCCAATGGAGGTGTCTTTGTTGGGGTAAATTGTGCTGTAATGGAATTCCAGGCAGTCTTCCAATGGCGGCAAAGGTGTTTCGAACAAAGTTCCTTCGGCAGCTTCATTGTAGCGATTGTTTTGTTAATAGCCGAGACCAACAGACTTGGCGCCTACATTGTCCCCGAATCCCCTTGAGGGTGGCGCACGTGGCCGTGACTTGGTTCAGAACCCAATCAATCCATCAGACAGCCCAGTGATAAGCTACGCCATGTCCGTGGGAAAGACAAAGACCTTGTTGGCTTTTGGCGGGGGAGCATTCGTCCTCCCATTGCACCCAGCTGGCTAGTTGGTTCCGTTGGTCTGTCTTCGGAGGGCTCGGAGAAACCGGCACTTTCTCATCCCCAGACTTTGAACATAGCCCTCTTACAATGACTTTCACGAGACGTTACACAGTGAATTGCTCATATACAGAGCATGATCAAGTCTCCTCTTACATGACGAGGGTAGCCTGTATGGAGACTCTGACCGATAACAATAACGGCTGAATAGTCTGCTGCTTCTTTTACGGTAAAAGTATCAAGATAACTCGCCATAAATCAGGATACGTAAGATGGCCAACCAAGGTCGAATGACTCTAGCATCAGCTGTACCTTCCATGTTTGTCGATACCATTAGCGTTGGTGACTGGTGAGCACCAACATGGCCGTGTGCCCGAGGCCAGATCATCCCGACACATTTACTGAACCAAAGCAGTAAAAGACAATAGCCACCAACCTACAGGGTGATCCCCGTATATATGGCAGCCTATAGGTGAGTTGCGGCCAAAACTCGATTTGCATTCTTTGTATCGAGGTTTACACTACTCCAGGCACACGCCGAGAGCGTACACAAGGGTACTTAATACGGTCATAATTAGAAGGTCAACCAGCTAATTAGACAGTAGATTTTTTCAACTAGAAGGTTAACTAACTAGTCAGTCAGCTAGAAGGTTAACCAACCAGAAGGTCAACTATGTAACCAGTCAACCAGCCAGCCAGTCAACTAGAAGGTCAACCCGTCAGCCAGTCAGCACTTGCACAGCCGCCTTTTGGCCAAGTCCTAGCTAAGCGGTCATGTTGTAGTTGCACTCGAGTCTCGTCGGCGGCTGAAACGTCTCAAAGCTGGGACACCGATAGTTGGGTTGACAGTGCTAGCAGACAAAGCTACATAGCTATCCCTTTGTTAGTATTGAAAGTTGGGGCGCTGGCCTGTGATGCGTGCGAGACGGTGATGTATTGTGTTAGGTTGTTGGGCCCAGGCCAGCCTACACATTGTCGCTGGTGGCATGTCTACGGACTACTACTCATCATGTCTTCGCCGTAGGCCAGTTCAGTAAGACAAGCTGAGTCTATAGGCTGCCGAATGACGCTGACGTGCAACTTGAACAAAAACGTCATTATTTCTGTGACTAAAACTCTTGGTTTATCTTTGCAGCGGAGAGGGACATGACAGGTTGTGTAAGAAGCCATCCCGTCGGGGTGGACAAGTCAACAGCAAAACCTCGCGCGGGTTGACGTCAGTCACTTCTCGCAGGACACCAAGATTTGCCTGACGAAATTGAAAAGTTGTTTCTCACAATGATCCTGCAGAGAAAAGACAATTCGTACTACCTGCGGGCCGTCGCATCGGATACAGCATGCGACAGCTCTATGGTCTCTCTGGCCACTTCAAAGACCCGTGTTACCCATTAACTAGTCGATACACTGACTGCCTTTCAGCTCTGTCACATCGCACTGCTGCGGGCGGCATCGGTACGCAGCATGCGATATCTCTCAAATCTCTTTAACCACTTCAAATACCCGTGTTACTTATTGGTTGATAGGCTGACTGCCCTACAGCTGTTGCCACGGCGCACTGCTGCGGGCGGCAAGTGCCTTGTTTCCAACGTCCTTTGCACAGACACAACAAGTATGCACTGCCAAACTTGTGATGCAATTACAAAGCCTTCATACTGATATCTCAACTAAAAAAAAAAATTGCACAGCCAGAAACTAATCACATTAGACGCCCAAGTTTGCGGCCGAGCACTGTTAGACAGGGCGGCTTAGCCAACCTCCAGGATACGTCACCACGGAACCAACGCAAGTACAGGAAAAGTATTTAAATCCCCCTTCATCCCCGAGAGTCATGGATAACTTCTATTCTCTATCATTCGGCATCCCGCTTCGCTTCTCATCCTTCCCTTTTCCCGCCACTGCTGGCATTGTCATAATTCCCTCTCTGATGAGATATCGTCTTATAAACGAATCATAACCACACGATGCACCTCCGTGGACGAAGAAGCCGTATCATCCTTCTATACGGCGGCTCTCTTCCACTTAAGACGAAAGTTCCACAGCGGTAGTGGCGACGTCGCCCGCGGCCGAGGAGAGAGAATTTCCACCGGGGCCCGTGGGAGCTCCTGACCCCGATGAACCTGACGTCGATCTATCGCAGCCTGTCGCCTGTAAAGACGCAGTAGAACTAGCCTTGGTACTCTGTGCCTGCATCTGTTTCTCAAGGATAGGCGATGCTTGCCCGGGGTAGGGGCAGCTTTCAGCAAGCCGGAGACTGGTGGACTGGGGATCAGATTAACATCATTATAGGTGACCATAGCGCAGGACTTCTTTTTCTTTTCTTCGGGGCCACACACGCACTCCTCTTGCTGGAGGGAGGCTGGTATTCACCCGCGCTGCGGCCCTGATGCTTGATGAATAGATGACATCCCTGACTTTGACGGAATGGAAGATGGTCGGCATTGTCAATCTATCGGTCCGCGTGCGTTTGAAGGCTTGGGCACAACTGTGGAGGTGGCTGGCAACGTTTTACCCGGCTCTCAACCACCACAAGCCCAGGACATAGTGCGTTACACATCTCTCCTTTACAACATGCATACATACATCATTACTGGCGTCACGGGATGACAGAGCTTCTCCTTATTCTTACTTTTGCTATTTTACAAAAGTTGTGATCCTGATGTCAAAGTGGCAACAGAGCTCTCGATTGCCCGCTCACCAGCTTGCAGATAGTCCTGTCTCCTGTGCTGTTCATCACCTCCATGAGCACACGCTTTGTCCTCTTCGAGGAAGCCATCTCCGAACTCCTTCCAGACGATTGCGTTGCATTAACTTGGCGAGTTGTCACAGCCATCACTACCTTTGCACCAGGTATGTCGTTACTCCCGGTGCTTGTTTTGTGGTGATGAGGAGGGCGGCTGCGACGAAACAAACGACTAACAAAATCGCGTCGCAGAGCATAAGCATTAGAAACGACCTAGTAGAGAGGCAGATCCATGGTGTCACCTTCCGCTACGTCAGGCCTATCAGGCGCATATTCGTCAAAGAGCAGACCACGATCATGGTGCAGTGCCATACACAACTGGCGACGGCTATCATTTTCAAGAGTGCGTCCTCTCTGCCTTCTAAGCGATGCGGAGGACAGCTGCCAGCGCTGGGTCCCCCATATCGAGGTGAGGCATCACAGTCCAAAGCCCAATACTGGCCCTTGAATTCAGTTGATGCAGGACGAAGTGCGTTGCAGTCGGTGTCGGTGTCGGAGGCTGTGTGGCCCTGAAGGAGAGGCAGGGTTGTGGGGACGGAGGGGGATGAGAACTGTTCATCAACATACACTTTACCTTTATTGAAGAATGCGACCGAAGTGAGTGTGCTGCCTGTCGTATCATGCGAGTCTACGGTTTCGTCCTTGGCAGCTGCCTGGGTCCTGTTGCGCTACGCTGTAGTTTTGTTGCGCCGGCTGGGTGCTCAACTGGTAGTTCTGGATTTGAGTCGAGAAACAGGCCATCAAAGTCGACCCTGGCGGCCCGGGGCCTGGATTCCGGCCCCGCCACTCGACCCGGTGAGTGTGCAGTGCGGGCTGAGGCCAGGGCCGCTCCGGTCGGGTCTTGCCGCTTTTCCATTCTCCTCATTTCCCTTTGTCGTTAGTACTTGTTGCTTCTGTTTGCTAGAGACGCCCATCTCTAGATTTCAAAACTGACTAACTAAATCATGGCTGTTCTGGTATGATGACGTTGCAATTCTTTGACCAAGATAGCGCCTGTACTTGTGAGGGCGGAGAGATGTCCGAAGCATACCCTGGCTGTGTACTTGTAGCGCCTATTAGAGGTGGCAATTGCTTGATGAAACAAAGCCCTAGTTTCTTTGACACGAAAAATGCAAAAAGAAAAAAAAAGACGTCCGTGCTTCCGGTTGCAGGTATCTAGATCGACCCACGCCCATGTCAATTCAACCTCAGAAAGCCGTGAACCTTGGAGGCGCTGGGCTCGGATATCGCATTTCAGCAGCAAGGGCCGCGACCACCGTACCCTGATACCGTCACATGTAAAAGGCATCACCACCCCCACGGCGGTTTGAGTTACAGGCGTGCCAAAATAAAGTGGAAGGCGGCAACTATTATTAGCAAGGTCAAGGTGGCTCGGCAGCTACATGACAGCTGCTTAACGTCAATGTGCCCTAGCTGAGTGTCGCTCAATTTTCCCCAACTTGGACCATCTACTCTAATTCGCACATATGTACTTCTTCGGCTATAGCATCCTCTCGGATCCGCCGGGATGTGTCGCAACGCTGATGAGACACGGGGTCCTGGTTTATGCGAATAATTCTCCTACGTTGGCTTGATCAGCATTCATATTGTAAGCAATGATAAGGAGCGTCCGTTGACTTGGCTCTTTGTTTTAATCGTGTGTTTTTTATTCATGTCGCTAATCCGGCCTGACTGGTGAGCACGGGCACGCGGGCGTCTAGCCACCTCCCGAGACTCTGCGTCGAGGCTTCATCTCATCCTCCCACGAGACTGACTCGCGGCCAGACTACCAGGCAATCGGGGTCAGCCGATGTCAAATAAGTTAGTGCCCCGTCAGCAAGTGGGGGCCGATTCGCCGGTCCGACGAGGCGGAGTGATGTGGTCGTGAGCTCATAGCCGCAGTTTCGCGGTCGGTCTGGCTGCGCCATCAACTTTTTGCTTCTGCGGCTTATGCAAAACACCATGAGTCACGGAGTGGATTCGGTCTTGAACTAATAGACAATGAGTTCCATGTTGTCGGCATGGAGCCGAGTTGAAGGCCCGAGTCATTAACTACTACCAATCTTTACCCACGCTCAAGAAGCAACTCCATTCTTACTTGCAGGAAGAAGACAGTATGGCGCAGGTACAACCCATCGCTATCATTCTTATTCCCGGGCTACTGAAACCAATGCTTGCTGTCTCGCAGGGCGACAGCCATGCAATCGGGCCGTTCTCTACCACCACAACGGGCACTATTGCTCACGAGACAATCGCGGCTAAGTATCTATCCAGGGGTCGGTATTATTTACGTATATATCCATCTTTAATAATTACGAGAGCAAGCTGCTCAAACGACAGTCCTAGATCTGCACCAGGCTAGCACATATAGCCAGGTTATCCATATACGTGATACTACTAACATTCCCCCGGGGCTTAAGTCGTGCTAATACCCAGCATTCCCAGTGTAATAAGTGTCAGTAACTAATAGTTATCTTCTGAGGTACAGGCTCCCTTTCTGCCGTTGTCGCAAATAATGACGTAGATTCCCAATATTTTTTGTTTTGTCCACTCGTCAGAGATCATGCAGTAGCACTGACAATGTCCTATGGGAGTCGCGTGATACACATGCTAGAGCAAGGCAACTGCGTGCTTATTGCGAAACCCAAGAATCTCTTAGCATACTGAGTCGTTGCTTCGTTTCGACAAGACGTCAAGCATTCATGCTGGCAGAGTTGGCTAGGGCAACAACGACAGCGTAGCCCTGGAATTTCGCTCTTGCAAGTCGCTTGACACGGCGATGGATGTTCTAGATGTCTCACGTTACGACAAATCCAAGCTACGCGTAAGGAACATGACTGTGGCTATCGTTTCAATAGGACTAAGTTCCTTGAGAATTGACTCAGGCATCATGCGTTGAGATGGCATCACTCCGAGCAGAAAGCTATTTAAGGTGAGAAGGAATGCTGTTGGAAGTCCATCCAAATCAACACTGTTTTTCTATCTATCTATTTCATCAAAGACCTTGTGCTTGAAGCTCAATTCACTCCACTAGCTTTTACTACACTTTACAAATTACCATTCCCATCATCAACATGGTTCGCCTCAGCTATTTCCTCTCTTGTAAGTGGCAAGGCAACCCGCATAACGAAGCACTAAGCTGACATAGGATATAGTGGCCTTGGCTGCTCAAGGACTTCACGCCGCTCCCACTGCCCAGGGTCTCATGGAGACCCGAGATGTCGTCCTCCCTCGTCAGCGAAACAGCCCGGCCCAACAAGGCCAGAGCAGCCCGGTTCCCGCTGGCGGGAAGGCCGCCGCCGACGCCCAGGCCGACAAGATTTCCAAGACGCCTGACCCGTTCCCCAACCCGCAGACCGAAGGCCAGCGCCAGGGAAACCGCGGCAGCACCAAGTTCGACCCGTCCCTGGCCAACCTCGGCCGGGAGCCCGCCGGCGGCAAGGAGGCCTCGGAGAAGGAGGCCGACCGCATCTCCAAGACACCCGACCCATTCCCCAACCCGCAGACCGAAGGCCAGCGCCAGGGAAACCGCGGCAGCACCAAGTTCGACCCGTCCCTGGCCAACCTCGGCCCGGAGCCCGCCGGCGGCAAGGAGGCCGCGGAGAAGGAGGCCGACCGCATCTCCAAGACACCCGACCCGTTCCCCAACCCTAATACCGAGGCCCAGCGTCAGGGGCAGCGCGGTGGCACCAAGTTCAAGGACACGCCCGAAGGCCAGGCTGCGGCGGCGGCGGCCGACAAGGCCAAGAGCCCGTCGGCGGAACCTGCTGGTGGCAAGGAAGCTTCAGAGAAGGAGGCCGACAGGATCTCCAAGACTCCTGATCCGTTCCCCAACCCTAAGACTGAAGCGCAACGACAGGGGGACCGCGGCAGCACCAAGTTCAAGGACACGCCCCAGGGCGCAGCTGCCGCTGCCGCCGCCGCCGGCCGAGGCGGCCGCCAGTAAAGACTTTGTCTTGACCATGTATTTATGCGAAGATGTCTAGAATGTTCTCCTATCAATGTAGCTAGTAAGTTCGATACCCAGGCTGGAGGCTGGATACTCGGGCATTTGTCGCTAGACTCGTTTTGTTAGATTCGTTGCTCATTTAGATTTGAGGAAAATATCATTGGTATCTTAGAATTCAATTCGTGATCCTTGTGTCCAGAGAGACACTTTGGCCGAGTGGTTAAGGCGGTGCCCTGCTAACAACCCAGCTAGTAAGGCATTACGTTCGCGTGCGTAGGTTCGAATCCTGCAGGTGTCGTAGACTTTTTCTTTTTTGTCCACAGTGGTAGAGTACGGGATTGCAGCGAAGACATGGTATTTCACGAATCCTCTTTGGCAAGTTATCCTGAAGTCTCGGTTCGATCCCGGCTCTGAGGTTTGCATCTTCTCTTTTTTAAACAAATAAGCAACATGGCTCAGTGGAAGTGCGAGGGGCTCGTAACCCATAGGTCCACAGATCGAGACCAGGTGTTGCTATTGTCCATAGATTTTTTATACTTGCTTCAGTAACATTATCTCCTCTGTCGTATCCAACGTGCACATAAGCTACTGATCCTGTCCTTGGTGCAAGATATATACACCCATCATCTGTTGAATGCTGGGCCTCTGGCCGGTTGTCATGGTTTGTCCCATGCACCAAAGCTACTGGGCATGTAAGTGGACAGGAAAATTGTATGTATTTAACACGATTCATTATGCATACGAGTAGTGCATCAGTTTCCGAGAGCGCTGATTGCGGCGTGCAAGAGGGGTTCAGCCTCTCTGGCTCAGTCAGCATGGTACCTTCGTCTGTCTGGGGGCCATGCGTGCACCGCCAATTATTTGATCACCAAGACAAGCCTGGCGTCGCTTTGAATTTCTTTATGGAATTTCAGGGCCGTCTTTGAAATATCAGGTGCAAGCACACAAAACCGACGATTTGCCTTTCACTACCCACATGGAGACATTGCGTGATACCTGGCCGCGCGACAGCCGGCGAGCTGTGAAAGCCCTCAACATCATCATAGTCGGCGCGGGTATCGGCGGACTCACCTCTGCCATAGCTCTCGCGCAGACCGGCCACAATATTACCGTCCTTGAACGCGTCTCGGAAATTTCCGACATCGGTGCCGGTATCCAGATTGCACCCAACGCCTCGCGAATACTCCATAGACTGGGTGCGTTGCAGGGTGTGATGGAACGTGCCACTGTCCCGAGTAGTCTCAGCGTTAGGTATGCGTGCGTGCGTGCGTGTGATGCGATGAACGTTGAGCGACTCGCTGACTGGTCTAGGGGGTATGCGAGCGACGACGAGACGACGACCGTTCCGCTCATGCCTGAGACGGGGATCAAATACGGCGCGCCTATGAGCGTCATACATCGCGGAGACCTTCAGGGTGTTCTTTTGAGCAGAGCTTTGGACCTTGGCTGCCGCGTGTTAACCAATCACAAGGTCGTAGCCGTGGATCAGTCCTTTTCTGCGAGGGTGAAAGTCCGTATGGCTCCGACCGCTCGGGAGGCCTGGATGTGTGCGGACCTTGTCATCGCAGCAGACGGGGTGAAAAGTCGCGTCCGCCGACAAATGATGAACTCCAGAGGATGCAAGGACGAGCCTGTCCCGACAGGGGACGCCGCCTATCGTCTGCTGATTCCCCGAAGTCGAATTCTCAGGGACCCCCTGCTTCTCTCCATGATGGACCAGAACATCGTTGTGAGATACATGGGGCCAGGTGGGCATGTCGTAACCTACCCCGTGAGAAACGGCTCCTTTTATAATATTGTTCTCCTTCACCCGGCCAAAGAGGGGACTTTGTCTGACGATGCGTGGACATCCAAGGGCAGCCGAGACGACATGCTCCAATTCTACGCAGCGTGGTCACCAGTCATCCGAAGATGGCTGGCACATTCCGATGAGGATGTTCTGGAGTGGGTGCTCTACGTCTACCCCAGCCTGCCGACCTGGATCCAAGGCCCGGTGGCGCTGCTGGGCGACGCCTGCCACCCGATGCTCCCGTACGTCGCCCAGGGCGCCGCCAACGCCATCGAGGACGCCGCCGTGCTGGCCACCGCGCTGACCTGCACGCCCAACGTCCCGCTAGCCCTAAAGATGTACGAGGCCATTCGAAAGCCGCGCGCGGAGAGGATCGCGGCGGGTGCGACGGCCTCCGCCCGCGTCTTTCACCTGCCCGACGGTCCCGAACAGGTGGCCAGAGATAGATGGCCGGCCAACCCCGGCGCCGCGGCGCAGAACCCCGACAGGTTCAACAACCCGCAGTGGCAGGACTTCATGTGGGGAGTCGACGTCATGGAGGAGACGATGCGCTTGTGGGCGAGACTCGCCAAGGTGCTCCCATTGGAGACGTGTTACCCTCGCATACGAAAGGCGTACGCGTATACTCTGTACATGGACATTTCCCACGGCTGGCTGCTGAGCCAGCTACTACCTCGCCTAGGGGTCGGAATTTCTCGAAGATCCCACAAGATGCACATTCACATCGCCAAGGACATCGGGGATTCCTTGGCTCTTGTCCGGAGTACTGAATGCGGTTCGACACATGGCGCGAGGGGGCGGCGCATCTGCACCGTCCAGGAGACTCTCCTGCTCGAGTATGGTGCAGCCTTTACCAGGCGATGTAGAGCACCCTGGACGCCGCGGTCTTCGACTTCCCGGATTTTGACTTCTTCAGCGGCGCATCGCCAACCTGATATGTGACAGGGTCCCTGCTACTCACACTTTGCTCAGCCCACGAGTCATATTACGGAACGGGAGTAACTGACAACAAAGCCTCTGACTAAAACTTGCAAGTTCGTACAAGTTATAGAAAGTTTTCTGTGGAATTTTCTTTAGTTCTTCTGCAGTAACAATGCAAAAATAGTAGCCCATGATCTACTCCGGTCTACTTCCGAGGTTGACGGACCATCCAGTAGGTGTGGTATACCGCATCACGAAACGGGCGCAGATCCTGGTGCTTCTCCGCCAATTTCTTAAAGCCGTGCTTCAGGTATGCATCTCTCGCCTTCTCCCCCATCGCATAGATGGTGATAGGCACCTGGAGCTCATCCGCCTTCTCGCAGCCTGATCGCAGCAGCAGGGAACCGACGCCGCGTTTCTGGTGCGCCTGCTTGCAGCAGAGATACTCGAGGCCTACGCCAAAGCCACTACCGTCAGCAAAAGAAATCGAGTGTTTTGGAGATAGTATTGGGGGCCGGCCGACGTACTGATGACCGGGCCGGTCGGCGTGTAAGCCGCCCGCCAGGCAGAGACATGGTCGTCAGTGCCCAGGCCGTCCTCGACGAAGTGCCAGTAGGCGCCGTCAAACTGCGACTTCCAGCGAGACTCCTGCTCTGCGGAAACGCCGGGCGTCTGTGCCTCCGGCCAGTCCTCGGCGGTCGGCACGAACCACCGGGCGTAGCCGACGATCTCGCCGGTAGGCACATGGATGACCTTTTGGTGGCGGCGAATGTTCCTTCCGGTGAGCTGGTTGTAGGGCTCCCGGAGGATCATGGAGTCGGGAATGCTCTCGCTTCTATCGGCGGGGAACTCGCTGGTCCACCAGGGCTCCTGTGCAAAGGATTCGAACTTGGCCTGTGACAAGCCCACAGCATCATCGACAGTGCAGTTGGTGATGAGCTTGTATTCGTCTGCCATGGTAAAAGGACCGTCGCTGCATGCAATATCAAGTGTAGAATTATCGAGTCTCAATTGCATTGTACAGGGAGAATGAGGACCATTGGATCATTATAAGTGAGGCAAGCTAAAGGACAGGTGGTTTGTTGCTTCCAAGTCTCTCAGGTCTTGGTGCCAACGTGGCGGCGTTGAGGCTGTGAAGTGTATAGCACTAGCTCAGGCAGCGAAATTACCTGGTTCAATTATTAGTACCTCTAAAACGTTTTAAATCTAGCCGTGTGCATATGTGACTGGATAGACTTGGTAATCCGGTCACATTCTTGCATGTGTCATTTCCATGCCAGTCATGATGCGATAAAACAGCGCTTAGAGCCACAGAGTTGACAACCAGAATACTCTAGGAGTATACCTGGCTTAACACTTGCTCTGTCAGATGAAAACTATTCTACAGAGAGAGTCTGCTATATACATGTCAGTACTGCAGCCCTTGTCTTACCGAATGGCTCGGCAGGTGAAGTCCCGGGTAGCAGCCGTTGCACCAACCAGACTAGGTCTAATCCGACCAATCCGTACGCTTCTGGGCAGAACATGATGAGCTACTGAAGCATTTCAGGCGGCTTAAGGAAGCAAATGTTGCAACGATAGAAAACAATTGTCGTCCTCACCAGGAAGGGCTCCTCGACTCTCCAACTCCAACCGCAGTATAATCGCTAGTAAACACAGTGCGTATACAAGCCATATGCCATGAGTTCGCACTGTACAGGGCCCATGCCAGTCGTCCCCTCCCCATCATGTTGCCTCTCTCTCCACGACAAACGGACCTCCTTCAACAAATCGAACAAGCACAACCACCAACGCCCACCTTATCAATTACACGCCCCGAACAATTTATACAAGCCCATCCCGCATCAACACCCCTTCTTGCCTACACATGCTCATGTGGACGACAGCGAACCGCCGACATCCGAACCCCTATGCCAGTCGTGCAATGCATTGGACGCGAATGAGATGATGGCCGAGATCGCGAAAGGTGAGGGGGAGCCCAGATTTTCGTCTCGTGGGATAGACCATGATCTTGGGGTTTCATCTGTCGTCCCGGCTTCTGGAATACAGTTGGCGGAAGCTCCTGTAGCGGATAGGCCATCGGCCGATGTTGTCGCCGCATGGCTTCACATTCTGTTGGATCCAGACATGAACCGAGAGCCTGAGGAGTTCTACCTGGAGAGAAACATTCTTCGAAAATATAGAGAAGGCATCCCCGAGTACTCCACGGCCGCACGCCGCTGGCCCTTGTATGCTGTCGAGTACTGGGACACTGTTGGCCCGATTGTGAAGGAGCTATTTGCGCGCCACTTCAACTTCATGCAGTGGGCCCTCGAGTACGCTCGCGAAACCTATCCGGAAGTATATGGCCCTCAATCGCCATCGAACGACGCCATCCTCGATCTTACCGACGTTTTGTATGATGGCACGTTTTCTCCGCTCCATATCAGTGCAGCCCTGGGGCTCGAGCAGCTGTGCCTGGAGTTGATGGAGAAGCCTGAAGTACCGGGCGCCATGTTCCGGGAGCGCGCTGCCTCGCCTCTGTTCTGCTCTCTCGCCGGGTCTCAGATATTCACTTGCCGAACACACATGGCCAAATGGCACCAAGTGATCCACCAGCCCTTTCCGGAGCTGCGCTCTCGTCTGCCGGTCATCCGGAGGCTTTTGGAGCTGCATCGCCAGAAACGAATTGTCTACGAGTCGACTGGCCGGAAGGGGCGCTTGTTGGTGTTTCTCGCATTCCGCGCCACCGTCTTGACAGGAGAGTACAGCATTTTGAAATCTGTATTGCAGGATGGCGGCGACGTCAGGGCTGTCATTGACCTGATCAACGACGACGAGTTTTCGTACTACCAGCCTGCCGACCCAACAATCACGTCCAAGGTCCTGAGCAGCATCCTCGACTTGGTCCTTGCGCCGTCCAAGCTCAATTTAATCGAGCGGGACAGACAGGCCCTTATCGACGCTATTCAGGACGCGTTTCTGCTCAATGCAGGCGCCCGTGTCACTTCTGGCCAGGTGGATATCACAGATGCTGAGTTCCAGGAAGCGCTCAAGGATGCTTTTCTAGACGACAGTATCATCTGCTTCCGCCGCCTCATTCACCACCCCAGCTTCGACCCGAACGCCCCATCTCCGACCGGGCTAGCTGACGGCACCATACTGCACCATGCTGTGTGCGATGGCCTTGTCGAGTTTGCCGATGTCATTGTCGAATGTGGCGGGAATTTAGACGCGCGGGACCACATGGGCCGCACCCCGCTTCTCCTATGCAACGACACGGAAACGCTGGCCATGCTTGTCAAGGAGCACGGGGCCAAGACGACGGCGGTAGATCACCAGGGCCGCAACATCTGGCATTATGCCGCGTCTACCAATGACATTCCCATGCTCATGTGGCTAGCAGGACATGATTCCTACAAGCACGAAAATCTCAGGGCCAGGACGAAGCAAGATGCTACGCCCATGGACCTAGCCTTGAAGAGTGGTCTGAAGTCTCTTGACGCCAACAACAAAATACGACTCGATGCCACAATCGTTCTGCAAGTTCTACTGAGCAACGGCGCTCCGCATGCCGACGAAGTCGAGGGCATGCGTGCCGAGTTGGCCATATCGAAGATTCTTAAGAGCCAGCCACGCCCAGGAGGGGAAAGTTTCGGCACAATGGGGAATATGTTTCGTGATAACCTTGCATAGCGTTTGTATTCGTGTATGTAGCGTGTATCTGACAAGTCTTGCGTCTAAGTAAAAATTGATCAACAGCGACAACCTTATCCAAGTCAACTCAGGACTTATCATTACACATGCTGTGTACTTCGTTTATGGGGGCTTGATGGGTCATGTATTTTATTCATATGGATCTAACTAAGTGATTCGTATATTAAGCGAGCTCCCGGCTCAATGGAATGCGTCTTGCGCCACGGTTACTTGGGCGCCACGAAGGGAGTCTCGTATGGCGGCTCGGCCTGCGGCGTCAGACGCGCCAGATGGCGGCGCTGGCCGTTCTCCCAGTCGACCAGCGCAGTGTGCTGCGTCACGCGGTTATCCCAGACGACCACGGTGCCCTCCTCCCACTTGACGCGGGCCTGGAAGTCGGCGCCGTACGCGAGGTGGTCGTACAGGAACTTGAGCAGCGTGTCGGACTCTTCCTTTTTGAGGCCGACAATATCACGGGTGACTATGAACGTTGGTTAGTTCGTTTCCCATCATGCCGAGATGCAATCAAGTAAAGACTCACACTGGGGGTTCACGTAGAGGGCCTTTTCGCCGGTGGCCGGGTGGGTGCGGACGATCGGGTGGTCGTTGACGACCGGCTCCCGACGCTTGATGCTGTTCCGCGCCGCGGCCGCGTTGACCTGCTCGATGCCCGAGTGCGTCGCGCGCAGCCCGTGCAGGCGCTCCTGGAACAGCGGGCTCAGCCGTCTGTACGCCTGCGCCGAGTCCACGAACAGCGTGTCACCACCCGTCTCCGGCCGGTCTAGGATGTACAGGAACGTGGTCCCGGGGGGCTGCTTCTCGTACGAGACGTCCGAGTGCCAGGCGACGGAGCTGGTGCGCGCCTTGAAGTACGCCTCGTGGCCGCGATCGCCGGCGCCGCGGTGCACCAGGTGGATCTCCGGATGGCCCTCCGGCGCGCCCGACGTCGGGTGGATGTGGTGCCGGCCAAAGTACTCCCCGTACGCGAGCGCGTCCGGGATGGACAGGTCCGCAAAGTCTTGCCCGCGAAAGGCGACGACCTTGCGCGTGGCGACAAAGTGGGCGAGCTCGTCCTTGCCGGCGTCGGAGAGGGCGGAGAGTTGCACGCCGCGCACCTCGCTGCCGATGGACGGCGTCAGGTCGGTGACGGAGGCGGCGCCGGGGGGGAGCAGGTTCGGGTAGGAGGTGTCGGCGTCCTTGCCGTGCTCGTAGTGCTCGTAGGGCTCCAAGGGAGGCCAGGACTGCGTGCGGTCCCAGGTCGGGAGGTAGTGAGGGTACTGTTGATGTTCGTGTTAGTTGGGTGATACCCGGGGGGGGGTCTTGCCTTGCTCGGCCTCCTTGTCTACGAAGACGGCATCAATCTCCTTGTACTGGCCAAGATGCAGTTTGTAGTGCTGCGGTTGCTTCTGGTCGGCGACGCTCTGGGTTTCCGTCACAGAGGGAGCCATGGTTGCGATTTGTATGTGTATGTTGATCTAGGTAACAAAACAAGACAAAGAGTTTCATCGATAGCTATGGGAGAGTAAAGCTTATTATATACATGCCTTTCTTTCCAGCCAAACATCCTAAACCCGGACCACATCCCCCTCCCCCGCAATGGCATGCGTCTCGCACGCGATTGCGAAATCGCCCATGATCGACCAAGACATACCACGCTGCATTGCATTACATGATGTAAGCAAACCCCTCTCTCCGATTGATTAGAAACGCACTGATTCCGGTAGCGTTCCTAGCGGGCTCGTTCCCCCGTGTTTTGGGTTGCTGTGTGGGTTGGTTGATGTTATCCCTAGAGTCAATCACGCCATCTAGGCCGGGCTGTGACAGTGGTATGACGAAGGCTGCGGGATGACACCACTGCCGCCCGGGTATCGTTGCAAAGCACGCAATTCACACTGGATGAATCGCGGGAGCCTATCCCCCTTCTTTAAATGCAGATTGGCTATAATTAGTGCTGTGGTTGGGGCGGTTGGATGGGTTGCGTTTGGGGCCAATTTGTTATGGTGCTTTGAGAGCTTGCCTACACGCAGGCAAAGCCTATAAATAAAAAACCAGGTCAATCCATTTTTCTTTGATTTGCTTAGGCTTTGGTATGTGGTTAGGGGAATACTTTATTCTCTCCCGGCTCTTCTATCTCATAGGTGGGATAGTAAGCCCATCTACGGATTAGCAGGCTGTCTGCACACATACTTTCTAGTCCGACCAGTATGTCGCGATATCTGTTGAACAACGAGCACTACCGCTCGCGACCGGATCTTGAGGGAGAGGAGCTATTCTATGCTGAGTGCAGCAGAGGCAGTGAGGTAACAGCAATGCAATACGCAATCGATCCTAGGTGCCCAGGGACCGCAAGCACAGCCGACAGTCAGTGACCAACGACGACCAGGGTCGCAGGCCGGTCCGACGTCGGCAAGATACTGTCAAGGTGTATTTACATACTTTGATATCTTTGGCGAGCATGTTTCGGGCCCTTGGCCAGAGCGTGGCTGGGTACGGCCGCGTGGGCGGCCGAAGTCAACCACGACACAAGCCCGGACTTGCAGAAGGGATCAACAGCTAATACAACGGCCACGCCTTTTCTGTGGATTCGCTTCGAGATCGTAACATCATCAAGTTCAACGGACTTAAAAGCGCGCCTGTCAGTGTCACGGCCAACGGAGACGCCTACCTTGTCTTCACCACCATCACCGCCCAGTTCAGAGAAAGGGGCCTGAAGTCTCGCGATGACGGTCAAATAGAAGAACATCGCCTATGATAAAATTTTCTGTCGAATATCCAATCATGTCTTTTGGACCATTCGGCCACTGCCGGTGGTCTCTGTGCCACCCAGGATGGGAGGCAGGGGTCCCTTTGGGAAGCGCCAGAACACTGCCTCGTTCTTGGGCTGGGTGAAGGCAAGCAACCCACCCTGCCCACGGGGTCTTTCAATGAGCAAGGCAGCTGTGCGGCGATGTAATGGATGGATCCCGATACAAGCTCGAGGAACCGCGTATAAAAGTGGCGCGACACCGTTGTTTCGCCCCTATGGCCTAGACGAGGAGTGAGCATGCTGGAACACATGAACGGCGGGAACCGGGGGGGTGTTTCGACGAAATTCTCGTAGCCGCGCCAAAACACCGCGGCAGAGCTGCTGCCGTCGGTCATGTCAGATAGCTGTGGTCTGGCAAGGGTTCGCGAAGAACTTGCCGCCGTCCAGTAAGGAAAAGGTTGGAACACCATCTATGACCTGCGCAAACGTGGTATTGGCAGCGTTTGTATCGCAAATTCTGTCTCTTGTGTGGCGCAAAGTATCTCGGTGTCGCTGTGTGGGTGTGCAAACGCAGCCATTGGGTCGCGTTGCTGCGTCTATGGCATGGGAGGCGGATGCAAATGTGAGGGAGGAGACGCAGACGAAAAGTCTAAAATCTTCTCAAATCGAGTGACCGATCGAAAAGAAAATCCTGCAAATGAACGGTAGTCTCGTCCTCGAGTCGTTTTGTTTATGTTGGAAGAGAGAAAAACTGCCGGGCCAGGCAGGTCGAGCCCCTCTTCGGTCTTGTTGGTGATGCGTTGTCCGATGGACTAAACGTCAGGCCTGCCATAAACCACCCTGCGTGACTCGACTCACTGGGACAGAATATTATGGAATTTAAATGAAAATTTTCCTCGGTCACGGTGAGGTAACAAAGCTACTTTTTGAAGTTGCCTCAAGTCAGTGATATCCGTACAATCTTCAACTTTTCAGGCTAAGTCAGCAAACTTCGTTGAGGCATGCGCAGTATGTATGTAAGCACTGGGTTGCACTGCGGTGGCAACAGGAATTCATTATGTCTCTGTGCCATAGCTGCGACTGTGCCAAGGAAAGCCAGTCCTATCTGCGCGATCGCCAAGTACATTCCCTCTTTTCGCCAAGCGACGAGGCTCTCGCGTGGCAATTCCCTGATCTGCATGTAGCTGCAGAATTGGACGTGCTCATTTCCAGAACCCCTGCTGGGGTCTGCTGGGGTCTGCTGCTAATAATACACTGTCACAAGCACGATAATTCGATCAGCTGTTGAGAGCAGAGGTTCCCCTGGTGCGGGCGGTAAGGGCGCTTGCGATCAGAGCATGCAAGGATGGGTACGAGTACAGGAATGAGAGACAGAGAGCCGTTTTACGGAAGCGCGAAGAGGGATCACGAGCCATGAATGGAAATCGCCTTGGATAATTCGCGGTTCCGGGTCGGCCTGCCCAAATCTAGGCATGGCCGAGCTCCTCTCTTGTCACTGGATGGCGGGCAGCCGATTCGTCTTGGGAAAGTGTTGGCGTGTCAAGATAGAACTTTGGGTTAGATTAACACCGGTGACTGGCGTGCTTGGTGTCGAGATGTTTGTCGGCTTTTACTTCGACCAGTAATGCTGCTCCTGTTTGCTTGACCCTGCACAGCCAAGGCGGGCGATCGAATGACCTTGTTGTTCCTGACAAGTCTTCACTTGCGGGAATAACTTGTCCTTCGCCAAATGTCTGGGCATCGCCAAGTATCCCTTTTCTCCTTGCCAAGCATTTGATTAAAAAGGCGGCGACATATTGGCAACGGGCAAGAGGTCCCGTAATAGCTGAAAAAAATGTCGATGGGACCATGTGGGTAGCTACAAACGAGGAAGACCACACTTTTATAAGGTTGAGGCTTGAATAGCGTTGATTATTCGTTAGGATGGGTCGTTTTCTGCTCACCTAACACAATTATCAACCAATATTCTGTTGAAGAATATTTTATCCGCACTTCTTCGGGAGGGCACGGAGCATAATAGGGGATGGAAACAATATTGGCAGGTAACTGGGGTGTTGCTACCCGCCACTTTGGGGGCCGAGGGCCAAGGATGCAACTTGGCGAAGCGGGCGAGATAGCAAAGAAATGTGAGGATGCCCAGCCGATCTGCTTGGCAGCGACGTACAACGCGTGCGTAATTCCGGTCGCGGATCCCGCCTCGTCTGGGCATCGTTCTGTATCCGGATGGGTGTGCTGACGCCGGTCGACCTTGGCATCTCCCAAATCAAATCAAATCCTGGGGTTCTTTCCGTCGATTCGACAAGTCAATCGGGGGCCAGATGGTTCCTCGTCGCTGGCCTACGCGCTTCAGAGCTGACAAGAAGCAGGCGCCCAAGAACCCCCCGTTGTTGGCCTTGGATGCGACGGCACCAGTTTCGGTTTCCGAAGGTGTAGCCTCTCCTCCTCTCGCTTTTGTCCCTCTCCTCTCGGCCGCTTCTGCTCGCTCCATGGGGCAGGTCGACCCGGCCCACCACACACCACCCACAACCCGTGGAGCCGTTTGACATGGGCGACGGCGGTTGAGCAAAATAGTAGTTAGCTGCTAGCGCTTGGTGAGTTTGATGAGGCGGTGGAGTTGGGGGTAGAGATCAAGAGGAAAATTCTTGCCATGATTATTGAATTGCAGGAAACGGCACAGACGGCACAGAAAATCGGTCTTTGTGGCTTGACTATGCGTTTGCTGAGTGGTGGATGGAAGGTACAATGTACGGAGAAACAAACGCACGCAAGCCCAGGCTCCACCTCGCTCCTTATCAGATGATCAAGATAAAATTTCGCAGGATCTGATAAGAAAGTTTTACCTGCTAGCATCATAGCTGCTAGGTGCAACGGAAAGGGCAAGACAGTGCAAGGAACACCTCCGAGGCCCGTGTTCCATTAAACATTGATCCAGAACCATCTCCAGCTGCCGCTGTTCGGACATTATCGGCAGCTCCTGCTGCTCCTCTCCTCACAGGGTAAGGATCATAGCTTGGGAATAGTGCACTATTCCACACCATGGATGTGACGCCCCTCTCTTTGGAGCCCGCAGGTGGATCTAATCAGTTTGAATCCAGGCTCATCACCCTTCATGCATGTGGCAATAGTTAGCTAGTCTTGCACCCCCGTCGACCGGCGACTCAGCTCCAACGCCTCCGCTTCCCTCTTGGTCGCCTCGGGATACCCAGCTGAATTTCACGCAACCGCACCACCGCACCCGTAATCATAGCGTCACATTGTGATCCGGCTAGTCGGAAACGGGCACGGCCACCAAAGGAAAAAGCTTTTTCTTTCTATGCTTCTTTTGTCTCTAGTCGTCCCCGACCGATACCGCACATAAAAATACTGCTCGCCCATCATGCAGCGTGGTTCGGGTTCTCGTTCACTGCATCCTTCTCCGCAGCAGAAAGGAACGACTGCCGCCACCAGCGACGACGTCCACGCGCATCTGCTATCAAACGCGGCACCTATCAGCCACGACGACAACTCAGCCAGCAGCAGCAGCAACAAGAATAGAATGTCGGCCCCTCGCGCTTCCGCTGCCGAGCCCGGCTACGGCACCGTCAAGCAGGGCGACGTCGAGCGTGCAAAGCCGTCCTCGGACGAGGATATTCGCGAGCTTCAAGATGACGGCCCCGCGTCCGAGACGAGCTCCGTCCACGTGCAGGATGGTGTCAAGCGCGTCGAGGCCATCACCATGGTGTGGTCCAAGAATACCATGATTGTCATGTTTATTCTGTAAGGGAAAACTGCTCTGTTCTCCTGCCACACGGCGTGCCAGGAAGGAAACGACTACGAACCAAGACTAACAAACCCCTCCAAGTCTCTATCTCGTCAGCTTCGTCGACACCCTGCTCCAGAGCGTCCAGGGCGCGCTCACCCCGTACGTCACCTCCAACTTCAAGGTGCACGGCCTGCTCGGCGTTACCGACATCCTCGCCTTCATCCTCGGCGGCGTCTGCAACCTGGCCATTGCCAAGGTCATCGACATCTGGGGCCGCGCAGAGGGCTTTGCCGTCATGATCGTCTTCATCATCGTCGGCATGATCATGAAGGCTGCCTGCATCAACGTCGAGATGTTCGCCGCCGCCAACACCATCTACTGGGTCGGCCACATCGGCATGCAGTACTGCATCCAGATCATCTACGCCGACATGACCACCATGCGCAACAGGATGCTGCTCTTTGGTCTGCTGCAGCTCCCCACCATCGCGGCGACGTTTGGCGGACCCCAGATCGCGCAGCTCTTCTACGAGCACTCCAACTTTCGCTGGGCGTTTGGCGCCTTCACCATCATCATGCCCGTCTTTGCGGCGCCTGTGATGGTCGTCTTCTGGTGGAGTCAGCGCAAGGCCAGGCGCGAGGGCAAGTTACCGGAGCGTGTCAAGACGCGTACAGCCTTGGAGTCGATCAAGTACTACGCCATTGAGTTTGATGGTGAGTGAAGCCGTCTCCCATATATCATCTCAGCCACTAACCAGAATTTAGTTGTTGGCATGTTCCTTACCATCTTTGGCTGGGTCCTGCTGCTTCTCCCCTTCAGCCTGGTCAACTACGCTCCTCAGGGCTGGAAGTCTGGCTACATCATCGCCATGATTGTCGTCGGTGTTGTTCTGCTCGCCGCGTTTGTCTTCTGGGAGAAGTACTTTGCTACCGTCCATTACTTTCCCTTCAAGCACCTCAAGGACAGGAGCATTCTTGGTGCCTGTCTGCTCTACGGCATCATGTTCCTTTCCATCTTCACCTGGGACACTTACTACTACTCCTACCTTCAGGTTGTCAACAACCTTAGCATCTCCAACGCCAGCTACGTTCTCAACGCCTTCTCGCTCATGGGAGCCATCACTGGTCCCCTGACCGGAGTGTAAGTACTCATCACTACCCTCACCCACTCCTCGATCGTTCTTCTCATACCCAACGCTAGCCTCATCCGATACCACGGGTACTACAAGTGGCCGTCCATCGCCATGACGCCCTTTGCCGTGCTCGGCACCGCGCTCCTCGTCTACTTCCGCACCCCCTCCTCGCACGTCGGCTACCTCGTCATGTGCCAGCTCTTCAACGGCATCTACAGCGGCGTCTGGGCCGCCACCTCGCAGCTCAGCGTCATGGCCAACGTCACCCACCAGGAGACGGCCGTCGCCATCGCCCTCTACAGCCTGTTCGGCTCCATTGGCGCTGCCATCGGCCAGGCCATCGCCGGCGGCCTCTGGACCAACATCCTGCCCAAGCAGCTCTACCAGAACCTGCCCGACGAGCTCAAGGCTAACGCCACCGACATCTACGCCGACCTCACGGTCCAGCTCAGCTTCCCGCTCGGTAGCCCGGCCCGCGACGCCATCATCCTCTCCTACGGCCACGTCCAGAGACTCATGGTCATTGTTGGATGCTGCTTCCTGCCGCTCTGCCTGGCCTGCCTGTTCATGTGGAAGAACCTGAACGTGAAGGACATGGAGTCCAAGGAGCGCCGCAAGAAGGGCAACGTCTTTTAATTCTTTGGCCGGAGCGTTTTACATGCATACCATAGCTTGGTGTATTCCCCTTCTCTCTGTGGGGGGATTGCATCCCGATTCCCAATATATTCTCAGTTCTAATCCTCACACTCTTTGTTACTCACAGCGATCCCACTCTATCCTGCATCTGTACCCCCTCCTGTCGGTGTAGGTAGTACCAGGGGGCAGACGGCATGTGCCGGACACCCGCGGCCCCCCGCCCCGGCTGAGCTGCATCAAGACGCACCACCTGCATCTGTAAGATATCTTTTATCGAGATGCGTCGCTCCTCCCCGCACCTTAGGAATCTAGACCGATGCCAGGCAAATGCCGAAGTGGCAGATGAACCAGTAATTTTCTCCCTGCAGTTAGGGGAGATTCGGCGCATGTTTGATTGGCCGTAATTCCGCATCCGCTCCCTGATAAAGGTGTGTCGTTCCCAGCCTTTAGTCTCGATCAGCGGAATACCCAAGCAAAGCTCTTTTGCACCATACTTGTTTCGTCTACCGCAGCCTTTTGTGAAATTTTCGGCATGCCCACCCCAGAGGCTGCCAGCGTCCGCGACGGCGACTCCCCGTCAGCAAGAGTCACCTTCGAGGAGTACACGTACTGGGCCAAGATCACGCGCGGCGAGGAGGAAGTCAAGGCGCGCCAGTCAACCCTTGATGTCGCGACGGCCGGTGCGGTGACGGGAGGCGCGGACGAAAAGCACAAGGAAGCTTCCGTTCAGCAGTCCGAGGCAGAGGCGCCCAAAGCGGCCGACGCCGCAGCGCCCCAGGAAGAGGAGGGTAGTGTGCAGGTTGAGCGCGGCCGACCCCGGACGACAGGCTGGATCGCCGTCTTCTTCCTCATCACGACAGACATCCTTGGGCCAATGAGCACGCCGTGGGCCTTTGCGCAGACGGGGTACGGTCCGGGTGTTGCCCTGTTCACTGTCTTTGGCGCCCTCGCCGCCTAGTTGAGTTTAATCCCCATCCCCTCCCACCATTTCTTCTCTACCTATTTGTACTGCGCAAAGTCTTTCTGCTAACCTCTGTCTGCATCTCTTCCCTTAGCTCCGGTTACATCCTCTGGGATTTGTACCTCGGCCTCGACTCGGACCGGTACCCGCTGCTCACCCTCGGCGACGTCTTTGACCGGCTGTTCGGGGCCGTGCCGCGGCGCCTGATGAACGGCATGCTGGCCCTGCAGATGCTGCTGTTCGTGTCGCACGTGATCCTGGAGAGCGGGCAGGGCATCTCGCAGATCTCGCAGGGTGCCGAAGGCAACCGCGGTGATGGCTTGTGCTTCATCGTGTGCATGCTGCTGTACGCGGTCGTGGGCCTTGCAGTGAGCCAAATCAAGTCGCTGCGTGGCGTGGCGTGGCTGTCCAATGCGGCCGTGTGGGTGAACATCGTGAGCTTGTCGATCTGGCACGTACTAGACTACACAGATCCCCCAAAGCACTGTTTGCCCGCTTTCCCTTCTAACCAAGTGTTGTGTATCTTAGCCTGGGGGTCGTCGTCTACTACCCGCCCAACTTCAAGGCGACGCAGGCATCGTATGGCGCGGCGTTTGGTCCGGGCCCGATCCGGACATTCGCCGGGTCGCCGCCGGCGGGCTTAGCCAGCGGGGGCACGGGCTTCGTGGCGGCGCTCAACGGCCTCAACATGGCCGTGTACGCGTACGGCGGGTGCATGGCCTTCATCGCCTTCCTGGCCGAGATGCGGCACCCGCTCGAATTTTGGAAATCGCTGCTCTGCGGGCAAGTCTTCATCTACGCGCTGTACCTCTTCTTCGGCATGTTTATATACGCGCACCAGGGCCAGTTCGCCTTCAACCCCGTCATGCAGGGCCTGTCTCCGTACGGGTTCCAGACAGCGACCAACGTGATGTTTTTGTTCAGCGGGCTCATAGCGTCGACGCTGTACAGCAACGTCGGCTTCAAGTCCGTATACTCCGATCTGTTCGAGGGCCCGCTCGGCTTCCCGCCGCTCAACGGGGGCCGCCGCGGCCGGCTGGCGTGGGCGGCGTGCATGCTGCTGTTCTGGGGCATCGCGTTCGTGCTGGCGGCGGCGGTGCCGCACCTCTCGTTCGTGACTGGGTTCGTGGGCGCGCTGCTCATCCTGACGCTCACGTACACGGCGCCGGCGGTGGTGTCGCTCGCGTTCCGGCTCCAGAGCGACGCGCTCGCGGAGGGCGAGGCCAGCTTCGACCCTACGACGCGGAGGGCGGTCGCGCGCGTGGACGCGGGATGGGCGCGGTACTGGCGGGCGTACAAGAAGAGGCCCTGGCTCAACAGCTTCAACGTGCTGTACGCGGTGGGCGGCTTGGTGACGACTGGCCTGGGTGTGTACTCATCGGTGAACGGGTTGATTGCGGCATTTGGGGGGAAGAGTGTTGCTACGAGTTTTGGGTGCAAGCCGCCAGTGTGATGGAGAGCCTATCTATGCAGGGTTTGTGAGGTGATTGGTGATTGATGATTGAAAGGTCGAGCAAGCAAGGACACCTCCTTCTCAACAAGGAGCTGCTTACTAATAAGGCATGTTTGGGGCTGGGGTTGGGGTTGGATGCACGGGCCAGCCACGGCGTTCTATTTTTAACATACACAAAGTGCTTCCTCTGATTCATTCTTGCCCCCATTCGCCGTTCTTGCAACAATCTTGCGTCATATCCCGTGTTCGTCCTCGTCTCTGGATCGATATGTTTTTCGCCTCTGATTGCGTGTCCACCGCTCTCGGAGTTGATGCACCAAGACATCGAACAGCAATGCATCCGGAACAGGGGAGGGCGATCGGCGCTAGGGCGAGACCAGACTGAGTCAAGATCAGACTGGCGAAGCACCACATTAGCCTCTGGTCGGATCCGGAGATGGAAAGGATATGCCAGGCAAAAGTGCCACAAGCCAGTACTACTCTCAGGGGCGGCTCTGGATATTTGGAAAGGGAGACCTACGCCGACTGCCAACTGGTAATGAACTGTCATCCTTTTCTTTTGCACGAGTTGCGCTTTCTTGTTTACAAGGGCTAATGTCGGAGAGTCTAGATTTTGCCGATCCAACCCCCTCGTTTTGCTTGTCCCATTGCAAGCATAGAACTTTTGAGAAAATTCTTGGACAGGATCAATTTTTGGAAAACAAATTGCTGGAGAAAAAACTCAATTCTACTCCGGATACTCTCTGACTGTAATTATGACGACACGGGCGCATTTCCGTTGCTCTCACTATCCAAAAGCGGAAGTGCGCACCGTCGAACCACCAGCTAACTGCCCAGCTGTTAGTTGCCTGCAACCCGCCAACCAGCAACTACCGTGTTCATGCATCAAAGGGATAGTGAATGCAACGCATCTGCAGACGGACTTCTGACAGGAGGGAGGAGCCAAGTACAATATGAAAACGTGGGAGGCCCAAAGTCGAACGTGGTGTGGGCGAGTGAGTGAAACATGTACTGGTACGTGTGCCTGCTCGCGCTGCTCTCTCCTTTTATCCGTCACCGTCTCACCAAATATTCTAGGATTGCAATCCAATGTTTCTCTATTATGAGCTGCATGCACGTCTCGATTCACTGACGAGACATCAGCAAGTACCGAGCCCCTGTGCATAGTGCATTTCAATGCTCACGCGAGCACATCCTCATGCATCGTGACTCGCCAAGACTTATGCTCAACGTCTCGGAAGACTCTATACCATCCCAACTTTCATGCAGTCCACAGCTGAAATGTTTATCAGCTGTCAAATACTTCCTCGCAAAGGGTGAACCCGGCAAACCGGAAACAATGACTGTGTCATCCAGCTTCTGGCTATAGCTGACATCAACCCAACTACACGGATTACCTCGTAAACCCACACTCATTCCGTGAGGGTGTCTGGCCATGCCAGAGAAGAGAAACCAACCAAAAAGCTTACCAGTAGACTAGTGAGTGAAAAGACCGGACTATTGTGCACGCTCTTGTTTTTCCCTTTTGTTGTTTGCGCCACTCGAGACACCAGAGACACTACCTGGTACGCACCCGTCGATCTCTCCCTTGCGTGGCGCCATCAATGCTAGGCTAGGCCGGTAACAGCCTAACAGATCTTCATCGTTTTCCGGGGCGACGCGAGAGCCCATACCCAGTCCAGTGAGACTGAGGTAGACAGAATGTCCAAGCAAGCTGTGCTCCAAAAGAGCTATATAAAGCCCATTCCTTTCCCTCCCTGCCATCCGTAGCAAGCCTTCCTTTTTTCTCTCTTCCAAAGTTTTTCTCTCTGACCTCAGACAATCGTTTAACATTCTACTTCTTCAAACACCACATACATACATCATCATGAAGTACTCTGCTGTCATCCTCGGCCTCGCCGCCACCACCGCCGTCGCCCAGGAGAACCCGCTCTCCAGCATCGTTTCCGGTCTTAGCAGCCTCATCCCCACCCCGACCGGCGGCATCCTCTCCTCTGCCAGCGACATCGTCTCCAGCATCCGCTCCGGCGGTGAGAGCAGCAGCGCCACGACCTCTGGAGGCTCTGAAACGTCCAGCAGTGCGACCTCGGGCTCCGCCACGTCCGTGACGACCTCGGCCACCTCCGGCACCCACAGCGGCACCAGCAGCAAGAGCGGTTCCAGCTCCGGCTCCGCCACGACCAGCGGCAACGGCGCCTCCGCCACCAGCTCCCGGAACGCCGCCCCCACCAACGCCGCCAAGTACCTGGCCCCTGTCGCCGGTCTTGCCGCGGCCGTTGCGCTGCTGTAGGAAGAGGAAATACGAAGCAAAGTTTCTGTCAATTCTCGAATGGAACCGGTTCTGTCTTTTGCGGTTGTTTCTTTGGGGGCACAGTGTGCCAATTACACGATGCAGACTCAAAAGCTCAATAGTAATCTAATAAAGAAAAATTTCACAGATTTGTCCCGTTAGCCTTGCTCATCAACATCCTGTAACTGGTGTTTCAATTGGGGTGTGATTTCAGTCTAGGCCAGATTATAATTGTAGTCTTTGTTTTCGTTTAAGCTGTTGTTCGCCCCGTGAAAATACTCGCGCCATAAAGCCTCGTCCCGGCCCGATTAGGCAGTTGCCGAACCAAAGGCATGACTCAACCGAAATGACTCCCAGCTAACGAGTCACAATGTAAAGAATAAAAACCGACCGAGGGTCCTCTGAGGAAAAGAGACGAGAGAAAGACACGCATTATCCCGTCTCATCGTGCAACGCACACGATCCCCTGCATCGCCAAGCCGGGCCATCTCGAGATCGACGTCTCCCCCCCACAACCACGATGGGTTGCACATCGTCAAAACTCGCCGACCCTTCAGCCGATGACCACCCAGCCGCTACTCTTTCTAAGCGCCTGGACGAAATCGGCGAGGCGACGGAGTTGGAATGGGCCTGCCGGCCAACATGGGGCCAGTACATGGCCTACCTCTACGAGCAGGCCAAGTCCGCCGGTGGCAGCACCAAGAAGCTCCGCGCAAACTTTGAGCAGGTCGTCAACGCCACCGCGCTCGACTTTTTGAAGACGGAGTACCCGGAGTCCGCCGCGGCCGGCACCACCGAGGACCTGCACTACGACGAGGGTCCGTACGGCAGCGGCGAAGCGGCGGTGGTGCGGACGAAGCTGTGGTTGACGCTGGACGAAGGCTTCAACGGCATCGCGTACGCGTACACGCTGGTGGTGCACAGCCCGATGGCGTGGCAGAGCGTCGCCGACGCTGACGGGGCCGGGCTGCCGGCGCGCGTCGCGGCGTCGCCGCAGATGAAGCTCGCGCAGCGGTACATGTCCTCCATTGTCGGCACGATGGACAAGCAGCAGGGCGCCAATGTCAGACACGCCATCATCAACATCGTCATTGGCTCAGTGATGGTCTCCGCGCGCTACAAGCCTCACAACGTGACCCCCAGCCTCGCCCTGATCAGCGAGAACGACGGCCCGGAGCTCCGGCAGCCGACCGACGTGGAAAAGACAGAGCCGTCGTCCCATCCGCAGCGGCTCTTCCGATCGCACCTGTTCGTGTCCGTGCTCGCGACCCTCGAGGCGGACTACCCAGGCTGCACCGTCTGGGACGCCGGCGCGATGCCCTTCCGCGTCGACGAGCAGCCGTACGCGCATCCCGCGCGCCTGCTCGTCTGCCGCGACTACGAGAAGCGCAACAAGGACGTGGACACGCTCGACTTCAAAGTCGAGCGCCCCGACGACGACTCCACCGTCGCGACGCTCGTCCGCGCGCGCGACCCCGCGGAGGACCCCGGCGGCGTCATCTGCCTCGCCGTCGTCATCACCGTCGACCCGGAGGACCCGTGGCCGCGGCGCGATCATGACCGGCACCGCGCCGTCATCGACGCCGCGCTCGAGCACGCCTCCAAGCACGGCCTGCTGATGGCGCTGCTGCGCGGCTTCGACGCGCGCTGCGCGCTGCGCGTCTGGGCCGGCCAGGACTCGCGCCGCTACACGCTCGTCGCGCCGCACCCCAAGGGCAGCACCGCCGAGCACGCGCGCCAGTTCTCCGAGCTCGTCTTTGGCGGGCCCATCGAGCCGCCGCTGCGCCCCCCCGAGCCCGCGGCGGACGTGGCGGGCCTGGAGGAGGAGTTTGGCGTCAAGGTGTCGCGGAAGCAGGGGCACCGCCTGTGGGCGTCGGAGAGCCAGTTCCGGGGCGCGCGGCACGCGATGCGGGAGCGCGCCAAGGCCGACCCGGCGCGCTACGAGCAGTTCAGCATCCTCGCGGGCTACGAGAGCGCGGCGACGTTCATGGCGCGCAACTTCGGCGACGCCGTGGTCGGCGACGAGGGGGAGCTGCCGCAGCCGGAAGGCGTGGCCAGGTTGGAGAACACAAAGGTGCTGGTGGCGAGGGATCCGCGGCAGGAGCCGAGCAGCGTGGTCGCGGTGCTGGTGGCCGCGCCGTGCCCGGTGCCGGGGCGCGGCACCATGTTTGAGGGCGGGGGAAGTACGTGGCTCGCGACGCCCGAGATGAAGCGCGCCGAGGAGGCCCTGCTGGCGCTGCTGAAGCGGTGGCACAAGCAGGGCAAGGTATCGACGGTGGACTGCTTCGCGCAGGTAATGATGGGCGTGGACGCCAGCATCTACCAGTTCGTCGATGGTGACAAGTTCGTCGACTACTCGGAAGAGCGCATGAAGCAGCTGCAGTGGCAGTGAGAGATTGGTGTAGGTGGACGAGGACGCGCAAATGTGGCCGATCAAGTGGTATTTATATGTTCTTTATGTATGGTAATTCGTAATGTATTCTATGACCGGGTCTTGCAATATTGAGCAGCTTAAAGCTGGTCAACCAGCTTGTGCCACACATGGTCAATGTTGGAACCGTAGTAATCCGGCGACGTCTGTGAACAATACAGTTAGCTTTACTCAGTGATACCAAACGTTCTCATTCATCCGAAATTACATACCTGAAGGTACAGCACGCCATCCTCGATAACGGCCTCGCTGTACGTCTCCTTCATCTGCGCCTTGTCCACGACCCGAAACGCGATCTTGCCCGACTCGACCGCCTCGTTGAGGGCCTCCTGCATCATGTCGTCCGAGTCAAACTTTTGACTGACCAGCCCGCCAGCGAGGGCCTCAAAGTACAGGAAAACAAACTGGCCGAGGTTTTCCTTGAATTCAGCCTGCGTGCCGCTGAGCTTGGCGTACGCGGCCTCGAAGCCAGGCTCGAGCGTGTACTCCCGCTTGAGGGCGGTGTTGATGCGCGTGCGCACGTCGGCGATCTTGTCGTCGTACGACTGCTTGATGTCGAGGCGCGTCTCGAAGGAGATGCCCTCCGAAGGTACCGCGTTGAGGGCCGCGGTGAGGCTGCGCTCGCTGAAGACGTGGTCGATGTTACTGGCAAGGTTGCCGTCCTGCCACAGCATAGCGAGTTGGCCGTCAGCCGTGATGCCGGCACCGCAATAGCTGACCTTCTTGTCCACATCGAGGTCCATGATGATGGAATGAGCTGACGCGACCTTGTTGATCTCGTTCTTTGCGTCGTCGCCGTACTGTTCGACATATCGGCGAAGGCCACGGATCGCGCAGTCGACGTACCTATAGAGGAGGGCTGGTGTCAGTTTCTGGTTGTTTCATAGCTACAATTCACTTACTCTGCAATCATGGCGCCAGTGGATTCCTTCGCATATGAGCGGTCCTCGCCATAGGGGTAAATGGCCTTGGCGTCAATGTCAATAGTCCACTTCTCGCCCAGAATCTCTCCCAGTTGCTTTTCACTGTCTTCCTTCTTTGACTCCCAGTTGTCGCGGACTGCCTTGGTTAGTGACCAATGACCAACACATGGTGGGGAAGAGCACATACCATCTTTGCGGATAGCAAGAGGGAGCTTGTCGACAGGAGGAAGGCGGCTCATTTTGAAGACGTGGGGATGAAGATGTGAGAATGACCGGTGGAGTTGATAGAAGTGAGTGACAGAAGAATCGGACTTGGAGTCTTCTCGTATGAGCAAGATGTCTATTTTGAGGTGCTTGGCATTGCGCGGGGGAGCTGCGAACCTTTATAGGCACGAACCTCGAATCCCCAAGACCCTTGGTGTTGGCGCCAAGCAGGCACACATCTGCCTTGCCCGAGGCTTCTCGTGAACATGACCGATGCAGTTTGGCCTCAATTCAATCAAGCCTTTGCTCGCCAACTCTCCACGCCAGGCGTTCTGCCCTATAGCTAGCTTTTGGCACCCCCCCGAAAAAGGGTCGCGAAGCTCCGTGCAGCGTTCAGCCTTGAGCCACATTTTGTCGTTGCCCTCATTTTTCAATTTTCGATAGTTAATCTTGGAAAAGTAGCTTGATATTTCGCCAAGGGCTCGGATGCCCAGACTTCTCGGACTCGACGCCACCGTGGAGGCGCCACGCGAAAGCTGAAGCTCCATCATCAGCCCGCCCCAGCTAGGCGTTTCGCCAGGCACCCATTGCCGAAATGGGAGAGAACGCGGTCGCAGCGGGCTGTTACACTTCATCAGAAGATTGAGGAAAGAAGCGTCCGATTTGGAAATAAGAAGAGCTTGGGCTTGGAGAGTCGACACTGTCTTGATCACGATTTTCTACTTTGCCGCCTGATCTGACTGTTTTCGAAATAATGCCGCTGTAAGTCTTTGCGCCCTCCTTATGAGTCAATATTGAATGGCACTAACTTGAATTGATAATTAAAGACCGTTGAAAGCCCGTGTTGCTGTGCGCGACCTCTGGGAGGCCGAGGACTCCGATGCGCAAAAGGCCCTCTGCAGCGTCCAGGAGACGGTCGGCTGCTCGGTGCGATGCACCCCCGACTTCGCCGTGCTCTGGGAGGAACTGCAGGCCGCGTACGAGGACACCGGCGAATTCGTCGCTGCTGTCGCCGGCTTGGTGCGGATCTGGTGCCAGGAGCTCAACAGCCTGCTGAACGACGACGCTGCGGACGAGGCGTGGGCAGACAAGTTTCTCGAGACTATCGGCGAGTCTGGGCCCAAAATCATCAGTCTCCTTGTAACTGTAAGAAGGTCCTTCCCTCTCCTCTTCCCTCCCTCTTGTGGACAGCCTGTGACTGACCCGTACCGCGGGGAGATAGATTGGGAAGCCCGGTGTTGCGGGCACGACATGGGACCTGTCGTCGTCGTCCTTCACCCTGGCGCTTCCGAGCACGCGCGTAGCCTTTGCCCCCAACCACTCCGCGGAGCTCCGCGAGGGCCTGTTTGGTGTCTTCGAGGCAAAAGAGCCGGTGCCGGTGCCGGACGAATGGGCGGACCTCGGGGACCCCAAGGTCGCGAGCGGCGCCGAGCCCACGGTCGTGGTTCCGGTCGTCGCCAAGGGCGCCACCGCGTTCCTGCCGACACTGAACGACGTCCCGCGACCTGACGTCCTGCAGCTGCAGCCCCCGTATCGCCTCATGGTCCACGATCGAGGCCACTGCATCGAGGTGCACGGCAGCCACTCCCCATCGCTGGAGCTGCTCGCAGGTTACCTCGAGAAGTGGTGCCAAGTTATCCCCAGCCGCTCCAACCGTGTAAGTCGAGCCCCTCACAAGACACACCCGCAATCCGGAAGCCCGTGTTCTGACGAGTCTAGCCTCCCATGGCGACTGTTCGCCTGAACAGGAGCGCATTTGGGCTCGGTGTCGTCTACGATGCTCTGACAGTTGCGCCGTACGATAGTCGTGAGCCTACCTTGCTTCCCCCAGTTCTCATACTAAACTTGGTTGAAAATGTGCTGGGTTATAAGCTTGTGAACGAGTACCCTCAATCTTGGCGTTTTATTCGAGAAGTAGCGCTGAAGAAAGCAGCTTAGATTGTAGTTTGACGGAACTGCCATCGGAAATAAGAAAATGTCCCCCCCCAACCTACCTCATCAGAGTTTCGGCCCCTGCGTTCGAAGTTGCCATGTTCCCGAATCGTCGTTAAGTGACGCCTTGACTGACCGCGCTGCATCCCGCAGACTCTCCTCCGATTCGGGGTTCTCCGGGGACCACCCGCCTCTCCTGAGACTTGCCGAGCTTAGAAACGCGACTGCTAGGGTGGATGACTTCCAATCCGCGTGCAGCCTGCTTCGGTAGCTCAAGACCATCACGCTGCCTAGGAACAGCACCTCCAAGACAAAGACCACCGCAAAAAATGTAATGTATCCCCAGTGGATGCGGATGCACGTCTTCTCCACCAAAGTGGTGCCGCGAGCTTCCCGAAGCATGCTTGGGCCAACGGCGGCTGTCCTCATCTGCGCGCCGATGGAGGTCGCCAAACCCTCGGCAAACTTGGTGACCAGGTTGATGTCGGTTGACCCATTGCGCCAAAGCCCGCTCACCCACGCTGGAAGCCCTACCCAGAACCTAGGCGTAAAGAACGTCTCTCCAAGGAAAGTTCCCATGATGCCCGCGCCAGAAAACTCGAACACGCATTCGGGCGAGTACCATGTATGCGGAACATTGAGCGAGGCGTCATCAGGTCTCAATAATACCGAGATGGTGTTTGTTTCAGTTGGCTTCTCCGTGCCCGTGCACTCATGCCAAGTACCATTTATCATTGTCCGGTTCATAGCGAGCTGATATTTCCCAGCAAAACTTGTAGATGCAAAGTGTAGATACTCCTCCGAAATGACTCTTTCGCTGTACTTGCCGCGAGCCAAGTTTGCTGAAAATGTCTGAACGCAGGGGAAAAGAGAAAAGACGGACGCAGATGGCCTGAAGTATGCATTATATATGGAAAGAAAGGTGCAGAGCGGCGGCTTGCAGTCGGTTGAGTTATCCTTGACCATGCTGAGGATGTATACATCGAGAGCACTGGTGCGGTTCCAGGCATCCCCCTCTGACACTTTAAATGATGTTTGGGGTACAGTCGTGAAGCTGATGTTAAATTTCGCCCCTTCACTAAGGGAGTTCTTAGCACCTAGTGAGTAAGTATACCCGTTCTGGGTATCTGCGGTCTCAATCCGGTCACTAATATCCCATGCATCGGAGCACATGGTTAGACTCGTGAATGTTGCACCACCATCTTCAGGAAATGTGCAGTTTCCAGTGGTACATGACACTGAGACGCTGGCGGAGCTGTTGGTAGGTGGTTCTAAGATGCCCCGGTACAAGGCCAGTTGCATCGGGAGGTTGAATGTGCCAATCGTAACTCTGTCGTAAAGATCTGATCCAACGGTATAGTTATTGGCTCGAGGAATGCTTGCGATATCGGTTCCATTTTGCGCGCAACTGTATAGCGAAATTGTAGCTTGCGCGAATGGATCTGCAGCCAGAACAATAAGAACAAGCAGCGCTCCGAAACTGGCAAGGTAGCTGGTGGTCTGATTAGTATCAGACTGCTCACTGTAGTCGATTCCAGCTTACGCTTTCGATTCAGCTTTGAACTGGCCAAAGATCATCATGGCCGAACCCCAAGCACCTCGGCTCGCTTTGTCATAGACGTCCAAGTCGGACAAATCCCGCTGTTGTTTTGCCAAAAGGAGCCACTTCAGCTGGCTAATTCCTAGATATGTCTTGTTAGAAGCACAACTAAGAAAGAAGCAGGACTCCAATCTACCTTCAGTTACTGGTAATGCAAGGGATCCTTTGAAGATGCCTGATAAAATAGAAATGACGGCGTTGATGGAAATAACGGGCTTCCATTCGTCCAATTGTCTGTTCTCGTAGACATCGAGAACGATAATAATGGAGGCCAAACTCAAAACACTCGTGAACAAGGACAAAATCTCCCATGCCCATAGCGAGACCCCGCCCAGGGCCTTTTGGCGCCGACCCCGACTTTGACCAGTGCCTGTGCCAGTGTCATTTTGGACCTCGCTTGCACTCAAGGCACGGTATCCCTCTCCGCCACTAGGAACTCCGGCGGACAACTCTGAAGAGTGTATTGACGGGACCGGTTTGCGGCGAATGTGTTGTGTAGGACTCGGTGTACTGCTTCCGGAAACTATCGTATGCTTGCATGCGGCAACACTCTGCGTCTCGCGCTTTCGCTTCAAAAAGATAACGACGCCGAGTGCAATGAGTCCGGCAGCGAAGCACGCGCCCACACCTACGCCGACCTTCGCTTCTGGAGAAAGACCGCGATCATGGGCTGGGTGCTGCGTATTGTAGGCAAGCCGCACCTTGTTAAAACGTTCAGGATCCGGAGGTTGCTCGAGCTGGTCATCGTCACTGTACTGAATCTTGATTCCGTAGGCACCAATAGTGGCAGCAGTTATCGTCGAGGTGATTGTCGTCAGTATCGATCCATCCGAGACCTTGGTGATAGGCAGCAATGACGTCGTGTTGGAGATAACTTGAGTACATTGGAAGCTGGTAGGCAAAGGATTGCTTGAATTACGGCTTATTCCACACGCAAAAATAGCAGATTCAACACTAAAACGAAGACTCGCGGTTAGCATGATTGTGCCAAGGCACGCAGGTATTGAAGCCATCATACTCAGGACAGCAAACAGCGGTCGCAACCACAGCAGTCCCCTTGACTAGTTGGGATGCACATCCCTGAGTGTAGCCGGAGGGACATTGTCCTGGCGAGTAGTAGTAGTTGGTCTGAGGTTTAAAGCCAGATGGGAAGCATCCTTCTGTCGTCACGGGACCTCTAACGACATACGAGCCACCGTTTTGATTGACGAATTCGGTATAACCTGCAGAGGAGGTACAAGACGGGCTAGGTGTAAATACCGTGGTCAAGGGGCCGAGGGTGGACATTGTCCCTGCCACGGGGTTGACGGCGGTGAGATCCGTAGGGTTGCCTAGGACAGCAGGTTACTGGGGAATTATAACGACATGGAAGGTCCTTCTCAGTAGCTTTGTCAGGACGAGATTCATATGCAGGCGATCGAAGCAGCATCGGCGAAGGGCACAGAATAAAAAGGTCCTGACATTGGGTCACGGAGGGCGGGATTGTAAACTCGGCTGCCCAATCAGAGTGATACAGCTGGGTTGGGCGCTTACGGGTAGTAGCTGCAGATGACCCAATGGTGCATATCATACCATGCCTTGGAAGATGATGATTGCTGGGGCAAGAGTTCCAGCTGAAACATCGCACATATATCCTGCATATATTTGTCCGTATTTGGCATGCTCCGAGCGAGAGGCGGACGTTCCCAGGCGTGAAAGAATTGCACCGACGGGATATCTCCGCACGGAGCGGGCCGCGGGAAATAATGCCGAATCGCGGATTCTAGGATCTTTATCCCAACCTCGCCTCGACTCTCGCCTCGAGTACAGAACATGAGTCTGAATTTCCTCCGAGAACCATGTTGGTCTTGCGGTTCTCGCATGTGATGGTTCCACGGTTGCCTTGTGATACATCGTATGTCCGGAGGCTGAGGGTGCATTGCCAGACGAGCGATCATAAGTGCAAGCCGCCAAGCACTTGTGCGGAATGTCTACAGCCTTGGAAGTGTTTCCGAGATCTGTCATACTGATGAAACGGTTTTGAGAATAGATCCAAAAAAGTCGACAGTCGCTATCGGCGAACTTTGGAGCGGTGTGAATCTTGACCGCGGCTGAGGAGGATGCCGCTCATCTTGAATGAATTGGTAGAGATTTTGAATTTGGTGATACATATTTTCAAGATACGAAGAAATGTCGTTTCTTGTGTATTTTGAAGCTGCTTCGCTGCTACAATGCACGCGCGCTCTGTCTGGGCGCTCTGGCTCGTTAGGATTTTTGCGGGCAGCGATTGACTTGACACGAGCCACTATGATGGTATGAATGGGCCGATGGCCGGAGCTAGCTTCAATCAAAATGATTCCGGGGAATGATTGAAAAAGAAGCATACAAAGTGCTGACCACCAGTCGACATGGCCAATGGTTAAGTTGCAAAGGTGATACTTATCGCGTTTGCTCAGGCTGTCCGCAAGCACACCGCCTAGGCAACCGCCTGGCAGAAAAAACAACATCCCACCAACTTCCCCCACCTCGGGCTTCGAGTCATGAAAATCGTGTCCATCTTCATCTTCCGCCCAGCTCGATTGCTCTTCGACCAGAACAGTCCTCTTTCATTCCACACTAAGCCGTTCACCGAATAGCTGCCGCCAAGCTGTTCGCCCTCCGATCCATCACCACTCCCCCCCGGAGCCGCACCACCAGCACCATCACCGCCCTCCTCCTCCGCCGCCAGCTGCAGTCCACCATGGCCGCCCTCAGCGCGCAGACCTTCTCTCCGGCCGAGGAGACGGAGATCCAGAAATGGGTCGCCACCTCGGAGAGCATCCGGTCCGGCGCCCACGACAATAACGCCGGCCATCTCGACGCCCTCGACGCCCACCTCGCCACCCGCACCACCGTCCTCGGCAGCAAGCCCTCCCCAGCCGACGTCTCCCTCTACCGCACCCTCGCCCCCGTCGTCGCCGCCTGGTCCCCCGATGAGCGCTCCGGCGCCCAGGGCCGCCCCAATATCGTCCGCCACCTCGACTTCGTCCAGAACTCGCCCCTCTTTGAGCTCGCCGTCCAGGACAAGGTCGCCGTCGACCAGGACGACGTCCGCTACGTCAAGCCCGTCATCGACGCCAAGGCGGAGAAGGAGCGCCTCAAGAAGGAGAAGGCCGCCGCCGCTGCTGCCGCCGGTGGTGCGGCTGGAGCTGGTGCGGCCGGTGCCGTCGCCGCCACCACCACCGACCTGGTGGACCGCACAAAGGAAAAGGTGAAAGAGCTGGTCGGCGACGCCAAGGAGGCCGTTGCTGGCGGCGACAAGAAGCAGCAGAAGAAGGAAAAGAAGGAAAAGGCGCCCAAGCAGCCCAAGCCGCAGCCCGCCGCCGCGCCCCTCAGCCCCTCCCTGATTGATCTCCGCGTCGGCCATATCCTCAAGGCCGTCAACCACCCGGACGCCGACTCGCTCTACGTCTCTACCATCGCCATGGGCGACAAACCCGGCGACGACACCACCGAGTACGAGGGTCAGGTGTGCCGCACCGTGTGCTCCGGCCTCAACGGGCTGATCCCGCTCGCCGAGATGCAGGGCCGCAAGGTCGTCGTCGTCTGCAACCTCAAGCCCGTCAAGATGCGCGGCGTCAAGTCGTGCGCCATGGTGCTGGCCGCCTCCCCGCGCCTCAAGGAGGGCGAGGTCGACGACCACAAGGGCCCCGTCGAGCTCGTCGCCCCGCCCGCGGACAGCAAGGCCGGCGACCGCGTCTTCTTCGAGGGCTGGAGGGGCGAGCCCGAGGGCGTCCTCAACCCCAAGAAGAAGATCTGGGAGACGTTCCAGCCGGGATTCACCACCACCGACGCGCTCGACGTCGTCTTTGACGCCTCCGCCGTCGAGGTCCTCGGCAAGACGGACCTGGGCAAGCTTGTCACGGAGAGCGGCGGCGTCTGCACTGTTCAGACTCTCAAGGGCGCTACCGTTAGGTAAATAGAAAAGACCAAGTGAAAAGGGATATATAGAAACCAAGGATTAGCAAAAATCAAATAACGCATTGATGATCTACTATTCCAGTATCACCCCAGAACAAGCACGGGCTTTCAGTCTCAAGCACTGGTGGTGTATGAAAATTCTTCAAAAGATTTTTATATGTAATATACACCAGTTCGAGCCTGCAGGGCCGAGATTGGGCAGTGCTACCTATTCATACATTGAATCGCCATCTCCATGGCGCATATATACACCGAATTCCTCCACTGCGCAGCCATGCTATAAAACACCCCAGTAATAATGGTAAATGGAAACTCCAAGTAAATGCAGGTCGCGCTGAAACTTTTTATGCCGCGATATTCTCCTCCGTTGTTTTGTATGTGCCCAAAAAGGATGCGCCAAACGAAAATCAAAACGCTGATGTAAAAACTCCGACATGTTCTTCTAGTCCTCCTCATTGTCTTACAGGAGTCGTCTTTGGAAAATTGTATATAGTTGATCGAAATGGGTTCAAGAAAAGAAGTACTGACTTCCCCGTAAGCGACCGACATCAAAGTCGCCCTTCTTGGGAATGCTGGGAATTGTCAGCGGAAGCCAAACGGGGACTGGCTGTCGCTTCTTGGTAGATGTCTTGGCCTTTGCAGGCCGGTCTCGCAAGGCCGCATTTTTGAATGCGGAGCCTTCTATCTCACTGAGAAGGGCAGTAGATCTCTCTGACTCGGAGTCAAGGGAATCTGCACTCTCCTCCGCAAGTGCTCTTTTGTTTTCGTCGGCGTCAGCGGCGGCATCGTCGGCGGAAATTTCACCGAGACCAATGTCGGAAATATCTTCAGCAATGCTTATGTCGGTTTCCGCGCCAGCCATTTCTTCGTACACTGCAGCAGGCGTGATGATTTGTTTGGCCGCTTCCAGATCCCACGGGTTACCAGACAGACGCAGGGAATTGCGCTTGTGCTCCAAGAGAAGCTCTTCTCGTGGAGTAAGATTGCTTTTCTTTCTGAGGGCCTTGATTTTCTTGGCAACAGGGGACGAAGCATCAATATTGGACAGGAACAGGGACCCCTTGTGTCGTGTTTCAAACTCTGCGGCTAAACGGCCAATGACATCTTCCTCGTGGATCTTGATGAATGAATCACGGATAACCTCGTTCATGACATTGACGTCGGCCGCATGAGTCCAGAAGGAATCATGGACAGCTGCAAAATCCAGACCACGGTCGTGGCACTCGAGCGCCGAGAGCAGCATGTGGCTGGCGTCTAGGGAGTGAATGAAGTTTGGCGGGAAGCCCTGGAGCTGCTTTCTCCTGTTGACGGGGTCCGTAGAGTCGCTGGAATGATATGCGAGAGACTGCAGGCAAGTTCGAATTTCCTTGGCAGTCGTCTTGCGGTACGGTTGTGCAACGGGCATGCGCAGTGGGGTCGTCCATACCAGGGTAGAGCGAAATTGTTTGGTAAGCTCATCGAAGCCTGGTTTTCCTGCTTTTGAGGCCTTCGCTGCCTTCCCTTTCTTGGTGTCAGCAGACGCGGTTGAGTATTCGTCAGCGATGTGTTGCAGCTGAGCGGGCGTCAGAGCTCTGCAAACTCGCCCGCCAATTTCACCAAGCCAGTACTGAATGTCGTGAGCACCACGGAACATGGTTGCCAGTGCAGTGAATACATGTCGAGCGATATACGTCGAAAGCATCAGGTTGGGAATACCGCATTGCTTGCCCAGGTCAGGGTAAAGCGCATCGACTTGCCTGCAGACTTGCTTCTTGGCACCAGCAAACGTGACTCCATAGACGTTCGTCATGACCGTCTGCTTCACGACCTTTCGGGTGATCTTGCCGTTGAGCACAACGCCGAATTTGTTGTTCGCCGCGGCATCTTTAGCGATAGCCTGCTTGACAAGGTCCGCGACGGCTGAATAGACATCAGCAGGGCGGTCACCAGGCTCAAGGTTGACTTGCTTAGCGCCCCACGTATCACCGCCCAATGCTGCATAGTGCTGTAGGCCATTGCAAGTTCCGTCTTGTTGAATTGGAAGGTGAGAAATGTAAGTAGTCGGGTCCTTCAGCTCGAGTGCCGTCTTGAGCTCAAAGCAAGCGGCGAGGCATTGCCAAGGATCCTCAGCCTTAAGCCACCACCGGCTTCCGTTGAGTGGGTTTGTTGCAGACTCAATGATGTTACTGGCACTCTCGTTTGCGAATGCTTCCCGCTCTTCGAAGCTGGCTTTGTCGAGTCCATAAACGTTGGCCAGATGAATCTTCAACCACCGTAGACCAGCCTCGCCAAGAGGCTTACCCTTTGCAAACGAGAGCACAGCTCGTGCGTGGTCGGCACCCATATGGTTCAGGTAGGTAGGCATGGGGTACGCACGGCCACGGTAATCGACGTTGTGAGGGAAGTAGATGGTCTGATTGCGGAATGCTCGGGCAATTTCCAGCTGCAGGTTCATGTAGCAGCGCTGAGAGTGCAGCCCAGACCGCTCATTTTCGATGATCTTGATGTCACGAATCCATTTCTTGTGCAGCGCGGGATTAACTGTCGAGTCAGGCTCGGCGGGAATATCGAACTTCGGTTCCAAAGCTGGCATGTTTGCAGTTTCCTCGCCCGAATTCCATGCCTCCATCATGACGTTCAACACGTCGCGGTTGATCTGCCATGCTGTCTGACCAAGAACATCAAGGCCTTTGAAAACTTGTTTCATATCACCACACTCCACAGCAGCCTTAGCATAGAGCCGCTGTTCAACGTTGCCTGGCTGGACTCGGATGACACTGGTTTTGCTTTCCAGGAAGCCACCCTCATTCATGCTCTTCCATGGCTTCGGCTCAACGATCATCGGCAGGTGTTTGGCAAGATAATCGCCAAGTGGCTCGCGCTTAAGCTGCTCAATTAGGGTATTGTGCAATATCAGCATGCCAACCTTTTTGCCTTTGCGGGGCTGCTGAGCGTGTGTGAAAGCGGGCTGATATTGGCTGACAAGCTCTCCGGAAGTAGGATGTTGAGTGACGACCTTGACCTTTGCCGAGTCAATAAGAGCTTTGATGAGAAAGGCTCCTACCTGAGCCTTAATTTGCGTTGACCATGGCTGGCTCGCCGACTCCTCGATACGCTTGGCAGCTTCTGGGCTTTCTGTGATCTGAGATACAGAATTGAGCTCGCTAGGCTTTGCTTTGGAGGCGTCATATGTGACCTTGCGACGCCGGGTTGTCTTCTTCTCTTTTTTCTGAAGCTCGATATCTTCGTGCGCTTGCTTAGCAACGGTATTAATGACCCTCTGGATCGCGATGCCCTTATCGACCCCAAGAAGGGCACCTGCGTTAAGCGTGCTGAGGATGGTCACTGCGGCTAACCTTGCAGGGTCAGCTTGTCGAATGAAGGGGCCAAAAATGCATCGTTCAATATCCCGCTCTGACTTGACTTCCTTGTTCTCTGATATCTCAACCTGAGCAATCTCATCTTTAATGCGCAGCTCCATATCGCTAAGCCATGATGATGTGTAGCTGGACAAGGAGCCTTCTTTGTTCGATCCGGTCAAGCCGGTGGTAATTCCCACTTTCTGCAGCTGCTTGTTCTGGCTTCGCCATTTGTGGACAGCGGCGCTTATGGAATCGCGTTCGAGTTGCAGCTGTAGGCTGTGTAGGTCGTCCTTGGAGAGGTTCGACACGTCAAAGTCGTCAAGGTTTGAAACCAATTTTAGTCCTTCTTTCAGAGCAGTCAACGATTCACCTCGCTGTGGTGTTGGCACAAGTTCGGCTACAGCGTCGGCATTTGATGAAGAGGAGATTTCAATCGCTTCCGCTGGGGAAAACGATGCGTCGTCATTGCTGGGGCCGTCATCCTCCCCGAAATCAGGTTCCGCAGAATAGTTGTATGTTGGGCATTGTGCAGTGATGACAGCAAGATCTTGATCACTCAAAATCTCGGCCATGCTGAGAACACGCAGGCCTGATTCGCCCGGTGCCATTCCCATGTAGCGCGTGATGAGGCGAGTAAGTCGCGCGCCACGTTCGGAGAGGATGGACGCCTTGAGCATGCAAGCAACGGTCTCGGCGGTCTGCGGCAGGCCCTTGTTGCGAATATTCATTTCGTAAAACTTGTGAAGCTGCTCGGCTCGTCGGCGGTCCGGACTCGATCTGAGCTGAACCAGCGAGGCCCTCAGATATTGATTGTGCAGAAGAATGCGCTCCTCAGGGGAGAGAGTCTGGTAAACATTCATGCGCTTCAATACCAGGGCGGCGCGGTCAAGTTTCCCAACTCTGATGCAGGCATCAAAGACAAGAAGCATGTCGTCTGCTTCTCCAGGAATGCCATGCGGACTAACTTTTGTCTGGACAGGGGCTGTGGTGGGCGGCTCGGGTATCGTGAGGGGAGAGGTTGGATCGAACGGCGTTAGGTTGTACGGTCGAATAGATGGTTGATATGGTGTCATTTGCGGTGCCGGAAAGTTGCCATATATGGAGTTGTCGATTTTGAAGTCGTCGACGGCTGTTGCAAGAGCGCGGTGCTGTGACCGCCGTGCGCCATGCTCAAATCTCTCGATGCGCCAGTGTCCTGGTGATCTTGTGACGATTTGACGTTCAGAAACACACAGAGCGGTCAATCTTGGAGGAGTTAAACGTGACTGTGCGCGCCCGCGGCTCAATGACAATGCTCGAGTGGCATTGACACCACGGCGAGCCTGCCCGGAGAGCATTGTGACGAAATTGTGCACGAGGCGAGGCCTAATGCGCTTGGTGCGAGTATCGCAGGGAGTATGTCGAGAGAAAATTAAATCATTTATATGGGATAAACAAAAACATAGAATGAAGAAAGGCTGGAATACAAATAGAATACAAGTTGCCTCCCCAGCACAGCTTGCAAAGAAGTTTTCCACGAGAATCGATACTGCCTAGCTCCAGAGAATTTGTCGCCATCTTGGACCCATCGTCCCCTGAAGTGAGTCACGTGCAGCCTTTTTTTTTCTCCCGCTCCACTCGGCCCAGGCCGCCGTCGCAAATCCGAAAAACTAACTAGTGGATAATTTATTAGTTGCAGCCTGAGCTCTGGGTGCTGTGAATTTTTAATGCAATACTACGGCACTGTTCAATCTCCTCACAGTATCCGTCAATTCTTCACGTGAACAGGCACAATGATTGCACGGCCTGCGATGGCGAGCTTCGGCTGTCGCAGTTGCCAAAGGAGCCTAATTAGGGCCGTTTTAGCTGCCGGCCGCCCAAGAATCGCAGCTCCGGCCCAGCGCCTGCAGTCTCCTTCACGTCACATCCAGCAGCAGAATCTGTCGACAACAGCGCGACGCCTTCGAGTCGATGACAACACATGCAAAACCGTGGTCGATACCTCCAGCGAGACGAAACAGCCCGAGGAAGAGGACACGCCATGGTTCCTGGAAGAAGAGGCTCCTCAGCATCCGCCCAGCCATCACCAGCAGACACTACCTGTCGCTCCAGCAGGCGCGCCGGAAATCGTGGAGCCCATGATGAAATACATATTCGAGGATATGGGCCTGGATGACCTTGCGCTCTTTGACTTGCGAGAACTTGACCCGCACGCCGCCCTTGGGCCTAACCTCATCATGCTGTTCGGCACCGCGCGCAGCGAGAAGCACCTCCACGTCTCCGCCGGTCGCTTCGTGCGCTGGATACGCAAGAATCACAAGTTCGAGGCCAAGGCGGACGGCCTCATCGGCGCCGGCGAGCTTCGCACCAAGCTGCGCCGCTTGCGCAAAAAGGCCAAGCTCATGGGCACCAACGCCAATATCATCCCCCGGGGCGACAACGGCATCTCCACCGGCTGGATCTGCGTCAGCTTCAACACGGACGACGGCACCTCGACAGCGGACGCCAACTTTGATGCCACAGGTCGCCTTGCCGGCTTCGACGCCGGCGAGACCGGCACGACGATTGTCGTGCAGTGCATGACGGAGGCCAGGCGCCAGGAGCTCGACCTAGAGACGCTATGGGAGGGCATGCTCAAGAGGAGCTTCAGAGACAGCAGGCAGGTGCACGGCCAGGAGCCGCTCTCGGCCGACGAGCTGAAGGCCCGCGTTGCTTCCCGGCTCCAGCTTCCAGAGGGCTACAACAAGGCTGCCAAGCAGTGGCAGGCCATGGAGGACGCCTCACAAATACGATATTTTTCAACAAGTGCGCGGCGACTGACGACGGAAAGCACTACCGATGAGGCCGCAACGACGCACTTGAACCTCGACTCCGTCGCCATGCACGTCCAAGATTTTCAAGCATCCGGCGCGCCCATGGAAGCCGAGGACCTCGTCCGCCTCATCCGCCACGTCTTCAAAGCCGGCCCGCGCGGGGACGACACTGCCGCCGAGCGAATCCGACTTGTAGACCAGCTGCTGCTCGCCGGCGAGGAACGCGGCATTGCCCTACTATCCGGCGACATCCTCATCACTCTCGTCGAAGCCATGGTCTCGTCCCCGGCCTACGGACCCGCGTTGCAGCGCGCCCAGGCCAACGTCGAGTTCCTCCTCACTGAGCGGCGCATCCCGCCCAACCCCGACCAGACACGCCGACTCATGGCCGCGTACGCGCGCCGCGGCGATTGGGAGCGCTTCTGGGATGCCTTCCGCACGCCCACACGCTTCCGACTCGCTCGCGGGCCCGAGCTGTACGAGCTCGCCTACGCGACCGCCGCGGCCACACACGACGTGGCCCTCTGCACCGACGCGCTGCGACGAACGTACCCGGAGATGGGGCGCGAGGACCCACCGGTGCTGCCGACCGGCACCGTGTACGACGCCCTGCGCGCTTGCGTGCTCGTGGCCGACCCCGCGGCCGAGGAGCTCCTCCACCGCCCGCCGGCCGAGGCGAGCATGACCACGCTCGAGAAGCGGAGCCTCAAGCACCGGGAATTCGTCGTCTTGCTGCGCGACGTCGAGCGCATCCGCAAGGAGCTTCTCACCGAGGAGGCGCGGCTGGAGAGGCAGGAGGCGATGGACACGGAGATCCGAAACAGGTTTGAGGCGTAGTCGCGCCGTATCGCAGCTTTGCGTGGCAAAAAAGCAAAGGACTGAACTGCGAGGTTCGTGGATTACAGATGCCATCACATGTACAATTATTCTGTAACAACAAGTGTAAAACGAAAGGCATATCAAGAGCATATGATAGATGTATAGTCACTTCTGCAGCAACTTTACACATGGCCAAGATGGGGCCTCTAATCTATATCATCACACTCCTTGCGCTACAAGTTGGCACCGGCCCATGTCATAGCATCGCGCAGTAACGGCGCGACTTGCTTTCTGCTGGCATCGAGCGCGAGCTGGCTCCACGCGTACCTGATGCCCTTCTCATCCAAGACGCCGCCGTTCAACGGCGCCAGCTTCAGCTTCTCCGAGCTTTCCTCGGTGAACCGCTCGACCGCCTTCCTACCGCCGTCGGTGAGGCCCCATACGAGCAGGTGTCGCTGGAACTTGCCGCCAGGGTTGGACGTGGTCATGATAGACGCGACGTCGAGCGCCTGCTCCCCGGCCCACGAGCGCAGCTCCCGCAGCAACACGTCCTGGCCGCTACCGTTGCCGGTGGCGGTGGCCTTTTCCAGGAGGAAGTCGAGGTCCTGCACGGCGCAGCTGATACCGAGTTTGACGCCAGCATCCACCCACTCCTTGTAGTCCTTGCGGAGGATGTCGCGCAGGCCGAGTTGGGAAAGGTCTTCCTTGGCGGCCGTCACCGCGTCGTAGTACGCGCGCTGGTCAAAGTCGGGGTCCTGCATGAGTTCGGTCTCGAGGAGCTGGGCCGCGCGCCGGTCTTTCGGGCGGACCTTGTGGTCGGAGGTCAGGTTGATGGTGTCGACGAGGATCGGGGCGAGGGCGACCTGCGCAAGCTGATTCAGGTCCTTGCTGATGCTGGTTGCAGCGCCGGTCAGCTGCGTGCCGTGGGCGAGGCTGCGCCAGGCATCTGCGTGAGCGTCCACTACGAGGCTCATGCAGCTACCGCACGTCTCGATGACGCGGGGAGTAGCTTGTACGCCGACAATGCCCTCGTCGACGTGGTGGTCGATGCAGCCGACGATGCGTCTCTCGAACTTCTTCAGGCTCCCGGTGAGGACATTGTGGTCAACAAGAACCCATTCCGTGTCGTTGGGCTCCAGTTGCTGCGGAAGCTCGGACAGCGTAATGAGGTCAGAGATCTCCAGATCGGCCTTGGCAAGCACCGGGCCAAGCTCAATCCTCAACGATAGGTCCTCGCGAGGCAGGTTTGACAACGGGATGTGTAGCCGCTGGGGCGAGATATGCGATCTTATGTACGCCAATACAACGGCTGAGCACAACGAGTCAAGATCTGTCGAGCCTGGTGAGCGAGGAGTTCATGTATGAGGCAGCCGAACGTTGACATATCCCTACCTGCAGATTCGTTACCCACGACGAAGGTGAGAGGGAGCGGACGTTGAGAAGGAGGCGCGGCTAACGCCTCCTTGGCCGCGGCCAGAAATGTCTTGAGGGAGACAGTGCTAGTCGTCATATTTGCTCGCATGTGCACTCCAGAGTGTAGCTGTACGCGAGAACGAGAACGAAAACCAGCAGGGTTTCCCGGTAGGTAGTGTCTTAAGTATGTATACGCCTGCTTTGCTCGCATCTGTAGTAGTTGAAGGCAAAAGCCACGGCAACCAAACTTAGCGAGGAGTCGGCAACTCAATTGCTCACAAGACACACAGCGGCTACCTAGCTTCCTGAATCTATAACATGCCTTTCGCACGAAAGCTATAAAGGCAGAGACTGCGGAAGTGCGGATATGAGGTCTTTCGCAGTCAAAGGAGGATATGGTGACGTAGTCGTGGATTTAGCACCTGAAAGCAGGCGCTCCATTATTATGTAGTTAGAAAATATTTGTCTTGGCGGCGCGGGCACGCTTGTGGGGTGGCTTTCATGGGGCAAGCCGTCGTGTTCCATCGGTTGAAGGATGCAGATCAGGATTTCGGCTCTTAACTGAAAGATTGAGTCCTGAAGAAAGGAGGCTGCCAGCAAAGAATCTGACGCAGGTAGTGAGATGACATGCTTATAGGTGATGTTTGCTCTCGGATAGCTGCGCGACTGCAGCACCGGAACATCGGGTGCACATGACGCTGGTTCTAGGCGGGTATGAATGTGTTACATTGGATGATCATGGGTCGCAGGGGCATGTTTTTAGTATGAACTTTCGGGAAAACAAACCGATCGAAGATTTGATAAAGGAGAAGCGATGGACTGGGCTCGAGGTTGTTACAATGTTGGTGTAGTTGGAAGAGGGTAGGACCTTGAACATCTTGAGACAAACGGACATGGGTGAACTACTGTAGGAGCAGAAATAAAGAGTCGTGAAACAGTTAACGACGAGGTGAGGAATGGATAGGAATAATTCGTAGGTAGATGGCAATTTAAAAAAAAATAAAAAATAAATGAAGAATCTAGGCACTTCTATTATGAAACAAAAGCCAAGCAAAGGCGGCTTACTAAATTAATGGCTGCATTCCGTGTGTCACTGTCCGCGCATCCGTTTTCTGATTCGCCCTCCCGCCCCGTCACGTGCGCTAGCCGGCCTATACTGTGGCCCCCCTAGCTGACCTCTTCTAGGTACCTAACCTATCTAGCTTAAAGTACTTTTACTATTATAGCTTAGTTTATTATTTATTATTATAACCTTTAGTCTATACTTTTTTTATTTACTTTATTCTACTTTTTTTTACTTTTTTTCTATATAGTTAATAGTAAAAATACTATATTATATTTATTTATAGTTTAATATATTATATTAAAATATAATAAAGATTATTATTTAGATTTTATAATATTAAAGTTATTTATATTTATATTTATACTTATACTTTATTATTATATTATACTAATTAGACTAGTCTATCTATCTAGTACCTCTATAAGTTTAATTATAAAAGAAAAACTAGAGTCTCTAGAGGAAAACCTTTACTTCTACTATAAGTAGTTAGCCCTATATTAGTTCCTAGTAAGGTCTAGTGTGGGCCCCTCTCTTAATCCCTAGGTTTTTATTTTTAATCCTATCCTTTCTATTACTTCTCCTCCCCCCTCTCTAATATCTTCTACTTTATTATTACTACCTTCTTTAGTTATATAGACTATATTAAGACTAGAGCGTTTTTAGTTACTTTTATTTTAGAGTATAGATTCTTAAATACATAAGTGTTTATAAGTAGTTATTATAGTATAAGTCACATTAAGAGATGTCTCCTAATAGTAGAGCTATTACTTAGATTGATTAGTAGAGATCTAGACTACCTAGCTATAGGAATACCTCCTCCTTAAGTACCTATATATCTCTCTACTATAACTTAGGATAGTTAAATTATCTATTTATTTATTAATTATTCTAATTATAGTAATTAATAAATAATCTATTAATTACTTTATAGATTATATAACCTTATATTCTATTCTAAGTACTAATATATTTAACTTAGTCTAACTTACTTAGCCCTATTTATATATTCTATATATTTATAATATAGTACTTCTCCCTCTAGTAGTTTTATCCTTAAGGCTATTAATATAGACTACTTAGGTAGTAGGTAGTTTCTTCCCTCCTATATTATTATATACTATTATACTTATTAATTATATTTCTAAGTAGAAGATAAAAGCCTCTTAAGTATCTTATAATAGTGGCTTATTCCTAATCTATAGTAGGTCTGTTTCTTAGGTAGAGAGTTAGATAAGTACACACCTAGTGTGTATATAAGTAGATATTATTATATAAGTTATATTAGGAGTTTACTCCTAATAGTAGAACTATTACTTAGATTAATTAGTAGAGATCTAGTCTAGCTATCTACTAGAAATCCCCTTCCTTATATATCCATCCTATCCTCTACTATATTACCTAGATTACTTAGCTCACTCTATAATCCTAGTAATCCTAGATTAATACTAGATTACTATAATCCCTAGTGATCTAGTTATATAACTAGTTCCTTTATTCCTACACCCCTATAAGCGCCCTATAGTCACTTCCTTAGGCCGCCCTACCCCTCATCTATAGCACCTTAGTGTATCTATAATATATCTATCCTTTATTATAATAATCTTCTTATAACTATTCTTATAAATCCTCTTCTTTAAATAATACCCTCCTATACTATTTATAAAGGTTATAATATTATAAAGTATTAAGTTTCTCCTTTAGACTTTTCTTATTATATAGAGTATATTTATTTAAATCTATTATAATATAATATTTAAGGGGTAATACTTACTTAACTATAAAATATTACTATATAGTATATTAAACTTAAATATAAACTAGAAGAGGTAGAAGAGAAAGTTCTTTATTTTTAAAAATAAAAGACATTATAGTTTAAGAAAATAATATATATTATTATATCCAGTATTAATAATATTAAAGAGTTAGAGTGTATAGAATAGGAGGAAGTAGAATAACTTTAAAAGGCTATTAGTACTTTTTTTACTCTATCTAAAGAGTTAGATCCTTCTTTAGTCTATTCTTTTAAGATTAAGTTTAGTATAGAGTCTCTTAAGGGTCCTTATAGGATTAACTAGAATACTTTCTTTTAAAGTGAAATTAACTAAGTGTAATAGTAGCTTAATCCTAATCTATAGTTAGTCTATTTCTTAAGTAGAGAGTTAGTTTAAATATATAAGTGTATATAAGTAGTTATTATAGTATAAGTTATATTAGGAGATGTCTCCTAATAGTAGAGCTATTACTTAGATTAATTAGTAAGGATCTAGTCTAACTATCTACTAGAAATCCCCTTCTTTATATATCTATTCTATCCTCTACTATATTCCTAGGATTACTCTAGATTATTAGTAATCTTTATAATCTTAATACTTATAGAATCACTACTAGCTTACTATAATCTATAGTAATCTAGTTATATAACCTTATATCCTAATTAGACGACTTATAGGTTCCTACTTAGTCACTTCTTTAGACTACCTTTTAGCTACTTTATATATATTCTTAATTTATAATATTATTCTCCTCTTTTATTAGTCTTATCCTTAAGGCTACTATATTAGGTCTCCTCTTCTTTTATTCTATAGATTCGTTTTTCTCTCTTATATTACTATACTTTACTATATTTAATTATATCTTTAAGCTCTACCTTTTAAAAACTAAATAGTGTTTTAAACTTATTACTACTATTAAGGAATTTAGTATTAAAGTTATACTTTATTCTTTTTATTATTCTTAAGAACTTCCTTATAAGATAATAAAGGGTGTTTTTTATTATAAAGAGTGTATTTATTATAATCACTCTTATAATAGTTTAAATATACTAGTATCTTCTTTTAATTAAATTATTTTAGAATCCTAATGTTTATATTATAAGGAGGAAGAAGCTACTACCCTCTTTTATTATCTTTAATAAAAGTCCTTTAAAGTATTAACTAAACTAGAATACTTATAAAAATAATATAAGTCCTTTATAACT